CGCTAACCGGCCCAAATTTTGGAGAAATCACTCACAACCTGGACCTGTTCACGCCGTGACACAGTCAAGAAAGCGTAATCATGGAAGATCGAGTCAAGTCCAGCATTACAACACGCACAATGCGCGAGCGTTTGTAGATGTCGATATTCGCGTGGCATGCTATCCACCAGCATGTGGTGTTGGACGAATGACGTCGTAGGCCGCGGCCTTGGGTTGCTGCACTCCACTGTATCGAGCGCCAAGGCTGCAACCATCGAAGAGAGTTGCTGTTCTGAGCGTCGAGAGCTGCTGCCAGCTTCCCGGCTTTGTGCGCCCTCGCAGTCCACCTCCCACCCCCTTGCACATTCCCGTTGTTGGAGTTTTCAAGACGACAATAATCCGATCGTCATATCTCCACTGCCGCCACCATTTAGCGAGGAACTCATCCTTACCCGCATCCCGCGCAAGTGCTGTCCACCCGTACCTTCCTTTCTCTAGGCGACAGGCGCGCAGCTTCCTTTTTCACCTTCCAACGTCGAGCGCACTCAGTGGTCCCTGTCCTTGCGACGCCTCTGTATAGCTCTTTCCTTGCAGCCTGCCCCCACGTCCACCCGCTCCTGCCGGGAAGCTGAAGCCGCCATGGATCAGGTAAGCTTGCGCCTTCGCTGTCGTCACTCCACACGCAGCCATGCTGACTGGACGGCTCCAACAGATCGAAAGTGATATGCTCGTCGACAACGAGTACGACGAGAAGGCCGATGTCGCCATCATAACGCCCGACACAGACGACCAAATGGACGAGGTCGACGCCGACCCCGAGCCCCGCGCCGACGAATACGATGCCTTTATGAAGAGACACATGCCCAAGAACCTCGAGTACGACACTGAAGCAGAAGTATACAACACATGGGAGATCAAAGACTGGCGCCAACTCACACGACGCGAGCATGGTCCCATCTTCGAGTGCGGCGGACATCCCTGGCGGATACTGTTTTTCCCGTACGGTAACAACGTCGACTTTGCTTCCTTTTACCTGGAGCAAGCTTATGAGGAGAAGCAAATGCCAGAGGATTGGTACGCATGTGTCGAATTCATGCTCGTACTCTGGAACCCCAAGGACCCAACTATTTACACCACACATACCGCACACCACCGCTTTACTGCCGAGGAAGGCGATTGGGGCTTCACGCGCTTTGCAGAACTAAGAAAACTTTTCAGCAACTCATGGGAGGACCGAGGACGGCCAATGGTAGAAGACAACGCAGCCAATGTGACTGCGTACATAAGAGTGCTCAAGGACCCCACTGGCGTGTTGTGGCACAATTTTATCAAGTGAGTTTCTCAATGCTGACTTATAGTTGCAATCGACTTGCTGACCGTTCCAGTTACGACTCGAAGAAGGAGACCGGCATGGTCGGGCTGAAGAACCAGGGCGCAACTTGCTACCTCAACTCGCTCTTGCAGTCACTATTCTTCACTAATGCTTTCCGCCAGGTATGTGGCAAGCCCTAGAGTATAGGGACAAGACTAACGTTCCCAGGCCGTTTACCAGATTCCAACCGCCGAAGAAGCCGACCGTTCCAACAGCGCATACGCTTTACAACGGCTTTTCTACCTTCTCCAGACATCGAACGGCGCCGTAGGCACGACAGAACTCACACATTCCTTCGGTTGGGATTCGAAACAGATTTTCGAACAGCAAGATGTACAGGAGCTGTCCCGCGTGCTCATGGACAAGCTTGATGAGAGGATGAAGGGCACTGAAGCCGAAGGTGCCTTGACAAGGATGTTCGTAGGCAAGATGAAGACTTACATATCATGCATCAACGTCGACTACGAATCATCCCGGGTTGAGGACTTCTGGGACATACAATTAAACGTGAGCGGAAACAAGAACCTCGACGACAGCTTCAAAGATTACGTGCAAGTGGAGACCATGGACGGTGAAAACAAGTACTTCGCAGAGGGCTTTGGATTGCAAGATGCCAAGAAGGGTGTCATATTCGAGAGCTTCCCGCCTGTGCTGCACCTCCAGCTCAAGCGCTTCGAATACGACTTCACACGCGACGCCATGATGAAGGTTAACGACCGTTACGAATTCCCAGAGGTCTGGGACGCTGCGCCATACCTTTCCGACGGAGCCGATCGATCCGAATCCTGGATATACCACTTGCACGGTGTTTTGGTGCACAGCGGTGATCTCAACGCGGGCCACTACTACGCTTTCCTCAAGCCTACCAAAGATGGACACTACTACAAATTCGATGACGACCGTGTGACTCGCGCCACACTACGCGAAGCCTTGGAAGAAAACTTTGGTGGCGACTACGCCCAGGCTAATGGAAACACTGGCCAGCGTAACCCCTACACCAGAGCCTGGTCTGCCAAGCGCTCAATGAGCGCATACATGTTGGTATACATAAGAGAAACCAGACTTGACCAGGTTCTCATAGACAGCAAGGCTGTAGAGCCACCAAAGCATTTGGCAGAACGACTTGCTGAAGAACGAGCATTGATGGAGCGCAGGAAGAAGGAGCGCGAAGAAGCTCATCTCTACATGGATGTGGCAGTCGCATCAGATGAACAATTCAAAGCACACCAGGGATTTGATATCGTACCATGGAAGAGCGACCAAGAGACGCCTGCTAGCCCGAGGATCTACCGCGTGCTCCGAGCCACCACAATGGCTGACTTTGCAGCCACTGTTGCTCAAGATTTAGGAACTGAAGCAGACATGCTGCGGCCATGGTCGATGGTTAATAGGCAGAACGGTACTATCCGCCCGGATACCGCTCTTGAATTCCCCGAAATGACAGTGGAAGAGGCCGCAAGCAAGCACGGCACGAAGCAGTCGCAATTCAGGATGTGGATCGAGAAGGCCCAAGAACGCGATGATAGTGGAGCGCCAGTTTTTGGCGAAAAGCTAGTAGACCTCAAGGGTCAGACTAACAATCGTCCATTGATGATCTTCCTGAAACATTTCGACGCGAATGAACAGAGTCTGTTCGGTGTGGGCACCTTGTACGCGGCATTCCAGGACAAGGTTTCTGATCTAACCCCAGCCATCACGAAGATGTTGGGATGGCCGACTGGTACGCAAATCAAGCTTTCAGAAGAGATCAAACAAAACATGATCGAAGCGATGAAGCCAAAGATTACATTGGCAGCCTCGGAAATTCAAGATGGCGACATCATCACAGTTCAACGTGTATTGAACGAGAAGGAAGTCGCTCAGGTAACAGCCCAAGGAGGCTACACCGAGGCAAAGGAATTTTACGACTATCTTCTGAACAGGATCAACATCGAATTCGTGCCGAAGACGTCGGATATGGATCTGCCTACATTCTCCTTAACCCTCAGCAAGAAGATGGCATACGATCAATTCTCCAGCAAGGTAGCAGAGGCCCTCAAAACCGATCCTAGCTATCTACGCTTCACCACCGTCAGCACTGCTGGCAAGCCCAAACTACCTGTCAAGTACAACGTCAATTCGACATTGAACAACATACTCTTCCCTGGACCCTACAATTATTCTGCAAGCGCGAACCAGCGAAACGACGCCTTGTTTTACGAGGTTCTCGACATGAGTCTGAAAGAGCTAGAGCAAAGAAAGCCTGTCAAGGTAACTTGGCTTCCAGAGGGTCTCAGCAAGGAGGTGAGTTTCAAGCCTAAACTGACGTTCATATCGGTACTAATACAATATAGGAGGAGCACACTTTGATGGTCCCTAAGAACGCCCAAGTTGCCGATCTCTTGGTGGCATTGCAAAAGAAAGCAAACATCAGCGACGAAGTAATGCCTAAGATTCGTGCTTACGAGGCGCATGTGAACAAGTTTCACAAAATTCTGCCGCCAGACCACTCTGTAATGAGCCTCTACGACTACACGTCGATCTTTGTCGCGCCTTTCCCTGAGGACGAGTCATCGAAGAAGATTTCTGTATTCCACTTTGACAAAGAGCCATCAAAAGCACATGGTGTGCCGTTCCAGTTTGCATTGAAAGAGGTGTGTACAACTATTAAGATCTCTTCTGCCCTGTTACTAATATATTACAGGGCGAGCCTTTCAGTGAAACAAAACAGCGACTCTCAGACTTCACCAAGATCAAGGGGAAACAGCTAGACAAGATCAGATTTGCCCTTGTCGGCAAAGCTCAATATTCCAAGCCCGAACCAATCGATGATGGTAAGCTACCCTTGACGACGACAAATCTGCAGCACTAACAGTACTACAGATGAAGTCCTATGGGATACAGTGGGCGCACGAGATGACATATCCCTTGGTCTCGAACACCCGGCCAAGACAAAGACGCTCTGGGGAAAGACCGACTCCATCTTCATTCGCTGAAGCAGAGGGACGGTTGTGTAGGATAAAACGAAAAAGATGGCAGGCGACACTGCTGAGTACAGTCACAATGGTCTTGACATAACATTGTCAGCGAAGTTCTGTCGGCATTGCTTAGCGGATCAGGACAGTGAGCGTGTTGTGTGCATATCCCAACTTACATGGCGCAATGGAGCTTGGAAGTATTGCATAAGCGGAGTCGCGTGCGTGGGCAGGTTGGCGCTGTGGTCTGACAGATGTTTATAGAGTCCCACTTTGGATCAGTATCAGCGTGTAAGCAGTGTAGAATAGTATATCATGAATATCATTAGCTTGCTTCATTCCAGGCCACCAAAGCACTACATGTTGAATATCTACTAGATGTTCTTTGAGATGTCTTGGGTACGTTTGTGTATGTGTTGATTCGTAGTGAGAGCAACTTCACGCCGCAGCCGCCTGTTCCCAGGTAGAAGCGGTGCCGTGCGCGTTCGCTTTTTATTCAACACTACAAATATTATCGAGGATCTACACTTTGCAGTGCTTGTCCGCAACCGCCTTGAATCCCATTGGCTAGTCGCTAGTTCCCCGCGCCTTCCCCCCCGACATCCCTGCGTCGGCAAAACCTACCGCCGACGTTGTCGACAGCTGTAACTTCCAGCACATGAGAACACGCATCAACAAACGCAGTCGTCCACGCCAACGAACACGATGCGGTCACTCCTCACCATTTTCAGCGCATTGCTGGCATACACCACTGCCGTGTATGCTACTGCCCTCACCTACAGACTAGAGGCACACGAGCAAGCATGCTTCTACGCGCACGTTGAGAACAAGGGGACCAAGTTGGCTTTCTACTTTGCAGTACGTTCTCCACCCGGACCCTGGATACGCAATGGCCTCGGAACCGTCAATTGTTTCCCTACCTTACTCCAGGCTGCTACGCGGTAGCACGATAAATCCTAGGACAGGAAGGCTGACAGAATGTGGACAGGTCCAATCCGGAGGCTCATTCGATGTCGACTATTTGGTTGTCGGCCCAACAGACAAGACCATCCTGGATGGAACCAAGGAGCGACAGGGCGACTTTGTATTCACGGCAAACGATGTGGGAGAATACCGTTTCTGCTTCAACAACGAGATGAGCACTTTTGCGGAGAAGATGGTCGATTTCGAAATCGCCGTACGTAAAGCCTCGCAGTACACCTATGGATACATTTGGACTATCATACTGATTTCGCGCGCCTACAGGTTGAGAACGAAGCCGCCCGTGCCAAGATCCCGTCCAAGCAGGGCTCCTCCCCTGAACAGACCTCGGTCCTTGAGGAGTCTATTCTCAAGTTATCCGCACAACTCTCCACCATCTCCCGCAACCAGAAGTACTTCCGCACGCGCGAGAACCGTAACTTCAGCACCGTCAAGAGTACCGAGAAGAGGATATTCAACTTCAGTTTGATGGAGTCAGGCTTGATTATGACCATGGCAGGGTTGCAGGTCTTCATTGTTCGCTTCTTTTTCCAGGGCGCGAGGAAAGGTATTATTTGAAACTGCCTCTCAGGATAAGAGTTTGGAAGTATCGTGGGCTGACACATGTTGGCAGGCTACGTATGAGCATGCGCTAGTTCACTTTCCAAATTTGGAGTTGGATCATCATGCAATCTGGAGATCTAGCGGGTCGTTTGGAGTACTATCCTGCGGGACGAGAAGAGTATGCAACTTTTTTGATTACCTGATTCTGGCGCTACTGGGAAAGCGGCATCTTCAAGGTTTTTGGGCGCACTAGTAAGATACAGAAATTCGAGGAAGAAGTGCAAAAGCCATCAGTTGTCGAGACCCCCCATTTGACTATAAATCACCCTAAAAAACTTGCCTGCGACGACTAGCTGTTCCTGGCCGTTTTGAAGCGGGTGTTCTCCACTGATTTCCCCCTCATGGTACTGCTCACGTGCCAGCGTGACTAGAAATGCTCATAGTTTTGTAGGAACGTTTGTGGTTATTGTATAACTTACAAAAGTCTAGAAAATCTTGCCACGAACATGTTGCAGTACAGCCTCCAGCTCTTCTTCATGTGGTACAAAGCTACTGCGCGGTCAATAGCAATGGAGACGTTGCTCATGCCTTATACTCTCGCCTGTCTTACTAACTCACAGTACCAGATGAGCGACGATATTCGCTACCAGGTTATTTTTCGCTCGCTCGCCTATAAACTTGGAGGTAGGTTTGCAGCACATGGGGATGACTTAAATCTCCTTGACCTGACACTTTGCCACTGGCTACAAGCACGATACAATGAATAACTACATTAACCCTTACAAAGGCGACCATGGCACACGCAATAACTATCATCCCCAGGCACGGTTCGGTGGCCTTCCCCATATGCCAAATCAGCAAGTAGCCGCGCAGTCAGTCGGCGCTCCTGGCAGCGTTCAAGGCATGCCCGTTCACAGTTACGCACAAATCCAGAGCAACGACCCCAGAACTCTGCCGAGTCAGCAGCAGATGCGTGCCCAACCCACCAGCAGTTCCGGTAGTGCATGTGGTATACCGCCCTGGCATCCTCTATTCAATGTGATAACGGTGCTACACGATGCACAATCAGCCCGTATGAATACTCAGAACGGACAACAATATGGGCCATTGCATCCACAACAGCAGATGATGATGCTACAGGAGCAGCACCGTCTGCAGCAGCACCACTTTCAGCAATATCAACTGCAGCAATATCATTTGCAGCAACATCATCTGCAGCAACAGAGGCTACACCCAGCAGTACCGCAGCAAGAACGAATGCTACATCCAGCAGTACCACAGCAAGAACGAATGCTGCACTTAGCAGCACCACAGCAGCAGCAGTATCAGTGGTATACGTATGCACAACCTCCGCAACTGGTGCCTCAGGAACAGCCAACGCCCCCATATTCTTCACCTGCACTTGCTGTATCGAACATTGCTACACTAAGCGACGAACTGGCCGCAGCAGATGCTACTATGCCTGAAGCCATACCCACGAAGAAGGCGCGTGGCCGGCCCAAGAAAGCTGCACCTACTGTTCTGTCCCAAGAGCCCATTACAGAACCAACGGGACAGACCAAGGAGACGACATCCTCCCAAGTAGATGACGCAGACGAATTCGATCATCTACCCGGCTACTTCTCGAGGAGTGAAGAATCGGAACTTCTCGAATGGGGATTGCAACAGCAAGCAAAGAACTGCGAAAGCGCCGAAAAATGGAGTGCAGGCTCGTACGGCGAGAGCACTTGGGATTATGATCTTTTCAAAGAGAGCCCTGAGAGCCCATGGAATTATGACCTCGAAAGGTTACCTCGGTGTCCTTCTCCCGTCGGTGATTCAACGGAGGAGGTCTGAACTGGTGTTTGGACATCTTCTGGTTCTGTTTTTGACTCCTGGAAAATTGGGTTTACATTATGGGACGGTTATCTTCAGGAAGGGCACCATCATCATCTTTTACGGTTAGACTTGCACAAGTGTCTTTTTGCCAGCAGTAGAACAAGCGTGCGACATAGATCGGATAGATTCGGTATTAGAACGTCTTCACAATCTTTCTCTTGCCTTTTGAGGATCCTACCCTATCGCTCTCACTACATAACGGCGCGAAGATCGTCAGTCGCGAATGTGGAGACGGACGGGCGCTAACCGGCGGGGATGAGCTGCAGGGATGGATGACATCAATGACTTCCAGGCTGGCGTATTTACGTCCCATCACCAACCCCGACCTCCATATCGGCGATCGGACTTCCGTGCACGCCCAGCTCATCTCAACGGACATCATGGAGCTTGCATACGGCTTTGCCCTATGCGAACCGACACCACATTTGTGGAACCATCAAGCTTCGCCGGTTTTAGCATAGGGCCATCCGTTATCCCCAAAACACGAACGCCATTTCAAGGACACAGCAGCGGACTTAGAGGTTTACGACCGAAGACCGGCCGTATGCCTCTCAACATTGATCCTTCACGTTATAGTTATATACAACTTCACTACCAAGAATTCGACGTCTTGGTACACATTGCCGAAACCGTTCCAGTGCTTGCCCTAGTTCAGACGCGATCACCGCAAAGCCCTATTCCCCTTTACACTTGGCAGTATGGTATTGCTTACCACCCTCAAAAATATCGCCGTGGTTGGTGCGAGCGGCAATGTTGGCACCCATATCACATCGGCTCTCCTTGCGAAAACACACTTCAACGTCACAGCGATCACACGTACAGACTCCAAAGCCACCTTCCCACCAGGCGTTCGAGTCGCACGTATCGACTATAACAGCCCAGATACCATAGTCAAAGCTTTGACAGGACAGGATGCACTCGTTATCACGATGAGCGTGTTTGCTGGTGGCGCGCAGGAGCAACTCATTCGTGGGGCAGCTCAAGCCGGCGTACCATGGGTTCTACCAAACGAGTTTGGTATGTACAACACAGAGGAAGCTCAGAATGAAACTATCGGACCGGGAAAGACAATCGCTCGCAAACTCATCGAGTCGCTCGGCGTTTCCTCTTGGATAGGCCTCACCTCAGGTTTCTGGTACGAGTACTCCCTCAGCGGTGGTTACTACGGCATCAACATACCGAAGCGCGAAGTCACTTACATAGACGACGGCAAGCAGCGTCTGAACACCGCCACATGGCCCCAGACTGGACTTGCCGTGGCAAACTTGCTATCTCTGCCAGTATCTGGATCTGATAGCGATGGGCCGACACTGGAGCAATATCGCAACCGCATGCTCTTTGTTTCTTCTTTCGCTCTTAACCAGCGCGAGATGTTCGAGGCTGTCCAGAAAGCAACGGGAACTACGGAGAAGGATTGGAGAATTACATCCGAGCCAGCAAAGCAACGCTTGGCTACAGCTAGGCAGAGGATGATGATGGGCGATCGTAGGTCCTTTGCAACGGTTTTGTACACACGCTATTTTATTGACGAGGCGGGCCTATATGAGAAGAACCATGGCCTGAACAATGACGAGCTAGGCCTTCCGAAAGAGGATCTGGACGAAGCTACGAAACGGGCCGTGGACCTGGCGTATACGGATTATCACAAGAACATGTACTCGTAGACTGTCTACCTTCTTCGCATGCAGTTCTATCACAAGCATATTGTGGACGTTTTCATTTATTCATTCTCCAACGTAAAAGCGGTACATCAATCGAATACAATAGCAGCCTTCACAACCTCTTGTTTCCTCACCGCGTCCAGACATTCCTCCCATTGCTCGATTTTATATGTCTTGTTTGCGATGCCACCCAACTTCAATCTCCCAGCATTCACATACTCCAGTACATGTGGTATGTGGCTCATGCTACAGAAGCTAGCTAGAATCGTGATTTCATTCTCCCAGATACGGAACGGGGACCAAGCAATCTTAACACTCTCGTCATAAACACCGTACACCACGAGCTTTCCACCTTTGCGTACGTACTCGATAGCCTTTTCGAGGACAGTCGGTGCGCCAGTAGCTTCCACCACGATGTCGAAACCATAAGGATTGTTGGTTTGGAGGGCAGCCATATCATCGCTGGGATTCTCATCGGATATAGTGACGTAGGAATCCGCGATATCAAGTTCGCGAGCAAGATCGAGCTTGGGTCCAGCTTTTGAAGCGATAGTCAACTGGATCATGTCAGTGTTGATTTGAGATGTCTAGAAGGCTTCATGTACATGAGCGGCGCCATTCATTTTGATCAACTGAGCAAGCAGTATACCAGTTGGCCCACATCCGAAGAGCAATACTCTGCTTCCAACCTCCATCTGCATCCGCTCAATACCATGCGCGGCGCATGCAGCGGGTTCAATTAGAACTGCTTCCAGATCGGGAAGATCGCCGATGGGAAATACCATTTTCGCTGGGTATCTGCAATACTCGGCCATGCCACCGGGGACATTACCGCCATATCCGATGATGTTCTCGCAGAGCTGAGTCTTTCTGCGAGTACAGTAAAAGCAGCTGAGGCATGGTTGTAAGGCATCAGCTGCTACACGATCGCCGATGGCAACGTTCTTGACGTTTTTGCCAATAGCAGCAACGGTGCCTGCTGCCTCATGGCCTGTAATAGTGAGTAACGAGATCGAGAAGGTAAAACATCATCGATCATACCAGGTATCAATGGCCACTTCGGTTACGTCAGCGTCGTCCAGTATATGTATGCTTGTACGACAGATCTCACCTTAGCCAGGAACTCGCCTTTACTTCAGAAGAGGAGATAAAAGGTTAGTGCATGCGTTGCTTACGTATCGCATCAGAGTCTTACTGGTAGTGTAAGTCCTTTACTTCTGTCAGTCAGGTGTTCTTCTTGTGGTCTCTCCCATGAGTTCTCTCTGCTTACCGTTCCGCATACACCACAAGCCGAGATTTTGACCTTCCGTCAGTCAGTTCACTAAATTCCGTCTGGTAATAGTCGGTGTTTTGTACAAGGACATCGTCATCACCAATGGCAGGAACGTCGATAGTTTCAACTGAAAACTTTTCGGGTCCTGAGTATCTGATTTGACTTAGCAGCTTTTTCACCATGTTTAGTATTGAGCATCCCTTACTGTAGCGCCCTCATCTTCGCGGGCACATCATGACGTTGTCGCTTTCTTGGTACTGTATGACCATTCATGATGAAGGTATATAGGGGTCTTGGTCCGTTCAGTCACGCCAAAGGTCATTGTGGGCTGTCACTGCTTATAAACACGACAAATTGATAGTTATGTTTGTCTCGACACGAGCGCTGGCTTAGACGCGTGTGTGTAACGGGATGCGGGGTTCGGCAAACCTGCCTTATTAGCCGCAGCATCCGGACTACTCCTTTGGGAAAATGTAACTATACTACATGCTGTACTTGCCGAACTGCAAGCAGTCGACTTCAGCATAACGTATCTACATCAATTGAACTGCATCGGATTCTTCCGGGAAGGTAACTATTTCTTCAAACAAAAAGTGTGTAGCATGAACAAGCACTAGGTTAGTAGTACCGATCCAATCGCTTCACGTAGCATATGAGCAATGCTCGAGTGGGGCGTGAACTTGGTGGGTACTTGTGATTGAATTATTCACTTCTACTCCGCTGGAAAGCATCTATCGATAATGCGTTGACATGAAGTACCCACCGCATGATGTCGACCCGTTCGCCATTGGCCTCCTGACTTACCGCCTCTTCATCGAAAGTGCTCGCTCCTGGATGAAAACGAGTTTATCTTGGTCACCGGATACAGCGCGCTGGCTAGTCAATTGTGAAGTTGGTACTCATCGAGGCCGATATCGCGTCCTTCACTAGGCCGCTATACAATGACTTGACCATTGGGAACGGTGTACTGTCGGGACCCTAGACGTTATCACTGGGTTTCAAAATCCTTTGCGACCGAATCACTTTTGCCGTACGTTGTCCACAAACGAGCAAGCTCGGGGAACCTTAGCGCCGATTCACATTCTGACCTTCTCGGGCCATCGGTTGATAGCCTCTTGGTTGAAAAGCAATGTCTGTTGACACAAAGCTTGTTCCTAGTCTCATGTTGGCCCTGGTCCTCCTTTACACATGTACTAATGCTCAACAGCTACCTACACATGATGAATGGTGGTATTCAGTCTGTCGTGGCTCGCGACTCAACCAGGCCATGGTATGGTCTCCGCCACACGCAAACGACTTCTTGGACCCCATCGATAGTCCGTGGGACGGTGTCATGCACCAAGAGCTTGCGCAATGGGGCTATACGGAATCGGAAAGGTCTCAATTATGCGATTATGGCACATTCTGGGGTCTTGGCAGTGCATTCGGAAGTCTTGGTATCGACCCACGATCAAACTTCAACCATGGGCCTAACAGATGCTTCCGTGTCAGCCATGGAGATACAACGAGGAAGCGACCAGACGGCCGATCGTGGCCGCTCTCCGAGCAGACCTACATCTCCCCAGATGGAAGGTCTAACAGGGCAAGTTTACCTTTGTTTTCTTTGCCTTCGTCTTACTGATGTCTTTGCATAGGTGACAGGCGCCTTCTCCGACATTGGCGTCAACCCTGATGCGGGCATAGTATTTTTCATGAGCAGAAGAAGTGCTGTCGAATCGGCAAAGATCCTTTGGCGACAAGATCCACCGTCGCGGAGGGATCTTCCAGCACTACGGAGTAGTTCTGACTTCGCGTGGGCATTCTGGAACCGAGTGCCGCATTTTACCCCAATAACAGCGTTCTGGAGCGTGAGCGTCAACAATCGCCAGACGCTGGATATCTTAAGCCTCGTCTTCAAGACCTATCAGCCGCCACCAGGGCAACAAAGAGTGAACAGTGTTCAGGACTGGCCTGGAACCGATTTTGAGATAACTTCTGTTGAAGCACTCGCTATCTTGGGCAAGTTCAGTCCTTCCACTATGGCAGCAGACTTTCATGCTTCCAGTAGTATTGACAGAGGTCTACGCGCAAGGAGCTGACAAATACAGGTTCTCCGACAGGCATAGCAGCTGGCTTCTTCCTCGCCCAGCACAAACGACAATTGGGAGGCAACAAGATGATCGTTAAGATCACGGTCTTCAAAGCCCTCCAGCCCGTCACGGATGACGAATTTCCAACCATAATTTTCTGGGTGCAAAACGCTCGCAACATTTATGGCGGTATCAACGGGGCGCATTCGGTGAATGTCTCAGATGTGGTGGGGATCGATCGTATGTGGGAGTTCGGAGAGCCGAAGGTGCTCAAAAGGAGCGCAGATGGGAAGAGCGTTATTCGAGAGCATGTTGTTCGTGTCGAGCTGTAGACGTGAGTTATGACGGAGCAAAGCTTTGAGGTGATACAGGTGCAAGTAAAGGACATCCAGGGAAGACTGTATTCAATCGTTCCAAGGTTACTTGCGCATGCGATCTCGTACACAAGGAGGTATGCATTGCGACATGAGAAATTTGGTACGTCTAAGATCGAAGCGCGTTTTTGCCAAATGAGGTACATTTCGGAGGGTGGAGTTTGGGCTCACACGCGCGACGTCGCGTCTGTAGCTCGGGTTACCTGCCTGTTCGCTTGACGCCAAGTCAGACAACGCGTCCGACGCTCCCGAGCTGTCTTACTGCGCCAGATGCTCAACACTAGCAGGCACACTGTGCGGCGCACTTCGTACTATTCCCCTGGTACCCTTTGCGCCACTGGTGTCGTTGAAGCTTTACGGCTTGGATTATGCGTCGCTGGCTTTGACAAGCACAGAACGCCATCAACGAATGCGGAATTGGAACAGTGCCAGACTTGCAATATCCTCCCATTGTCGACCCTGCATTCAGTCAAACGATTGAAAGCAGTGCTGACTCACCTCGGCGAGTGGTGTGAGCCTGCTTACAAGCTGCCTACATGAGTATCTCACCAAGAATCAGCACATGCAGGTAATGCTTACATGTTGCCAACCTCTACCGCGTGCACAACAAGCGGCCCTATGAAAATGCAGGATTCGACTGCTGATCGTTATTGGCAAGTTCTCTAAACAGTACCAATAAGCAATTTAGGCGTTCAGAGAGAGATGTAGTTTGGGCATAAAGATGGGAGTTCACTACCATGTTTGTTTGCTCAGTTAGATAAAGTCTAACGTCGACTTTTGATATATGCACAAATAGCACGATGCTGTTCAATACGCTTATTCCGGCGCTATCATTTACGGTATGTATCTGCACAGTAACGGCGCCATTTTCGAAGTTTTGCTCACGTATTGTCATATAGGCTGTCGTAAAACTGCCAACACGTCTACATTATCCAAGGAAACTTCAGGGGTTGTAGTAACGCTATATAGATTGTCGTCGGACCCACAGCGACAGGTTCAACGCAAATGTATGCAGATGTTGTTACCGGCGTCTTAACCTCCGAGCCCAGTGTCAGTGTCACTATTCCTGTCAAAATAGGTATGGAACTAACGTGTAAGAAAGTTTGAGCCATCAGTCAAAGCCACAGTAATTCGTGGAGGTGACTGGATTTCTACAGACCCGCCAAATCCGAATTCCAATGCTACTGTGCTGAGACTCCATGTCGACGTGCTTGTCAAAGTTGATGGAAATTCAGAAGAAGATGCGTATATCCGGATGCGATGTACAGGCGCAGAGATTGCAACACCAGAAGTCGCTGCTATTGTAAGCGGCAACCGAAATGCCTCGTCCGTCAAGTTTGGCGACTTTCAGGTACATTATACTACTTCTTCAATACTGTCTTGATCCAAGTCGCTCACACAAGGATAGGCAACGTCATCTTGGACGTTTGAAACCGCGAGTAAGAAGTACTGGGAGTTACAGAATGCAGTCTTCGTGGGCAGCACTAGTCTACGTGTTGGAGAAGATGAAGGTACATTCGTTGTAGGCTTCAAGATTGCCAAAGTGTTGAGTGCCGAGACTGATGTCAGTATATGAACGGATGGCCTCTTCCTCGATGAATGTGCTTTCGAGTAATGGTCAGTGAAAGGCATAATGATTGGAGCATTTCGCAGTATTACACCCTTTTCTATCAGGTACATTCAGGCAGACTCAAGCACGATCATAGTTTCTCTGAATGTTCGCGCAGCGATTGAATCAAGGTTGCGAAACTTTCACGCGCTGACTTGAGTGCTGTAGACTACTTTTCCTTCCCCTGTAAAACATTCCTCTCCATGGTTCTGCCTCAACCTCTCATACACTATTGTCATCCTCGCTTTTCCCCAATATGAAGGCTTATAAACCCTTTTTCGTTGCCGCGCTAGGCACACTGGTTACAAATGAGCGTTCTGTGTCGTCTCCCAAATCCCCTCTCGTGAACATCTCGTCACTCAATACCGCCGACCAAGACACCTACCCAGCCGACATCACGATCGCTAGCGGTACAAATCCCGATCAACTCGTTCACACCTCTGCAATCAAAGATGTTGACTGGGACAAGTCCGTGTGTCGAGGCCGAAAACTCCTCCTCGCAATGACCCGAGATGCCAGCCAAGGCACACGCTATGTCAACCCCCTATTTACACCGTGGGACGGCGATCTTGAAAAAGAGATGGTGGAATGGGGATGGGATAATTGGCAAGAACACAAAGGCTGGTGCAACTTCAAGGATAATGGATTGTCGCCGGCATTAAAAGCTCTGGGCATCAGTGACCAGCATGTCGACGACAAAGGCGATAACCAATGTTGGGTTGCGAACCATTTCGATGGTCCAGGTGTGCTCTTCAATCCGGATGACCCTGATGATATAGATGATTCGGACGATGAGATGTTGGCCATGGATGATCAGTATTATATGGATCCAAACGGGCAAAGAAAGAGGGTAAGTCGGATTTTCGTGCCCAGCTAACTAGCAAACTAAACTACGCATCATGGTAATTCAGCAATTCCATTAATTGACGATGCTTCTAGTGCACAGGCGCGTCATACGCTATGGGCATCAACGTACCCGCCGGTGTCCTATACTTCATCTCACGTACAGGGCCGCTAGAAGCAGCAAAGTGGTTGTGGGAGAGAACGCCGCAATCTTCCGAACTTCCCAATCTTAGGATGAGCTCCGATCTAGCATGGAGTTTGTGGCACAAGATCATGTGGCCTGACCACCCCCTTAGCAATATCCGCAAGATATTCAGTCTATATATTACCAATGAGGAGACGAATGATATCGTAGAAAGGGCACTTGGTATAGGACCAACAGACGATATGAAGAAGTGGCCTGGAGTGAGTTTCGACTCGACGTCGGAGGAGGGTTTGGCTATCCTTGGTAAGCTCGTGCCTTCGTTGTAAGCTGTATCAGTCATACTGATGGAACTTTGTCGATAGGATCAGCCAATGGTCGCGCAGTGGGTTACTTCCTCGCTCAGCATAAGCATCAGTTGGGTGGAGACAAATACGTCTCCAAGATGACTGTCTTTGAGGATGAAAACGAGGGCAATCCGCATGCCACAATTCTGTTCTGGATTGATGATGTGCCTTCGCCACCGCCGGAGTTGCCGGAGCCTGGCGCGCCGCCTGGTGATCATCCCATGGACACTTCGCCTGGGATGGTTCAGTCAAAAGTTGTGAGGAGGAGGGATCATGGAAGGAGTATCACAAGGAAACACGTGATTTGGGTAGGACCGGAATAGGTGAAGAGGGGCGGAATGTGAGCTGGCTTTGTTGTCGTCGTGCTTCGAATGGAAGGTTATGTACAACCTGTTTAAGATTACATCAACAAATCCGGTCCAGGATATCTATTTCGTACTGTAGAATGCAACACCGTGTGTGAAGCGTTACGTAATTAGAACATCGAGCTGACTGGCACTGGGAAGTCTTCTATGCGCAGATGTAAGGCCATAAGCTTACGAACGCGTTTACGAACCGATTGATTCAAGTATCTGTTCCAAATCCTGCGTCGCTGCTTCATTACAACTTTGCCCAGACCTTATGACTCCTCACAATATTCTTTCCATCTTCGGATCGCTCTAACACTCGCCCTTCATCCAAAAGTTCACGCTTACCGAGCGCCAAACCAGTTCCTCTGCCCATTATCTCATCGGGAGGTTGCGGTGCTGGCCACGGTGCCGGTTTAACGACGAAACACAACCACGGCAAGATGCCCGTCATCCAGACTGGGTTCGCTGGTGAGCCCTGAAAGACGTGTATACTGGAAACATATCTATTGTGACCAAACTGAGGCTTGTGCTGCCCAAGAAGGTATCCTATTGCTATTCCGTTCGGAGACCCTATACCAAACTTGTTAGTACTATGCGCATCATAAGCATCATGGGTGCGCAATATACCTAACAAGGCCCAGTACTCAGAGGCTTCTCCAGCTACGAACTCAGTTCCTGGCCAGGTTCTGAGTGGTTGACCGTCCAAGGCCCTCAAAATGATCTGCCGAGTTTCTTTGTTGACAATCTGGTGGGAGAAGATGTAGTTGATATTACCCAATTTGCCAGGGCTCATTCTCTCCCACATGCCCCAGGCAATATCTGAACTCGACCTCAGCGCTGGTAGCTCGTTCTTTGGAACATTATCAACTCCCCACTGATTTTTGGCCGCTGATTCTGGAGACTTGCGGTTGATCATATGGATGACGCCATTCCGCGTGTTGATGCCTATGGTGTAATAAGCGTTTGTGACCTTGTAGCTTACTCCGTCAACAGTATAAAGTTGTTGGTTTCTGGGTGGCATCTGGCCGTTTGGCAATCGGTGAACGGTGGGGCCATCTCGGTGGACATAGGAGAAACACTTGTTCGGTCCGCCATACTGTGCACTTCCTGCGCCGATTCCTAGGGTCTGGAGGACAGCTTCGAACATAGGTTTCATGGTGAAGTCGCACTGGTCCTGGATGTCCTCATTCATACTGTTGTCTTTATAACCCCAGGTCGTAAGTTCGTTTTCGAGGGTGCCAGTCCATGGACTGTTCAACGGAGTACCAAACCTAGCAGCGTTTACTGGATCGAGCGTATTCATTAGCTGGAGCTTCTGGCCGCGACAGCCGCAAGTCTGCCATAGAAAGTCATCAGCTGGGCCAGGAGGCGCTCTCTTGACTATGCTACCACTATTTTCAACGGCGAGACTCCATGTGTCAAGTGGAGTTTCGTTCGGAGGGGGCGGCGGAGCCTCGCCCACGACCAGACTGAGGAGTGTGGCGAGACGTAGAAGTAGTACGGTTTGCATGTTGCGGATCTGTTGATGGAAGTCGCGCAGAGAAACGGTAGATCAAAGGACAGAGAGAGTATATGGAGAAACGGCGCTAGATGTGGTCATGTAGCGCGCACAAACTGATTTTCAAGCAGGAAAAGCCCAAGCTTTGGCCATTTGCGTCCAAAGTGAAGGCGGGTGGGAAAGACTAGAAGTGTTAGCGTAGCAAGCAAGACAGTGAAAGGCAAGTGTTGGCCCATACTTGAAGCAGAGTGAGTTTAGAATGTCTTAGGGCTACCACGAGACATCCGTTTGATTAAGCTGATATATCACGACCGAATTACATGCTTGAACCGACAACATACACGAATGTGTAATCTGCAAAGAATTGCGCGATCATGACTTTATCCAAACCTTATGACTCCTCACGATATTCTTCCCATCGCCGCTTCTTTTGATCACTCTACCTCCATCCGTGTTCGTGAGGGTTTCCATACCAGAGCCCGGGGGCGGTACTAAAACATCCATCGGATCGGGCGGTGCAGTTGGCGGTGGGTTAGGCGCTAGGCCAACAGCGAAAATCATGTTTGATAGCGACGATCCGGTCTTGCGGTAAATGCGAATCCCCTGAACATAGTAGTTACTTCCCAACTGTGACTTGTGTTGAGCAAGAAAATATCCTACTCCTATAGCGTTTGGACTACCTAAAACCAGGCATATTGTCAGCGCCGTTTTGAACTCGAAGCATCAGATACCTCGTTACGTATTGCGAGAATAATTGTAGTGAGAACATACCCATCAAGGCCAAATACTCCTCGGATTCTGGCGTGACAAGAAACCCAGGAGGATTCGGTGGCACTTCATCCAGCCCTTTGTTCTTCAGTATCCTGTCGATAACCTGCTCGGTTTCGCTGTTTATGATGGACATGGATGCAAAAAATCTGATTTTGTTCAGTTTGTCGCCATCTTGAATTCGATTCCAATAGGCCCATGCTATATCTGAACTCGCACGTAGAGCGGGCAACTCATCAAGCGGAACCGGATCATCATCACGTATGCCCCATGTTTCGCGGGCCTCAGCTTGAGGGGAACCCCGGTTGAGGAATAATATGTAGCCATAGCTCGGGTTGATTACCATGGTGCCATGAGCGGCCGTGACCTGAATAGGGAAGAGTGTCAGTTAAGAGCGCGAAGACTGTAGTAGTAGAACTCCCTGGCGTGGGCTTACCCTGTACTTCCGACCATCTTTAGTGTAGTACTGCTCGTTGAGAGGTGGGAGATCTCCATTTTCATCTCTCACGATGTCGCTATTACAATGACTGTATGAGACACAATGGTTTGGCCCGCCATGGAGCGAGTTAGTTATTGGAATACCCAGCGTAGCGAGGTATGGGGCGATCCCGCTAAAGTCGAAGAGATCTGGGTCTTTAAAGTTATCTTTGTAACCCCATTCTGCAAGCTCTTCCCTCATCTCGACATCCCAGAGAGATGCCAAGGGACTCAGGAACCGAGCGGCTTCGGGTGGGTTTTGGGTCATTGCAAAAAGCAGTTTTGCTCCTCGACATTTGCATTGGTACCAAAGCTCATCGTCAGCAGGGTTGAGGTTGTCGTCATCATCGTCGTCGTCACTGTCGTCGTCACTGTCGTCGTCGCTGTCGGGGTCGCTGCCTGGGTCAGACCCTCTTGCGCCTAAGATGAGGTTCTGGTATCCGGGAGAATCGACGCCGACATTGGTAAGATTGAGCAGAATCTCAGTCGCGCCGAGAGCGATGAGACCCATAACGAAGATGATATACGTGAGCTTCATGTTTAGAGTTTGAATGTTTGAATGCCTATAGGTGGGTGTTTCCGTTTCAGAGCAAGGAAGAAAACAGATATAGCGTTCACCGGATGAGCGAGCTATACTAGCGGCCGGAAGTCAAGGTGAAAGACCAAGGTGCTTAGATAGACCCACTCCAAAATCGAGTTCAGTTACTGCGGGATTTGGGATTGAACTGATTCTAAGTGAAGGGGGAAAAGGCGTTGAGATGAGGTGTCAAACAGGCATCTAACGACATCATTCCACCATCTTACCCATGCTTTCGCGTCAAAGCTTTGCCCAAATCTTATGTGTCCTAATGAAATTCTTCCCATCTTTGCTCCTCCTCACTACTTTTGCCTCTTCCGTCGGAGCGCCAGGAGTGTCGTCCGAGTCAGGCATCGGTGGCGTGTGCTTGTCAACGTAGAAGAGTAGACTAGGATAATCGTAAGGATCAAGCTCATCGCCCCTAAAGATCGTGATTTTCCAGATAAAATTGGCGCCACCAAGTTGCCTCTTGTGCTGGAGAAGAAAGTAGCCGGCTCCTAAGCCCTAAATGTGGGTATACGAAGTCAGTGTATGTCTCTTAGGTAGTTCGTGTAGGCGTAATTACATTTGGCGAACCTAAAGAACGTCAAAGTGAGTAGTGTTCTGATAGAGAAGGACTAAAATGGAGGATGAGACTACATAGTAGGTGAAATAAGACGTACCAATAAGTGCAAGAGCAGCTTCAGCTTCAGCCTCTCCGTCCGCTCCCACAATGAGATCTGTTCCAGGCCAACTCTTTGCCTCGTCTATTCCCATCGCTTTCAAAGCCCTTGGTATAATGACTTTCTTAGTCTCGTCGTTCATGATCGTTAGAGACATGATCATTTTGATATTTGGTTCGCCTTCGATCCTGTTCCACCCGCCCCAAGCTAGGTCTGAGCTAGAGCGAAGTTTCGGCAAGTCGTCTTTGTTAATTTGCTCCTGACCCCAGACCGTTTGGGCCGATTTCTCAGGCGAATGGCGGTCGAGGAAGTAAACAATACCGTCTTTCCGGTTTATGCCAAATTTACAACTGGCGCCCGTGGACTGTCATGCTATCAGAATTAGCCTGCTGGATGATTTCGATTCCATGGAGCTACACGCGTCTGACCTTGTAGATCTTTCCGTCCGCCTCGTATCGCTGCTCGGATAGCCGAGGCAGTCCCCCATGCTCGTCCGGAAGAACCGTCGGTCCATAGCCATGCTCGAACAGAAAGCAGTGGTTCGGTCCGCCCTGACCTGCCGGACGTGGGTCAATACCAAGATCAACGAAAGCATCGTCTATATAATAGTCCGTGAAGTCGCATGAGGCGTCGACCAGCGCGTGACCAGATGAGTCGTCGGAATATCCCCATTTTCTTAGTTCAGGCTTTAGGTCGCCGTCCCATGGGCTCTGCGTGTAGGGCCATTGCAGCATCTCTGTTGAATCTTGTTCGTCGAGGGACATGGCTTTGACAAGCGCGGCGCCACGACAATATGCCTTGTGCCATATTGCATCGTGATCTGCGGGATTGACGGTGGCAGTCAAGAATGTTGAGGTTGAGTTGACAATGGTGAGATCTTGATGTAGGTCCGGTCCAGGCGCAATTCTACTCGCCACAGAGGCGATGAGGATAGCAAGACGACAGTAGAAAAAGAGCTTCATACTCAGCTATTAGTCTAAGTCGTGGATTTCGAAGGAAACGAACAAGTTGAATTAAATCCAGGGGAATTTGCTAAACCCCGACGACCTATAAGAGCAAGGGCAAAGCGAGCGCCATGACGCAATACAACAAACGGAGCGATCGTTCCCATCACGAAGTGAATACACGGATCCATGTAGAATCTCGACCTAGTGCGGCCCTTATTGTCTTACACACTCCACTTCTTCTTCAAGGCCGCGACCTGAGTCGCGTTGACGCCTAGTACACTCCCGTGCCTCAAATTCTGAGGCCAGGCACTCCGGTCACTCGCTGTCCATTTTCCACCCTTCACGTCAGAACTTTCGTAAGGTCTGTATCCGTCTGCTCCATAGAAGTCAAGCAACAAATGCGCCTTGCCAGCAACTTGATTATCCCAGTAAGGCGCAGGACCTAAAGTTTGGTATACGAGGTCAGTATGTGTCTCACATTCAGTTCGTATAGGGACATGACTAACCCTCTACACCAGAAGCGATGATAGCGTTAGCACCTGCAGGTCTAGACCAGGTACCAAACAGCCCATTAGTAGAGATTTCTGTGAAAACAGTCTTTGCACTTTCATCCTTCAAGAAGCGCGCGTATGCATTGTTTCCCAGGGCCAGAAATTCCTGGTCAATAATATTGGTAGGTGATCGGTTGATGTAGTCCTGGGGCGCACTGAAAGTCTTGAAGTCTTTGGTGTACGCGTAACGGATTCGAATCGATGAAGGCGCACCCGTATGTTGCGGGTCGGAAGTAGGGTAGAATTTGCTAGCCCAGTGAACGAAGTATTGGCCCTTGGCTTCGTCCCAGATTGCACTGGGTGCCCACACCATACCTGCTGTAGAGTCTTCAACGGTGACAAGACGTTCATTGGTCCATGTTACAAGATCGGTAGACTCCCAAACGAAGATTCCACGAGAGCCTGTACGTTGAGATGCATCCCATGTTGTCTTGCCAATATCAAGGTCTGTGCCAATGATGTACCATTTCTTGCCAGCTTCGGCTGCTCCACCAGATATGATAGCTGGATCACGAACGCCCTGAGTACCTTTCGTAGGAATTATAACAGGTTGGCCCTTGTTCATGGCAATCATGGAGTTTGCATTGTTGCCATTGGAAAGGTAGAAGTAGACAGAGGGCTTGTCACCAAGGAAGAAGACGCCAAGGTAGTTCGTGAGGGAAGAATCGGCACGTGGCGCTATGCCGTACCTTGCGAAGTCGAGAGTCTGAGATGGAAGAGCGAGGACGCTAGGGAGCAGGGTGCACAGAGTGAGAAGACGCATCGTGAGGGAAGTTTCGTGAGTTCGGAAGTGACGAGTGAAAAAAAAGGCTGTAGCGACAGTTTATAGAACTCTTGGGACATGTGCCCGTCTAGCTTTGCCACGCAGTCCGTGTAAAGTACCATGTCCCGAGCATCCCGCAACGGCTGTCCCTCCCAAGAGGGCAAGGTACCCAGGCCTCGGTGGATTTAGAAACATCAAGTCAGGAAATCGAACACATGTGCGGGGAAAATCCGGCATTACTTCAATAAACCCCGGTTTGGCAAGAGGGTGTGGGGTTAGATTAGAGTTGTATACGAAGGATGTGGCATTTCTCCGGCGCTACCAGTTTCCAAGACGCTACGTGAGCAGCCTCGGCAGTTCGGACAAATGCAGTGCCATAACAATGTTGCGATTAACTATAATAATAAGCTCGTGAAACTTTCGTGGTTGGCTACCGATGCGACTAACCATGTTCTGGGGTACATGAGATCCTAGCAGCTTTCCGCGTGACCGGTTAGTATTACAACACTGCGCCCAAACGTCATAGTATGGGATGCAGCGCAGCACGGCGTTGTGGTTTGTATGCCGCGATTGCTATTGTGAGAATGTGTGAGATAGTCATTCCAGGCGTGGCTCAGTCATCATCGCTGTCGTAACCAGCTACAAGCATGGTGGATAGTTTTGAGGGTGGCGCAGCAGCTTTCGTCTGGGGCGCAGGAGCCGATGCAGGCGTCTTCTTCTTGATGCCTAATGCGGCGCTGAAGTCTTTCTTTTCCTTTGGCTTCTTGGTGAAGGTTGTGACCACAGGTACTTCGACAGGTGCATCGAACATATCTTCATCGATTGTCTCCTCGCCGATATCAGGCATGCTCCGGTTTGAGAAGGCTTGTCGTGCAGCCTCTGCATCTTCTTCCTCTTGCTTCTTCCGTCGCTCGTCGGCCGCATCGGGCGGGACATCGGTTCCTTTGCCTTCGCGGTCTGCCTTCTCCAGTCTAGCGTTTCTCGACCGGATCTCGTCTAGAGCATCTGCGATGGCCATCTCTGTCTTCGCATCGTGGACTTTTGATTCGAGTTCCTTCATCGCATCGCGCTCCGCTTCCTCTCTCTCTATGCGATCTAAGCGCTCTTCTTCGGTCTCTTCGTTTAGCTTGGCCTCCCTCCATGGCTCGAAGTTTCTCTTTGCGCCACGCTCGCATTCGTAGTCCATGTTCTTGGGGTCGGTCTTGAAGGTGATCTCGCCGGAGCATCGCGTGCATCGGATGTAGAAGCGGAATATGGCGATGTTGTAGTACTTTTCATCCGTCGTCTCTTTGCGCGCGTTGAACTTGCGCCCTTTGTAGATGAACTCGCCGCAGTGGGTGCACTTCATGGAGAAAGGGGCCATGAGACGGACCGTCATCAGCTTGGGACCGGCATTCTTGGGACCGCGTTGACGCGTGATCTTCGAGGGGTCGAAGTCTGGTGGGTAGTACTTGGTGAGCACTTTTCGTTCAGACATGGCGGCGGATTATGCGAAGTCGACGTTGATCGGGAATTCGGGATAGTAGTTTTGGGATCCAGAGGCGTTTTGTGTTGTGTGAACGAAGACGTCGCGTGATGCGGTCGCGATGTGGTAGCGGATGCTGAGTGTCGGAGATCACGTCTAGGTGAGAGCGACCTTGGAGCGGAACTTTTGGCTGACTAAGGCGGCCCGCTGCTGCAGGAACCCCGCAAACATGTGCTCTCGCGTCAGGTAGGCGCGACCCTGGCACCATCACCGCGCCGCCGCCTACTGCAACCTCGACTGGAGACACGTTTTTTTCTTTGGAGAAACCTGCTGACCTGCCTAGACAGACTCTGTCCGATGCAATAGCAAAATTATGGAGAAATATCTTCGTGAGTGGCGCCAAGAAGCCCTCAACCGCTGCCAGTACGACACAGCCATCTTCGTCGCAGACAAACTGCTGGCCTTGACAGGTATGAAGACCGCATCTATGGATTAGCGCACACTGACGGGATATCGTAGATGACGACCAAGATGCATTCTGGCTAGCCCAGGTACACTTCACCACCGGCAACTACAACAGGACGCAATCACTCCTGGCACGCGGAAACCTCGTCGAACGCACACCACAATGTCGATATCTCGCCGCGCATTGCTCCCTAAAGCTGGGCAAATTGGAAGAGGCTCTGAGCATACTGGGCGACAAGAACCCGACTCATCTCATCTCAGCGCCAGGCAACACGCGTACCAAACTGCGGCATGTCGATGTCAACACACGGGCAGGCGCAAGACAGAACAAGAACGGCTCGCGCAACGAGCGCTTACCCACCAGCGAGGAGCGTGATCGGGAGGATGTTAACAACATCAAGTCGGAAGCAGGCATGTGCTATCTGAGAGGCGTATGCTATGCAAAGCAGAATTCCTTCGATCGGGCCAAGGAGTGCTACAAGACAGCGGTGCAGATTGACGTGCAATGCTTCGAGGCCTTCGATGCGCTCATGTCCAACTCACTCATGGCGCCCGAGGAGGAGTGGAAGTTCTTGGAGTCGCTCAACTTCGACACCATCAACGTCACCAACAACCCTTCGCTATCGCAAGAGGCGGCTTCGTTCACCAAGACACTCTACACCACGCGATTGTCCAAATACACCAGACCAGAGGAGTTTGCCAACGCGACCGAGACACTCACAACCCACTACAATCTTGGCGAGAATCCAGATATCGTCCTCTCCAAAGCCGACCTCATGTTCACCCTCTGCCGCTTCCGTGATACCCTTGCCCTTACATCAGCCGTCCTCGCCAATGACAAGTACAATTTCAACATCATGCCTATACACATAGCGTCCTTGCATGAGCTCGGGGAAAAAAACACTCTGTTCCTGCTTGCGCACGAACTCGCGGACACGAACCCCTCAGAACCATGCGCTTGGTTCGCTGTCGGTACCTACTATCTCGCCATCGGTCGCATAGCTGAAGCACGCCGCTACTTCTCCAAGTCCTCAATGATGGATCCGCATTTTGGCCCTGCCTGGATAGGTTTCGCGCATACTTTTGCCGCAGAAGGAGAGCATGATCAAGCCATCTCTGCCTACTCTACCGCCGCACGCCTCTTTCAGGGCTCGCACCTCCCACAGCTTTTCCTCGGTATGCAGAACCTTCAGTTGAACAATCTCAGCCTGTCACGAGAATACTTGAAGACGTCATATGATCTGTGCGAGAACGATCCGTGTCTTCTTAACGAGATGGGCGTTGTCTACTTCCACGAAGGACAGCTGCTAGACGCTATACAATTCTTTCGCCGTGCACTGGCCTTCTCGGAACAAAATGAAGCAGATCCGGATGCTTGGATTCCCACACGGATAAACCTTGCCCACGCACTTCGAAAATGTGATCAGTTTAACGAAGCACTTGCGACATTTGACGAGGTTCTTCGCCACGGCAACAAGGACCCTAGCGTCTTCACCGCGAAAGCACTAGTGCTCCTGAACCTTCATCGAAATTGGGATGCCATCGTTACCTTACACGAAGCCCTCGCCGTCTCACCCCAGGACCCTATGGCTACCGATCTCCTCAATCGCGCGCTGGAGATGAACGAGTCAGAAAGTGGGCTCCTCGAATCTGGACGGGCTGATATGGCCGAGGGTGCGGACGAAGACGAAGAGATTGAAGAGTTAGAACGAAGAATGAATGGCAAGCTGCGTGAGATTGAACAGAATCGCAGTGCGGGCAGGCGAGGTCGTAGGAGACGGCATGCACAAGGCGTAGCAGACGAAGACCTTAGCGCTTTTGGGGAGAGTATGGTGGTCGACTCGGATGAAGGCTAGTACTTGCTGGCTTCTTTTTGGATATACAAGCAACAGCCATGGATTTGGATATCCCTCATAGGCAAAAAGGCAAGGTACTGCGAAACTATAGGATCACGGTCAGGCGTCACATGGGCTTTGGATCATGGCATAGCGTGGAGTGAGCGGAGTCTGTAAACATCTTTTTCTGCATAACCGATACCATATCACAAGCGTTTGTTCTTCAAATGCACTTCATTCTTGCAATTCTGCAATGACTCCTTGTGCCTATTTGCGCTAATGTCTTGACCCATTTCTCGCAAAAGCCCCCCCACTCGTGCTCGTGATGAAACCATCGTGCTTACATCGACTACGAAGAGGTTGGACGCACCCCTGGAGTTATTCTTGTATATGGAATCTAATCCGAATTACGAAGTGACTAGATCTGGTTACTCCATTTCCTGAGTCATCAAAGTCACCGTTGACTGTTTCGGTGGATATAGCTGGGTTTCTACTTGACATCACCTTGTCGGTAATCTTCTCGTCCTGATCAGGCTGTCGACGTTTGGCGTCAGGTGGGAGAGACTTCCAGCGGGTCGCTTGCGTATGACTACTGTCTACTGATTGTCGCGAAGGTCAGAAATGGTACCGAATCTGGCTACGGTCAGCGGATCAACAAATGTAGATCAAAGGAATCTAGCTATTGACTCACATCCTTGAATGATAACAAGCATAGCTCAACTCGGTCCTTCAGAGGGTGATTTTCTCTCCGTACGGAAATACCAGGACAAATCTTGCGATAAAGTCAGTCCATTAACAGAGGTAAAGGTAGCGCTGCTTGATTCGCACCTTTGGCGTATCCCCATCTTTGTATTACTGTCTCAATCCCTTTCCTTGTAGTTTTCCTTGCGATTTCCCTGCTCTTTCCCCTCTCCAGTAGAGTATCATAATCGGTGTGCATATGACGTACATGCGCAATGACAGCAAGCAAGACTTTCCGCGATAACGGTAGTGAACTTGTTCGACCGACTCTCCCAGAATGCTTCTTGAAGCCGTGCCTAAGTACCGTTTCCTTGGCCGCTGCAGGTATCTTTGGAAACTGAACGTCTACTTCGGCAGCTGCTTTGGCGATATCAGTAGCATCGCGTTGCGCTGTTGTAGCGCGGCGAGTAGACAGCGTTTGTTTTGCTTGAGTGTGAACCTTGTGCAGGACACTCAGAGGGACACGAATCCCGATCGTCTTGTTCTTATCTACAACAATGTATAATTTCCGGCCCTTTTCATGAGTAAGCTTGCGGCAGTGGAGCGTCTTGTACCGGTCGCCCTTTGGAAGATAGCCATATTCCTTTGGCATCGGTGTTTTTGGTGTCACCTCAATCTCTTGACGCATGGCTACATAGAGCGGGTTCAACACTTGTGTAACTTGCTGGCGCCTGGGTCGTCAAATAATGCAAGTCTGATTCTATTGCCTACTCTTTGTCGTCTAGCGCGCTCAAGCGAGATAAGTGCAAACAAAGGGGGCTCTGAAGCATTGTTGATGAGGAAGCGCGTCGAGACGCGTCGACTCGTGGATCGACAAAGGATCTGCGTCATCGACATCAGGCGCTAGTCCAGAACAAGCGCACACATGTGACAGCGCGCCCAAGTGTCTAGTAAACGTCCAACGACATTCTCACGTCCGAGACCTTATAATCCCATCTATCTTAGTCCCGTCGTGCGGAGGTATTCCTCTGTTTCACTTCCCGCGCGTCAACACGTAATTGAAGATGATGATCGCTACTCCCCCGCGGTCCGGATCAATCGGCACCCAAGTGCTAAGTTTGGCACTCAGGAGCGTTGGTCCCACCTGCGGTCGCCAATGCGCGGCACAGCTGAAGCTTACCCGACTCCACAGCAGCCACGAACAGGCACCATGACGACGCTTCAGTGGCACCTATAAAACCTCCAGCCACACTTATGGACCCCTACTTTTCGCAGTCTCGACCTCCATCCTTGCTTTTGGATTGTCCTAAGCCGTTCTGGTCATGCAAATCAAACCCTTGAAGAGATCGGATACGACACTCAGCGACGATACTGAGCTTGCGAACATCACATACAACGACAAGTATGTTGTCGTGTATGACTTTGGGAGCGTCGGTATGTTCTGTGTGATCACACCCATGAGGCGGCTGGCTGACAACCGCTAGATGCCGATGTCGCCATTGCGGAGTGCAAGACGTTGTTGCATGATCTAGAGGCTGCAGGCCTCAATACTGAGGTACGCCCGGGCTATGACCAAACATTGCTGGTATTTGTGCAAGCGCCTAGAGACCTGCTTGGCAACACCGTTTACAAGTCCCGGTACGTGGAGCTGTCCATGGACTATTTGCCCCAGCACAAAGCTTACTGGTAATCTTTACAGAGTCAAAGACTGGCTGTATGCTATCACCAAGAATCATCCTGGCGGTACTGCAAAGACTGTAGTCAGCGCAGCTTTCGAAGCCGAGGACCTGCTGTCAATGTATCACCTCGTCAACTGGCGCAAGGAGCTTGGAGGAGCAGGTATCACTCCAGGATTTCCTCCATGGGAAAATGTGACTTCCATCTTCCCATTACACAACCAAGGTGCGAACCGCGCATTGCTGGCGCATTTGAGCACACGTGTGTTCTTGGAACCAGCAGACCTAGATCGTATCCGTGATCTGTGGGGCGCCAAAGTTGCCTTCTACTTCGCCTTCATTCAGACTTACTTCCGTTCTTTGGCATTTCCGTGTGCTGCTGGCATATTTGCTTGGGCATTCCTACCAAAATACTCTCTCCTCTTTGCACTGCTCATTGGTGTCTGGTGCACAGTGTTCTTGGAGTATTGGAAGATTAAGCAAACCGACCTTGCTATTCGATGGAACACACGAGGAGTAGGTGATCTCAAGGTGAACCGCCCACAATTCCGTTACGAGCAAGAGATTATCGATTCAGCCGGGAGGATACGACATGTATTTCCCAGGTGGAAGAGGATTGTGCGGCAGCTCGTCGTCGTACCATTCGTCCTCATTAGTGCTTTGTTCCTTGGAGTTCTTATCGCTTTTGTCTTCACTATTGAGACATTCATCGGCGAGGCATACGAAGGTCCCTACAAATTCTATTTGGTAAGTACACTGCCGAACGTTGCTGAATAAACCTAATTGCGATCTAGGAATACTTGCCTACTGTTCTTCTCGCCGTCTTCTTACCATATGCGACAAACTTCCTGGAAGACATTGCTACTGCATTGACAGAATACGAGAACCATCGAACAGCTGATCATTACGAAATGTCGCTGACACAGAAGATTTTTGTGCTCAACTCGATCACAAATTACCTGCCAATACTTCTCACGGCATTCGTCTACGTACCTTTCAGCGGAAAAGTTGTACCGTTATTGCAGAACGTTATCGATGCGACACTAGGCGCGCAAAACAGGTCGAAGACAGTATTCAAAGCTGATCCTGACCGGCTGCGCAATGAAGTCATAGCACTCACCGTTACTGGACAGGTGTCAGGCGCAATAGAGGAACTTGCGCTGCCCTGGTTGAAGACGCAATTAAAGCAATGGTGGCGCGACCGACAAGCTAAAAGAGCGCATAACCGGAGCAGCGACTCATACGTAGGACCAATGGAAGAAGATCCTGCGGAGTCTCGTTTTCTGCGCCGCACAAGGAGGCAAGCGTTAAGGCCACCATACAATGTACAGGAAGACATTGCAGAGATGGTCATCCAGTTCGGTTACCTCGCACTCTTTAGCCCCGTGTGGCCTCTGGTACCAATTGGCTTTTTTATCAACAACTGGATCGAGTTACGGTCCGACTTTCTGAAGATCTGCGTTGAACATCAGCGTCCTCATGCGACACGTAGCGACGGCATCGGACCATGGGTAGCTAGTCTAGAGTCGTTGACATGGCTGGGCAGTATTAGCAGTGCTGCTATCGTTCACATGTTCGGTACCCAGCGATTCCTTGGCGAGTATCTTGGCTTGAGTACATGGGCTAGTCTACCGGTCACCATCCTTATTTCAGAGCATATCTTTATGGGTTTTAGAGCTGCTGTACGATTCGCGTTATCCAGGATCGGCTCTGAGCAAACACGGAAGGAGAGAGCTGAACGGTATGCGAGGAGAAAGAAGCACCTGGATGAGCTTGAGGCAACCGCAGAGAAGAAGTCACATCTTGATGTAACTGAGCGGGAGAGGCGAAAGAGTGTTCGCATCAACGCAGCCGACATCTTCTGGACCAAGCAGGCGGACACGGGTGCAAGCGCGGACGCCGGCGTTAGTATCATCAAGGCGTTGAAGACCGCGCAGCAGGAGAGCATCCTCACTGGGCGAGAAAACAAGATGGACTGAAGTGCAGCGTCAGGATAGGTAGACAAAGAGCTTTTTCATTCTCTCCGTGTATGTACAAATTCCCCAACCACCAACCAAAAAGATATATACAGAATTTCACACCATCGATGGCGCGCGACAGGCTTACTTCAGAGCAGCAAGAACAGTGTTGTAAGCAGTCTTGGCGTTGTAGTTGGAGTCGAACAGAAGCGGGTTGCCCTGAGGCCTCCAGGAGTCGGAGTCGCGGACACCCCAGACGGTGATACCAACACAGTTGCTCTGGTTCAAGCAAGCCTTGACAACGTTGGTCCAGTCGGATTGCTGGGCGTTCTGGATGTCGACCTCGGTGAGCGCACACTCGGGAGCTGCTCCGCAAAGCGCGGCCATGGCAGCTGGGGCGTTGGCACCCTGGCCAGATTGCAAGTGACCTTGGGAACCGATACCATCGATAGGGATGCCGGCAGCGATCCACTTCTTGACGTTCCTGACCATGGCCTGGGTCTTCGCGTAGGAAGCTTGGTCCAGGCTGAGCATTTGTTAGTATAATAACATTCCGCATAAGAAGTTGTGCTTACTTGTAGTCGTTAATGTAACGCTTCGCAGACGGGTCCGCAGCCTTGGCAGCCTCGAATGCAATACGAACAAAGTCCTCACCAAGGACGTTGTAGAAGACGCTGGCACGGAAGTTGCCGTTCTCCTCGAACTGATGGATAGTCAGTACCTGTGCTGCGTGTATCCTCCCCGCGAGTATGTACGTACCATCTCGTTGATGACATCCCAGGCGTAGACCTGACCCTTGTAGCGGCCCATCAAAGAGCTGATGTGGTTCTGCATGACAGTGGTCAAGGTGGCCTTGTCCCTGATGGACGAAACCCAGCTGGGCAGCTGCGAGTGCCACACGGTGGTGTGACCGCGGAGGAGCTTGCCGTTGTCCTTTGCGAACTTGGCGGTCTGGTCGGCAGTGCCGAAGTTGAACGAACCACGCGAGGGCTCAGTGGCATCCCACTTCATGCTACCCAACAGTCAGCTCTGCATACTTTTTGCTTCGAGGCTTCACGAGACTCACGAGTTCTCGGGTGTGATTTGACCGAAGTTCGCCTTGATGATGGCACCGTTCTTTCCACTGTTGAAGCGGCCTGGGTCGGAGCAGGTACCGAAGTACTTCCTGCCCTTTGCCTTCATTGCAGCATCGATGCTCTGAGCAGCCTGGCGCTCATCGAGGAAGGCTTCGGGCTCAGCGAAAGGCGCAGCCGAAACCAGCGCGGTGGCGGACAAGATGGTGATGAGAGAAAGCTTCATGGTGAATTCGAGTTATCGAGACTGTTACTTGACTTGGAGACTGTAGAGAACGTTGGTGGCCAGATACCTCAATATTTTGTCAAGCCTCAGCCTACTTATACCAAATTCCCAATTCCCTCGGCCCTATCCAGATATTACAGACAAGATTAGCGATGTCTCCACCCTCCCTCTCATTACGAACAATATCCATATACCATACCGACCTCGGTTCCTCCTGCGCATCCACCGCCACCAGTATGGGGAAGAGTGCATTAGCTCCAGGACAATTACCCACACGCAGCAAGCTGCGGGAGATTAATCTAATGCGCCACGGTGTATGCAGGTGGTCGATCAGCCTTTACCCAAAGCGCACCCTTTGCCTCCCCAATGCAGTATAAACGACGAAACAAAGCTGTTTCACATTAATCTAAATGAAGCTTCCGGCGCCGGTTCTTGTCATCCTTAGCACCGTCCTAATGTTCTTTACAGCCAGCTTGGCACCTTTAATCGCGGTTAAATGCAATGTGCCACAACAACCGATCCCTGCATACACGCTAGGGAGTTGCGTCACGGGAACGTGGTTCTAATCCTTTGGGATCTGATATGAGTCTTGGGGGCGTATTGCCGGTGCCAAAAGGTGTTCACTGAGGATTTGAGTGCCTCTATTCGTGGAGAATACAGATTGATGAACGTGGGGCGGTAAGCGATTACGCGCCGTTAGGGGCACTTCATCCGCTGTGGAGTCAGGTATGGGGAGCATATCCGGGGAAGGACTAGATTGGGTTGTGCCTTCTATCCGGGGAAGACAGGCTCTCAAGGGCTTGGTGTTGCGCTGACCTGGTACGTTCGTCGTCGTTCATCACATGCAATCACGTTCATAACAGCCTCGAGTAGCATACCATGTCAGTCATCTGCATGCTTTTGTTGTGAGGTGTGGTCTAAAGGTGGCAAGATATTTGTTCTTACATGTGTAATGAGCCTCGGTCATTTGAGGAAAAAAGCATCTTCATATTACACTACATCACGGCCAACAGCTTAAAGATGAATAGCCTCTCCGAGCTATAACTTCGAGAAAGATATGGGCCGGCTGATTAGAAGGCAAACAATACTCCCGGATGTGTTCGTCCCATGTTGTTCCTATTCTCCCTGTCCCTTTATCACCTTGCATACAACCGTTGACGCTTCCTCGACATTCGAATTCTTTTTTTTCTTTTCACAGAGCGACAGCCCTGTATGTCGTGGGAAATCATGTTTCTGCAAGATTCGATTCTACGGGGGCGCACCATGTAGAAATTGCAATCCGAAATATGGTTGCTGAACAATTCACGTTCTCCACGTAAGGATTTGTCTGCTCATCCGATCTCATCGGTCTAAGCAGAGGCACTCTTTACTGCCAAGTGGAACCTCTCATAGCGACGGAAAATCTAAACTGGGCGTTGGGTCTACAATCCCAGGATAATTAGATGGCCTTTGCACCCACTCGCTTCTCTCGCATAGACCGATTGACCGATCTGTGACTAAAAGGTTTTGAGAAAGCGGGTGATGATCGTTGTATGCATAGCTCGTGGGCACCTTATTCTACTCATGTCCGTTTTCGAGCTCGAATCCTCGATGAAATCCAATAGGCGCAACGTCATCGAGTAGCTGTGGATGTGGGTCGTTTCGAAGGTCACTTAACTCTCGAGGTCATCTCGGAATCAGTGGGCGACTCGAAATGGATGTATGCGTGATCTACGGTGGATTCGAAGAGAACACGAAACATATACACCATGATTCCGAATTCTTAGAGTGAGAATGGCTGTCTAGGGTATCGTGAAAACCTACTTGGAGCTTGACTCGGCGTAGGTGAGCGAAAGAGCTACACTGACCAGTTGGCACTTGTTCTGGTTCAAGATAGCGATTATGCCACCCACTCATTATTCTCGATTTTACCGTAGATTTGTTCTCGATATTGTAAGGTAGGTTGAGTAATAGCCTCGGTCCGCACGGCAACCATTTTGCGCTGGACATTCTTGATGAAGGGTCTTGGTCGTCGACGGTAGATGTTAGTGAATCTGTGATGTTCTTAGGTTAGATGTCTGTTGTGTTATGACGATCTAGAATGTAGTACATTAGTATCAGTACGAAGGGGGACGGCGGATGTATTGTCGCAACGGCGCGATACAACTAAGCCTAATGTAGCATTTCACAATCAACTTCGTAGTGAGTCCAAGATAGAGATCATCAGTCTGTGCACAATTACCAAAATTCTTCTTTACTCATTGACAGTGCCAGGACAACAGCAAGACAAAGTTTTTGAAAGATTTCGAATTCGTTATTCATTCATGATACACCTATCCAAACAGAAACCAGTAGATAGTTTAGTCACCCCCATTATTAACCTATCTGCTGATTATCAGCCTTATCCTTATTATGATAATGTTGTACGTACACACATTTATTTCTTACTCGAGATCTAAATCCAAACGCCTAACCACGGCTGCAAGTGCATCCTTTCCTCTTGGCAGGATCCACGCTTGGCCACCCCACACAGATAGCGCCTCCTGAGCATACCTGGCCGCTAACACCACAGTTGTCTTTGGCGCAGGGTCCAGAGTAGCCCTGGGGACGAGGATCGGGCATAGCGACAGCGACGCTAGCGAGGAAGGTAGCCATGATGATAGAGAAGCGCATGTTGGCGATGCGAGATTGAAGAGGAAATCGTTTGAAGAAGTAGTTGTGATGTCGTTGGTGTCGTTGGTGTCGTGGTGGAGTTGGGCAGCTTTATAGGAGGGAGGACGGCAGAATCTGGAAAACTCGGTGTCCGTAGTGCAGTAATCGCGCAGGTGTCGTATGCTGCTCCTGAATGGGCAATCGGAGGGCGTTCGATTAGAGGTGCGGTTGAATTGTGAAGTAAGACTTTGATGTGTTGTAAGCTGAGTTCGGGATGGGGCGTTTGCCCTCCCTTCTTATACACTCATGTCAAACCTCAAGTGACGTGTTTAGTCTTTTGACACAATACTCAAAACATATTCACAAGACCAGAAACAGGAAATGTGGGTATTCGATCGCTGGTCGATAAGACCCTAGTAGGAATGGCCCAAGAATGAAAAGAGATGCAGGCGGGGATTTCCCTCCGCGACTCCGCTTGGGATGACGCACATCGCGTCGCTGGAGCGTGGAGTCGTATCATGGGTCACCGGAAACAGGCGTTTTGTTTGGCTGCTTCGACAGGGCAGCCCTAGATTTTGACAGTGCGGCTCTAATCCGGGACGATCTAAGGCCTTGAAGTCAATTGTCTTTGTGTGCCACGGACTTGGCTCCTTGGCTGGCAGTGGGCGGTAAGCCGATAACGTGTAGATCGTAGGCAGTGCTTGAGTAATCTGGCTATGAATATATCCACTGCGGTATTTTTCGTAACAGCCTTACGCGTTTGTCTCACGCAAAGAATGGCGATGCTCTTGGTGGGGTTCAAGGTACTGTTGATGATCTTTCCTATGGTGTTGAAGCCAGACTCGTGTGTAGATTGCCGAGAGGATCCCGGAGTCACGCAGATCCCAAGAAAGCCAAGATTATGCCTTAATTGCGATGCAACACTCAAATGTTCTTGTAATACGTAGGTGGATTTAGGGGGCGCATATGGAGAGTTGGTAAATAGATGAAACTCGGTTGTGTATACAGAATGTACATGCGAATGTACATGCTGAGAGGCCTGGCACATCTTGGAGCATCGTCATAGCCGGCTCAGCATATGTGGGGTAGATGGCAGTGCATGCTTGGGGAGAGTAAGAATAGATGAAGAGAGGCCGACTGAATAACGAGAAGAAAGACACTGACTAGGGGAGATGGGTGCATCCTCACGATGCCCGGTTTCGCAGGTGTAGAGTGACGGAGAGATGGTTGGTTGTCGACAATAGAGCATGTGCTTTACGCGTCGGGTAACGTGTGCCTGCCTTATCTCCGAGCTCCAGGCATCACTCGACCCCATCTTCCCCACCATCAGCCAACACCATCACGAACATCTACATGTCCACTCCACAAGTGCAAGTACAGTATGACGAACAACAACGAAAATAATCGACGCGATCACACCCGACCCGAAGACAACCCCTTCATCGCCTTCCGCCGCTTCGCCGATTCCCAGGTCTCGTCGCTCCTCAACACCGTCTTCACGCTTCCCGCCACCATCGCGAACTACAACAACGCGCATCACGCACGCGAGCAATGTCTTTTTGGCAAGGCCGACGAACGGCAGTGTGCCAAGCTTCGCGACATTGAAGCTGACATTGCCGAGCTGCGAAATGAAGGCCGAGAGTTGTTCAGGGTTGGCGATGTCCAGGCTGTGTTGCGCAATAGTGAAACCCTCATGAAGCTCGATCGCAAAGCTGATGACATAAGAAGAGAGATACTTGGCGATGCAACAAAGAGCGAGGAGCCGCAGATCACGCGACAGAACGATGCTGGCCTCGTCGAAAGGGTGGTCAACGAGAAGGGTCAGGAGTGGGGATGGTCGTGCGACTGGGGCTTTCCTCGACCTTTCGACAACGAAAACAGGGGCTCATCGGCAACTTCTGAAGAAGATGGGGCCAGGGAGTGGATGCAATTAGAAACATTGCTGCGGATGCAGGCAGAAGCGAGAAGACTGGCCGAGGAGTTTAAGGACAAGGCTTGGGACGATCCTGTAACGGACGTCGCAAAGTTCGACAACTACAACGAACCTCGCTCAGAAGACGGAAAGCCCCACGTGTGGACATGGTCCAAATCCTGGCAATGGCCGCCGCCAGCAGATGCATCGCAGATCGATGACGCTGCCTATTCTCCGCGCGCACTCGAGCAGAACCGCGAGATGGACAAGGCCGGCGTGCCTTGGCAAGCGGCCTACGAAGATCTCCTACGAGCCGAACAGGCCGAATCTCCACACTGTATGAGGGGAAGCGAACGGAGAGCCTGGGGAAGAAGGAGGACACCACTGTTACAGGAGCGCAGTGAGACGCTCCAGGATAAACCAGAGACCAGTCATCCTAGCGGTGTGGATGACGATACATCAGACAACTACTGGGTTCATGGTAAGATCCCCATCACGCAACGCCAGCTGGAAGAAACCATGGATCGCGATGAGGAGCCAAGCTGCCCTCACCTTGCGACGAGCGACGAGCCGAGCTACGAATACAGCCACGATCATGAAGACCAGCACGATGATCCTCCCACGCCGAAGCAGGACCGGTTCCCCTACGCCGACACTGTCAGGCGTGACACATACAATACTGTTTTGGACGCAGCACATGAAAGAGATGAGGAAGCAGAGACTGAGATGGATGTGTACGAGCGTATGGACGCTGTGTCGCGAGGCCCAGCCTCAGCACCCGGGCCCACCTCGGTAGCATCTGCGATCGCTGAGCAGATGAACGAGGCGAAGCCTTCAATTCTTTCCACGCTTACGACGACCGAGCGAACTGTCGCGTCTGATGGCTCCATAACAACCAAAGTGGTACTAAAGAAGCGGTTCGCCGATGGACGAGAAGAAAGCTCGGAGACTGTACACACCCAGCGCGGCCAAGGAAATGATCAACCGCCGCGCGATCCTTGGAAGGCGTTCCAAGATACGCAATCGGTACAGGCCGAGTCAAAGAATGGAGAAAAGAAGAAGGGCAGCGGCTGGTTCTGGTCCAGCTAGCTTGGCCATGCTGATAAATGATCTCTGCAGGTATATCTGAAGCTAGAATGCATTTCAAGGTGATGGCGACACTATTTTTCTGGCTTGAGCACGTTGCTCACAAGCTTCGCTCGTTCTTTTTGTTGATCTTCAAGGCCATGTTTGCATGTTTGGAAATTTTTGGATATATAGCTGCGCATACCCCTCTCAATCAAATACAGCCTTGCTTTCTCGTAAAGACGACACCTTATTCATGTGCACTGACTCCAACCTGACAACAGGACGTTTAACAGATCTCGCTTGTCACGGCTCTCAATCTCGATCTCCATAGCTGGAACAAGTTTACACGAACAGGGTTTCATAGAATTCATTATCAAAGTCAAGAAACAATTATCAAGGCGAGATGGCTACCGTCACTGGATCAGACACCATCCTACTATGTTGCGATACCGCAACGCTCTTACTCCTCTCCTTTACACTCATCGTATCGGGAATAATAGTGTTTGCCCTAGAGATTCCGTCATCCCATCCATCCCCGCCTTGCTCCGCCTTCTCTAGGCCCCATACACCATCCGCAATCGCCCTTGCTTTGTACTTGATGATTAAGCCTACGGTGACAGGTCCAAAGATCGTGTTGAGCACAATGGCCCATACGGCGGTGATGAAGGCTTCCTTCGACAAGTAGGGCGTGTTATTGAGGCCGATCTGCACAACAAGGAGGCCGATTTCGCCGCGCGCTACCATTGCAGAACCAAGGAGCATGGCTGGCCAGAAGGTGGACGTGAAACATTCTCGGATTGACATACCAGGTGGTCTGCGCAGGATAGTAGCGAAAGGTATCACGAGGCCGACCACGACTTTGGAGATCAACATGAGCAGTGTGTAGACAAAGCCTTTCCAGAATGCCTCCGCGGTCCAAAGATCGAGGAACGGAATGGCAAATCCGATGGAGGCGAAGAAGAGAGGTTGTAAGAGGTATTTCACCACGTCGAGGAAATACTTCTCAAATGTGTGCATGAATGTAGGGCAGATTGCGGGTTCGCCTGCATCGTCGTATTCGGTGGCCTCGGCGATAGAACGAGCTTCTGCCTCTTCTGCCTCTTCGCGGGAAGGTGGATGGAAAGGGCCAGTTGGGTGCTTGGATGGGAGGTATGTGAGGAATGCTCCAGCCATGAAGGACCCGTAAAGGACTGAGGTACCGCCGAAGCCAGTGATGCTAACAAAAGCACACAGAACAAAGATCATGACGATCACGTTAACGACATGACGCTTGCGTGTTTTTGGAAGATGCGGCTCGACGAATTTTCGGTATGGAGGTGCTATCACCCATTTGTTGAGGACTGGGGTGAGTATGGCCAGAAGACCGGATACTAGTGTAGGGCGTCCGATGAGCCAGCCTAGATTGGGAGAATTCTCACCTCCTAGGGCTCCTAGTTGACCGATTACACTGATAGGTGTTAATGGTCTAGTAGCATTGTCAAGCATTGGGTGTCTTACCTGGCCATGACCAACCCAGAGACATCATCAAATACAGCCGCACTGACTAGAACAGTACCAACTCGTGTATCCGCAAAGCTGATCTCCTTGGAACTTTTCCCCAGCACCACGAATGTTGTTCCAAGAGAAGTGACTGAGAGTGCAGCACCCACGATGAAAGTTTCGATTGCGCCATAGCCGAAACCGACATATAACAAGGCATACGTAAGTCCGATCGGAGCAACGACCCCTATTGTCGCAGCGATAGCAGACAGTCCAAAGTTCGCTTTGAGCAGATCCAGCCGCACGGCCAGGGCGCCCTCAAAGATGATGAGAACAAGACCAATATATCCGAGAGCAATGAAGGCCTCCTGCCACGCGATTGGTATGATCTCACCACCGATAGGAAGTCCGTAGATTAGACCGACTATGATCTGCCCTATGAGACCGGCGCGGAATACACGGTTGGAAAGCCATTCGCCAAAGGAAAGCCAAAAGAAGAACGACACGAGGACGAGAATTTGAATAACTTGTACGTGTCAGTATGTGTTGTACCACTTAGAATCTTGAAAAGCTCACTGTTCGGCTCATGATACTGCAAAAAGCCTTCTGTGGTTGGAGGGGAAGTGTCGCCTGCCATGATTGTGATTTGTCTTAGTTGAGTAATGTTGCGAAGTCCGCTTGCCTATTCCAGGCTTTGCATGGCTTCCTTTACATCTTTAAACGAGCCTGCAGTCGCCTTATCATGCCGCTCCAACACATGTTTCGCATCTCATAGTCTGAGGTCTTGGGGATACATGTGGCGGCCAGCCAAGCAACTGCGCGGATGCGGGCCCGTTATCTGGGTCGAGGCAACAGGAGCTCGCACGTGCGAGTGAGTCAGTGAAATCTCGACTCTCAGCCTTGAAGATGCCTGCTCGCTACGGGTTTCTTCTCTTATCCGTCGGAGTATGAGGCTATACCTGTGATGGGCGGCAACTTGGCGTTTCCGCTCCGCGCTTGGCTTGACCATGAAACCACATCTCCGCCTTGAGTCTAAACAGCAATTGTCGGAGGCGAATACCAAGTGTTGGGAAGTGGGTCAAATTCGGTTGTGACGGATGTGTTCTGAGTCAGTCGTGGGGAAGATTGGGGATGTTCGACGTTAGGAATACTCATGTCTCCTGTCACTTTACCAAATCCCAGGGTCCCGCCTGGCCTCAGCGAACTTTTTTGTTCGGGAAAGTCATATCCTGTCTAGTAAGACAACCTTTGGAACACCCGAGAGCGCTAGGCGTGCCAATCTTATCGCTAGTTACATGATACGTTGAGTGCCCGGATGGTGTTCTTATTGTACAATTCACGTCTACAGGTTATCGGTAAGACTCAGGGTTAAAAGGGATGGTTGAGAAACAAATGAACCTTGTTCAAGAGGGTAGCTATGGCGTCGCATGATATGAGGTTGAAGGTAGGTGGGATGTGTCGCGTCCTGACATCTGAGCGACTTAGAGCCAGAGCTCTAGCCTTAGTCGATCTAAAAAATCAGATGATGCAATGGTTCAGATACGAGGACAATGGCATAGCATGAGATTAACGATGCTGATGACGTGTGCCTAAGTCAGCGGAGAGGGCTGAGAACATCCCCAAGACGCGACGCGACGTAGCGCCAGAAGGCTAGTCCGCAATCGGCAGAACGCGTCTTCGAGTTCTCGACCCCTCCAACCCCAGACCTTACGGGAGTCTTTTGCATCAGCCTATACGTATGCTCCTCTACTCTGCGCCACCGTGGTCATCTATTTTCACGCCATGTCGCGCGTTGCAAGAGCGAACAGAAGCGCCGGCCGTCGGTCTCCGCCTTCTGCATCGCTGTGCCGCAATCTAATCCCGGACCCAAAGTAAAAGGCTCAACGTGTCAAAGTAGGCCGCTGAGATTACCACAATCCCGAGATACTCTGGAAATCAGCTCAGTGCTCTCTGCGAATACCCTGACGTGTTTTGAAATCTTCTTCACTCTCGTTACGCAAGCAAGCAAGCAAACATGCGCGCCTTCTTCCTCCGAAACCTGCGACGCAAAAAGACCGAGCCGACCACTACGATCGCACCGAACCAAGACAGCGAACCAATGCCGAGACCTGTACTGCCGAGAAGCTCACCTCTTGGTCAAAAGCAGTCTGTGCTATTCGGAAAGTTGTCGGCTGAAATGCGACTCTTGATCTACGAGAAGGTGCTCGCTGAGCCGCAGTGTTTGTTGCACTTCTTACATGTTACTCCTACCAAAGGACGACCTGCCAAGCTAGGGCACTGGCGTTGTGAGGATGCAGCCAGTCCATATCTCACCTGGCAGCATGTCTGTTTTGGGGTTTGGAATGAGGGGAGCACGCGCTGGTACCGCCCCGCATCAACCACCAATGGCGACCTTATATCTATGCTCATCGCATGTCGTTTAATGTAAGCTTTCATCGCAGGTCTCTCATCACAGCTAATTAAAGGGGCAGGTACTGTGAAGCTGTGGAAATCTTGTACAAGGCGAATCAGTTCAGCTTTAGAGGTGCTACAGGAGTGATGAGCTTTCGTACGCTCATAGCCCCAGACAGTTGGCACATGCTGCGCTACGTAAACGTATCAACGAATATTTTGACACCGATGAGGCGTTTCATGACATCCCGAGGCAGCTTTCCGAAAGAAAGTTATCTTGATTGGAAAGACGCTTGTTGCGCTCTAGCGAGTCTCGATCAACTGCGCTTGCTTCGGATCGAGATGACTATATGGGACCAGTTCCAGTATCATGATGCCGATGTCGGTACGCCAGATGATGAGTCACTGATCTTCATCTTCGAGGCATTGAAGCAAGTGCGTGCGCAAGTCTATGAGGTCCAACTCAACATCACCTTACCCGTACAGGTCTTGGATGCACTTGGAGACGTTCCATTCGAAATATCGCCGCTTAAGAAACTATATGACAGGGAAACTTTTCCTTTGTGAAACAAGGACTTCTGTCAACGCGCCATAGGCATCATGTACATCATGATCAATTTCAAGCCACACCTGCCCTCTTTACTATTCGGCCTTTGCTATCGATCTTGGTTTTGTTCTTGAGCAGCCAAGAGCCTATGGAGCAGTCAGCTTTTACCTGTGAGATAGGAGCCATATCACGTACCGCTCGCAAAGAGAGCTATGGTGTCGGCGTTGTTGTCTGGTGCGGCTTCTCCCCCAAGGTCATCTCCTTCACGTGCGAGTCGCAATGCCGCCTTCCATCCATATGCAGGCGACGTGAAGAGACCAAGAAGTCGGGTAGTAGACGGAACATCTGCGAGACCCTCTACCTCTACCATACCGTCGTTATATTCAGCATAAGCACCACGACCGTGTGTCATCTCATGTAAGAGGACTTTGTCCAAAAGGTTGAAGGCATCTGGTTGCGACTAATTAGCCGCGGCGCGAAGTCGAGTCGTTCCACCACCTACCAATCTGTGTGAGACCGAACAGATTCCATTCAGCCATATTGATCATCGCCCTACCGATATTCGTCCTCCTTTGAGCGTCATCAGAGAGCTTGAATTTCTTCTGCTTGATCCAGTCAACGAACCACGTGCACAATTGGATCTGGGTGGGCTGTCTACTTTCTATCGCTACGCCATTCCTCCAGGTAATGTCCTCATCTTCCGTCTCCGGGTTGAAGGTCACAGCTAGAGCGACTTTATCAAGATTTGTGCCTCCTCTACATTGTTGCTCCTTGAATTTCAGTTTGATACCATTTGCTATGCGTAATTAGTCTTTGTTCAAGGAACAGTCAAGTGCCACATACTAGTATCTCGCCAAAGATCTTCCTCTCCCTCGACAGGCTTCCAGCGATTGAAATGGCAAAAAATGACCTAAGGCAGAGATTAGACCCTTCCTGGAATGCTGAAAGCGTTTTTCTTCGACCATACCACATCTTTCGGAAGTACACTGGCGTGACCAGTTACTTCGTTCCGCATGTTGGTATTTATGTTTTGCAACACGCTGATAGTCTTTGCCATTTTGCCCTCTTCTACAAGCTTAGCAGGGTCCACGCCGTCTTTCGCGAACAGAAACCCTAGAAGTTCGAGCGCCTCGGCGTGTAAGGGAGGGGAGACCAGAATTCCATATGCATCGTAAGCTTTCTCGAAAGCCGACGTCATGGCATCCCGGATGTCCTGCGCAATGCCTTTGTCTTCACAAGATTGGTCAATCTTATATCCGGAAACATAGACTGGTATAAAGGCTTTGAGAAATAATGATGTCAAGAGTAGTGACCACATTTTGATAGTGGTTTCACGGGTGCATGGTCACTTGTAATCAAGTCTTCGCGCAAGCCTTTTATATATGTGCAAAGCTCTTGTAAGCATCGCCACCGACGCAGCAGCGCCGCTATTATTTCGCCCCAACGGGAAACTGTTCTCTTGCCAACCATCCAATATGCTGAGGAATATATCGGCATGGCCCCATGTGTTCATGCCTTGTAGTTCGAGTGAAAACTGAATAATTTGCTAATCATAGCCATTCTTCGCGAGGCGTAGTTCGCCAATTCCTCGGATAAGGGTAGCACAATCTCTTCTGCTACGCATACAACATGGAACATTCGGCCCCGGCCCCAAGAGCTCCCAGCATTGCGGCGAAATGGGTACGTTCCATCGCCCCAACCGCTTCCAATCTGCAGTACGCCACGTACCGAAAGGATGAAATCATTTTGAATACCGTGCCACGTTTCATGTTCACATTGATGAGCCAGAATACCTCCATCATCGCCGCAATAGTCTCCATCGACCACTAAATGCAACAACTTCCCGCCCCGTCTGCGTACAAAGAACTGTGCCTCTCCGGGCGTCACGCTGCAATCTGGGTGACAGAAAGATGATATGGTGTCTCAACGGAGGAGTTGTATTCCCGAGGTCTAAGGCCATGACCTATCCATAAATAAGCTCGAGATCCGCCCTGGATGATTCACTATCGATCTACTCTTAATCGACATGCTTTCTCCTAGCTTTATAGCATTAGCACTTTACCTTAAGACAGCTGCGGCTCGGGCTTTAAGAACACCGATTGAAGCATCTCCGCTTGCAACAAAGGCACCCTTGCGTCGAGACGAAAGCGCAGCAATTCCAACGTTCACATTTGGCCCTGAGAGTGTGTACTTCCCAGCCGCGGTACGAATCAACTTATCCGTTATACTCACGGCGCTAACATCCATCCGTAGGCTACGAACTCTGAGCCTTCAGGCACAGAGATACAGGTGTATCCTACCGGGGTTCATGATACGATACCACCTGATGGGATCACTATCGCCTTCGGCCCTGGGATACGCCAACAAGTTGAGGATGTGCGAACGCAGAGTTGCAACGACGGACAATCGGAAGGTTGTCGCAAGGCACTCAATGATATACTGCAGAAGACCGAGGTGTCTACTCATGTCAAGCGTTTCATTCCACTTGCCGCTTGGGCTTTTGGTGTTGCCCTGGCAGTTATCATCACCGAGGCAGTTTACATATACAACCATGAGCTAGGGAAGGAGATGAAATTCCGTCCAGAAGACCTCCGCCAGATCCACTCGATGGCAGGCGCTCAAGAGATCGCCATCGTGACCGCCTCGGACGCGACCGCTGTACCAACTACTTTGACATACCAACCACCTGCGACAAGTACAGCGACGTAAGTGACATATGTTTAGTTACAACTTGTTTGATGCTGATTTATTTTGCAGTAGCGTTATCAGCATCGAAACACTTACTGCAGCGAGTAACGGTCACGAACCAGGAGACATTGTCTATCATATTCCTGAAAGAATGGCTGAGCGCATCCAGGACTTCTTGGGCATGACAGGTCTCCAGGAAACACAGCAGATCTGTCAAGGACAAAACTTGAAGCGCGCTGACCCCACTGAGGAGTGTGTACGGAACATCTTACGCCATGCCATGGATCTTGCTGACACAGGTCCGGAAAACCTTATGGCCTTGGCGCAGGCAAACAATCCGGTTGAACCCGTCGCAGGTCAATTCATTGGTTTCCCAATCCCCAGTATCTCCATAGGCGAATCTGTGGCTTTCGTTCAACTCTATCGTCAAGTTTCCAGTGCTACTGCACCAGTCCCTCAGGCGGATCAAAACTGGAATCCATCTGTTCTTACCAAGAGTGCACTCGGTCTTACCATAGCTGTACATGCATCCATGTTTGCTGGCCAAACATTAGCTGAACTAATCGTTAGTAAGAACGATATAATCAACGACCTCAAAGAGGAGGACTTAGCATGTGCCAAGGATCTCATTTGCACACTGAATAATTGTCAAGGGCAGAAAGAGTTGACTCACCCAATAACAGGGGTAGTGAGCGCAAAAGTACCTCTGACGCCGACATGTCTCACAGTAAGTCAATGATATGCCGCATAAACACAAAACTCAAGGTCTGACATGATCGTATCTAGCCCAAGAACCTCGGATGTAGATGCGGAATCGTGAACTATCCATACGTCTACGATGTGCCACAAGGATATATGGATGCGCAGTATGAATGGCTGGAAGAACTTATCAAGTTAGCCGATACTCCAATACCAGAGCCCGATTGCAAAGACAACGTGGAACGGTTTGACAACCCCAGGGCGACTTTGAAAGGGTGAGAGAATTCCGGATTCATTTCTCATCAACTGTTACTGAATCTCATATAGATGGATCGAGAAAGCGTGTGCCGAGCACAGCAACCAGCTCAGTGAGGAATGGGTGTATAATTACTACGACACTCCTGGATTCGTTGGTGCTATCAGATGGGGAAGGTGGCCAGGTGGACTTCCTGACTGCTCATTCGATTGCAAGACCGTGTTCACGACATTTCTAGATTCTGAATGTAGGTCTGACATGTCAAATCTACAGAGTCTCGCTTACGTGGTTAATAGGTGTGAAGGACGAAGGGTTCTCAAGCACTGGTGAGATCAAAACTGAATGTGGAACTGCATTATTATATGCGATGAATTCAGCATGAACGAATAATCCAAAGTTTTGCATTAGTGCAACATGGGTGACGGTTGCGGACATGTTGATTGAGTCTTATAAGAGGCGACTTAATGAACATACCAAAGTCAGGTTATCACAACAACTCTGCACAAATCCTCTGGCACTAAGCAAATCCTGGATTAAGCTTGTACTTCTCTATGATTAGATGTAGTCCATATGGCCCGTACATGCGTGGGTCTGCATCAGCCCAAAGAAGCCGCATCATGTCGCCGAGGACAAACAAATGTCTCATGCTAAATTGACTGGATCGAAGGACATCGAGAAACGTTTCTTGCTGGTCCTGTTTTACTATACAAGTACCAGCAATGATAAAAGGCCACAGAATAGTCGTGATGCATGGTGAACCCAGTAGCTGTGGACCGTAGCTGAATAGCGTACCGACATGGTGCTGTATCGCGAGTATCACAGCAGTGTCCGCGACCGTCGTACCTGCTATAGCAGTCGCGAGGTCGATGTATAGTCCTTCCCGGAATGCCTCACCGGCCAGACGTGTGTGCTCTAGCATCTCCATATCCGACTCCAATTCAACTCGAAAGGATTGCATTTGCCAAGATTTGATTCGGCCGAGCAATTTATCGTATATCTTCCTGATCTTAGGAGACAGACATGTCATGCCGGAAAGCTCTTGGTCTAGCCGTTGCGATGCAAGTAGGCTCACTTCGGTAACAAGGCTGTATATTCCATCACAGCCGAACAAAAACGATGCAGAAGTGGAAGGTAATTCTGCAGCTGCTGTTGAGATGATGATATCTTCCCCTGGCAGTTAGCGGTCTTTTACAGCGCCATAAGGCGTGACATTGTTGGTGAGCGAAAGGAAACTATAAAGCCCAACAGTAAGACCTAGAGCTCCCCCGATGAACGGACTTACTAGCTAGCACAGAGTTAGCTTATGAGTGGAAGGGATATCTTGAGGGTGTTATAACTTCAGGGCAGCGCGCGGCCAAGGAAGTTATCAATGCTCTCCAGGAGTAAGAGGGATGAGCAAGAGGGAATTGAGACGACTATGATGGTACTCAAATGGAAATGTCAAATTGACGAGCTTGGATGATTGGAGAGGAATGAAAAGGTCCTAATGGTGTTGCCTAGGGTGTTCTTTAATGACGTCACATTACCTAGGTAGGCTAGAGACGCGCCTGTTACGCGTTGGTATGTATCAAGCATCCAAGTCCTCCAAACCTAATTCTTTCACCCAGCCACCTTCCAATATATCCTCACCCCCCTTTCCATTGCGCATTCTTGGTAAACGCGCGATTACGACGCGTTCATCATCATTGGCTGCCATGGACACTGTTTTATCCAATAGCGCGATTAGTCCTCGTAAATATCGAGCATATGCGCAGGCTGTCAGTATGCTCGAGCATCATGAAATGCCGAAACCCACTGTGGCTGAAAGCTTTAGAACCACTCGACTGGAAACAGGATTAACCTGCTACCAATACATTCTCGTTGGCTGATCATTCCACTCTCTTGGCATGCATTGGGGTTAGTCCGCCATCTCCAAGTTTGCATCGAGGATGCAACAACAATTGCATGCAGCTTGATACCAACATATCACCTGAACCTTACCTAGGTACTTTAGCTTTCCAACTTGAGTGGACGAGGGGTATGGACGCTAGACCGCTTACGGGCAGCTTAGCGCCGAAACGACGTTGCATATTGGGTACAGCATAAACTGCTACCTGTCTAGCCCTTACGCTTGCTATCCCACGTCGCGTACCGGAAAAAAGCTCGCCCATCCAGCATGCGTTTTCGAAACCACACCCCTTTGATTACTCCTAAGGGACCGTGGTTGACCTCCTTAAATTGGGATCTATGCGCAACGGCTTCAGGCGAGATATGTACACCATTTCAACACTACGTCCGCCAGGGACAAGAACGAGCAAAGCCCTCACTCCACAGCTTCACAATATTTCTGCGCTTGCCTATAGAGCTTCAGAATTATATATTGTCCTTCTGTGACCGCAAAGCACTCTGGCAGGTCATGCGATCATCCCCTTCAACACGCAAAGAGGCTGCGAAGCTCTTCTGGTCTAAGCCCGCGGTACGTTTTGTCATCGATGGCCCTTGGCTTCTTTCGGGCGGATATCCCGGCATCACATATTCAGATCTCGAGGCTTGCAAGTGTATGCGGTACTTGTATGTTGAATTCTCTCATACATCGTCGAATCTCGGCAGTGAATGGCTTGACGGCGAGCAGCAGCACATCAACTTCCGAGACGACGTTGAAGGACTAGCGAGCAGCTATGAAGAACATCAGATCACTGAGTTCTGGAAGACACTTCGTCGACGTTTTCCCTGCGCTAAAGATGTTGTGCTGGGCGCTGAGGGTATCGATGAATCTGATGCAATAGTGTTTGAAGAGCTCATACAGATGGTCGGAAGATGTCCAGATGGTATTTCTGCACGCCTATCGCGCTTCTGTCCTGATACGCCGCTTACATTTCGGCCCGTATCGAGGCAGCTATTCCAGCAAACCCACGCAGATAGTAGTCGATTTTCACTAGAGCTGACCAAGGCATCATGGTCACCACAACTGGTTTTGCCTCCAATACAAAAGCGTTCTGGGCCAGTAGGTGCATATGAGCGTTGGCTTCATGATGGAGACCTCTACAACTACATACAGAACGCTCGTAAGCTTCTCCTGATACAGGCTATCGAAGCATACTATCTACACACTCTCCAGGCTGCATGCATCTGTCCCTTCCCCAATTGTGGCCGAAAATTCGAGGAACCAGGCCAATGGGTGTTACACTACGTTTCCAGCGACGACAGCATGCATGTCCTTGGTAAGCCCTCCCCTCCATGCGAGACGCTCTACGCTGCATTCGCAGACCATGAGATACGTCTGAAACTCATACTGGACCGACATGACGAATATTTGGACACGTTGCGAAAAGCGTGGGGCGAAGAAGGAAGCGACCAGCGCTATATTGCCACACAAGAATTCTTAGAGCAGCTACGGGATGACCCGTTGTGTGCACGTCAGAAAGAACCAGAGGAAAGTCAAATTTGGTTTGAATATCAGCTCGCCATGAACGATGGGTGGCACAATTATCCAGACATGACCACAAGGCAGAGATGGGGGGTGGATATGATATAGCCAGCATATTGAGAGTCTCGCGATATCAAAGACTAGTACCGTCACAGAGCGATACACACTTGCATCGATCAGCCCCATGTTCTCGGTTATCATAACGAGATAGTTTTACAATAAGTTCCTCGATCTGCATAGAGAGTTGCGTGATAAGATCTACCAGTGCGCACGACAAGGAACATACATCTGCTATCAGGACATCGTTTGCACTTTCAGTGCCGTCAACGCATCATGTGTAGACTACGATGACATTACCGAGAAAGGTAGCATACTTCCGCTTTGGTAGCTACCAAGTATCTTCGTATCTTGTTAGAGAGCTCGTCGTGCGCTATCCCCTAAAAGAAGATGTGCGGCTTTGAGGTTCTCAATAGCATTCTTCAACCATCTCCTGCCATCGACTGTCCTCCCAAAGCGTGAACGAAGAACTTCGTCCACGAGTGCATGGTCTGATGCTAGCACCCAACCGTAGTGCGTATCGATCTGCTGAATCTGCCTTTGCATGTTTGCGGCTATCTTCGACATGCGTGCACCTGCAATCTGTTCTTCTCTTGTACCTGGAGTGGCTTGCATGAATTGGCTATAGAGTAGGTTGAGTTCCTCAAGACAGCTTAAAATCTTGCCTTTTAGCTCGCTGATCGTTTCAACAAGGTCTTCGAATTCTGAACCGGACTCCCCGCATGGCTCACGACTTGGGGTTTTGTGTCGCACTGTTGTTTCCAGATGTAGTCGCATATGATATTTCACTTATTAGGCTGAGTATACCAGGCGTAGAAGGAGGCCATGAAGATATGCTTAATCTTTTGCGTTCATTGTGTGATGTCGAAAACTGTTACATCGCCTATTTCACTTTGCGCCGTCGTTACATGTCTTGCTTCCTTCACTTGCTGCAAAGGTGATGGTAAGTGATATGGTAATTAGTATTAGATACAAACAATATTGTATATTCCCTGCTGAATCTTCGAAGCTGAAAGAATTACTTTACTTGCCAGCGCAGTCAGATACTCGTCAATCCTCTCAGTGTTCCTAGCAAGTAGTCTAACCGCTTCGTTCTTGTTCTCTCCAATTTTGTCCAGTTTCTTTGTCCCCTGATCTTCTCAGTGGACTGTGAAGCAGATACAGATTACCAGCGCTGTTTCCATAGCGGGACGTGACTATGTCGTGTTGCTCAGTGCGCTGATAGCCACACAGGAGCTGTGACCTCAGACTCTACAGTGTGACAGGCCTAGCATCGAGTCAGACCGCACGGCGGCTTTGGTACATAATCTGCGACACATGACAAGAACAAAGATATGCCTTCTTCACCGATACCATAGCTTCTCAACCCTTATCAAGCACGAGCGCGGTGTGAAGTTTCTTTTGTGCCGCCGAACCACATTCCTCTAGAGCGATGCGTATCTCTACAAAGCAACGCGTGCGCCTACCTGAAACAACAAACAACCATCATTTCTGCCGTCATGTCTACTCCGTACTCAACACCTCGATTAACACTCTTTTCGACCACTTTTTGGGAAGTTCTTCCCTCACATTACGACAAGATCATAACACGCTGGTCTAAGATTGCACACCTGCATCACGAAGCAAAGTCCGACATATTAGCCACCGACCGCGCTGGTGCAGTGGCATCCCTCAAAGCGGAGTTAGAGATGCTGGATCGGGATGTGGAGGAGTACCGAAAGCTTGTGAACGGTGTTGATATTACTGATATTGCAGGCGTATACGTCGTGGGTGGCAGGCCGCGACATCGCGCTTTGGAGATTGCGAAGGAGGACAAGAAGGATCTGGAAGAAAGCTTGAGCTTGGTGGAGGAGCATGTGAAGGAGATTAAGGCCGACGTTGCGTACGGGTTTGAAGAGATGGAGCAGCCTTGATTTTTTTTCTTTTCCCACTAGACATCTCCAGCGCTTTTACATCAATTTTGCGTTTTCGGATAATCTTCAAACCAAGCTCTGTGTCTGCAGTCTAGAAACCCCCTGGGCAGTGTGAAGCCGGCCGTACGTGATTTGAGTTGAGCTATCGAGTCAACGATGAAGATAAACAACGTGACTCACATTGATCGCCATGACTTGGTGTGACGGCCCTGCACTGTACAACTAGTAAAGTGACCATCTACTGGAGACATCGAGAGTATTCTCTCCCTTCAAGATGTGCTGTATATAAGAAGGATCGTAGGAACAGATCTGCGCGATATCATCATAACCACACGAACCAGCACAATGAGCACAACGAGCACCGCGCATGTCCTTCAGTGTCGCCATACCGATGATCTTACTCCACTCTTAACAGAACTTGAGGATCGAGCCGACTGCGTTTTGACAAGGCTATACCTGCTCTGGCAGCTAGACGAGGAGTTTGCAGAAATCGAGAAAAGCCTGGAGCAGCAAGATTACATCAATCTCATCCGTTCCATAACCGGGAAGATGGAGGCAGACCTGGAAGTCATTCAACAAAAGAACGAGTTACTAAACAATGGCCAATTATCCGACTGGATCGATAACGGTACAGATGAGGCAGAGAAGTCAAGGAAACAAGAGCATGTTATGAGACTGATGAAGAAGATGGACGGGTTGCAGAAACAAATGGCGGAAGCGAAGAGAGGATATCTCGGCTAGAGGGCAGTGGCGGAAGCCCAAATGTTATGATGCTGTGAACGCCAAAAGAGACTGGAGCCTGTTGAGAATGCGGCCTCCAGGTCCAATGAGCTTTTAGTATCTGTTGACAATATTCATGTCGTATTTCAGCGTACTCTAATCGAAAGAGCATGCCCACTCGACAGCCTCAGGCAGATGCGCCGTGTTCGGGATGTTGCTGCTTTCTCGGAACTCAACTATCTTCCTCTCCCCTTGCTCTTCTTTGACCACGGCGAATGCTGCATTGGTGAAGTACAGATCGCGCTGGACACGAGTCTGGAACCCCCCCGCCCAGCCGATCATGTAGACGAAGCCGCCCTTATCGCCATTTATGTTGGGTATGCCAAGGCTGTTGATAAAACCGTGCTTGAAGGGTGCGAATGCTACGCCGAGAGTTGCGTTGAAAGTCGTGTAGAGTCTGAGGGAGCCATCGAAGTCGTAATGCGTGTCGTTGAATGTAAATCTGATGTCTTTTGAGAACGATGTAGCATGACCTTTAGGCCAATCCGTGTTCGCAGGATACGGGTAGAAGCCTATTTTTCTCGAAGTCAGCATGGTCGAGAAGACGATCTGGCATTGTGTATACAGACCGTTGACCGCGCATTCTAGCCAACTACTGAGCTGGACGCTTGCATTTGCCGCTGGCGAATCGACCAATGAGCAAGGATCGACAGGTGCCTCAGTCAGGATATTAGGTGTATTTGAATCGAGCATATCCTGCGGTGATACATCGAACGATGTACTGGACGCAATAAGGCCGCACAGGGTGACTTTGAGCATGTCAGTCAAGATTAAAGGTACGGCTGCACATCACCCTTACCAGCAAACGAAAGATAGCGCATAGCGATTGTTCAAAGACACAAGACACGGTGAGAAACGGATACTTTGCAAAGGTCAGCACTCCTGCGCTTCTGTCTTATAGTTAGACGGGCCATGTCGCTGCCTGCAGCTGAGGCTGACGAGGCTGACGCGCTGGTATCTCGATCAGTGTAACATTAGCACAAGACAGGCAGGTGGCCAGGATGATGGCCAGCTTGGGGCTAAACGCTCGTTCGCCTGCTTGCGATACAGGTACCAATTATAGCATGAGAGTCGAGCATCGTGGGCTTCGGGAATGCAGGTCGGAGTTGTCGATTAGTGTCAGCTACGTAATTACCGGAAGCTGCCTTCCGGGCCGATGCGCACCGCGTCAGTCTCGCGCTGCCGTCGCGATCCAAATCTCATTCTACGCACCGCGCCCAAAGAAAGAACTCTTCCCAAATAGTCCACCCATCCCTCGTGGCCTCTTGCCCACATCTGCCATAGTCCTCTTGTTGACCACCGCGAAACTGCTTGTCCTCATAACCTTTCCGTTCGGATCTGAGTTGAATGCGCCACTTGGGGGCGCAGCGCCTATTGGCGTCGGTGGCACGTTCGACATCTCAACAGCCTCTCTTTCTGCCCCAGACATCTCGGCTATCTGAGGATGCTGCGACATCTGTGCAGGCAGCCACTCCACCCTGATTGACTCATCACGACTAAGTTTCTGGTCATTGAACCACAGCTCAAAACGGATGTCTGCGGGTCCGATCAAGACGCGCACCGAGTACTCGATACGCAAGTAGTGCTTCTGTAACGACCAGAAGTGCTTGTTCCTTTCTTGAAACTTCCTTTCGTCTGCAGCAGAGAGATCTGAACTGATCTCGCATAGAATGCGCGTGTCTACAAGAGCTGTTAGCAATCTGCACGACCGGAGTGGATACAACTCTGCATGCATACATTGGTTCATTTGATCTGGTAGCATCGCCGCCTCCAGATCACTCTCGACGACAGTCGTTGGAAATGCCCTTCTTGGGTCGCCTGGATCAACCTTCTTGATGAAGTTGTGCTCGATCGGTTTGTCGACACTTACCGGCGCGCCCTTCTTGACGAACCATGCTATCGACTGCGTAATGTACAGCTTGTTGTTCAATGGATCCCGGACAAGTGCCTTCCCTCGATGCTCAGGATTCTTCTTGTCGTATGCAATCTTGCATACCGTGCCGTATGAAGCGCGGCAGCAACGCCATCCAAGAACCGATCGTGATGTCAGAATCTTTCGCATACGATCGCTGACCAGACCTTTACACACAGCAAGCTGAGGGTCAGGCGCTATGCTTACGGAGATTGACTCGGCGTTTGGGAATGAGGTGCGTGCATAGTATTTTCGGAGTTGCGACTGCACATACGCGCTATTGCCCAAACCGCCACTGAGGACAAGATGTGCTACATGCTCTCTTGGAAACTTTTGGAATAGCGATTGCAGCTGCGTATCGATCAGCTTGAATAACTTCGCGATCTGCTTATCGAACAATCGCTGGAGATCCCCCCGTTCAAACGTCATCTCTCCGCTGCGGATCCGAACCTCCGGATCAGAGTTGTTGTAGGTGTGAGGAACGCGTGGAATACCTATGCTGAACAGTGGGGTATCGTCTGGAGCACCGTATTCGCACTTGACTGCTTGAAAGTCCCGACTCTTCATCATCTCCCATCCGGCATCTGCAGGGTCGACAGGCAGAGGATTTGTGCTGTGTGCGAGCGTCAAGCGATGCATTACCAGCCTCTCAAACTCATAATCGATGGCAGCAGAACCGATGGTCTCTCCGAACACGACATCCATCTGCTGAAGGTCAATAGCTTGATTGACTGTGCCAGTGACCTTCAGCACACTGAGATCCGTGGTCCCACCTCCAGCGTCGCAGACTAGCAAGACGTCGTTCTCACGGAAGATGCCTGGTGCTTCAGTGGATACATGCACAGCGGCGGCCTCGGCCTCCGTCAAGCCTATGTTCACATCGTGATTTGGATGCGTACCGTAGCCCGCCTCTTTCACAAGTCGCTTGAAATTCTCGACAGTCGGTATTGGAGCCCAAGTTGTGGGCACGCTGAAAACGAACTCGATTCTGGCCTCTTCCCAGCTAACGCCAGAAAGCTCACCACCCAATTTGAAAGAAAGGTACTCGTACATCTTCCGCAAGTAGTCGCTGTACCATTTCTCGACTTCCTCCAAGCTTTCAGGCGCGCCTTCTGGATCCTCCAGTTGCTTACGACGCAGCTTCTCTGGATCAAGGCAGGTCTTGAACCACTCTTTGTATTCCTTGTCGTCTGCAGCGGTCTCTGCAGCGGTTTCGGAAAGGAAGCCCCATGATGACGGGTCTTTGAAGCCAGTTGGGTAGACTACTACTGTCGGAACTTTGTTCTCGTTTGCTTGGAATCGGCCAGGCCACTTCTGCACCCATCGAACAGTCTCGCTGCCGATGGAGAGGTTTACATATGCCACGCCGGTACCTGGATACACGTCTGCGTCAGTCTTCAACCCGCGTAGCAAACACCACGTGATCTAACAGTATACGCTTAGCCAAATTGAGGTTTGGCCCCCACGCACGCCCTCCGCTTCAGCTGAACCCAGCCTCGCCAACACTTACATGTCATCCCCAGATCTACTCCTACAATCATGTGCGGTCGCTCACTTCGCTCCATCTTGTCTCGTTGTCGGTGACACTGTCTCCGTTGCTGCCTTCTCGCCTGATCATGTATCTATAGGATGCGGGAGCCATGCAGGTGCCTTCGGGTAGCCCCTGTGTCTCAGCCTTGCGGCACAGCGTCTTTCGACCGATCACAGCTGGGCGCCATTTTAGCCCCCATGTGCCTCTATCTTATAAATACGCGCTTTATGCATGATGAGTACGCCTTGGGGGCCGCATTCAAGCACGGTCTGTTTTACCGAACGCCTAGCGGAAACGAACCCCTCTGTTCGTCGTGCTTGGTCATTCACAGCCTTTGATACGTAAGAACTAGCGGACAGGGGGCATGGGCTCCGCTGTGATCGATGCAGGTGGAACGTAAAGTTATATTGGTGTATACGTTTTACCGGGAGCGTGGTGGATACCCTAAACCTGTCTATGAACTCAGCCTTCAGCTGGCTTCTAGTTGCTCTTAATTGGTATCTCGCCCTCAAGATCGCGCGGAATCATCTCATCTTCCTCACATATCGAACCGAAAACAAGTCATTGTCTGGAATCGATCCAACAATGACGACCAATGCGAACGCAGGTGCGAAAGCCGAAAGTTCTATGTCATGGGGGACTGCTTCACTCACTGAGCTGCCGGTTCCAATACCTACCACTGGAACCTATCTCGCTAACCTCTATGTCACCGATACTCCTTTTACAAGTGTCACAGTTCAGTATCCTCTCGTTTCGGGTGTTGTGTTTGGGAAGGCTCCGGGTCAGACAGTAAAGCCCGGCGAGACGAAATCAGATGGGCTTTTGACTCTCTCATTTTTAATCGCCAATCCCCCGCAGATTGTCTTCCAGTCTGCCATCGCTACAGCCGATCCAACTTCTAGAGTGACATCGGCTCCTACTCCAGGAATAACGGCGTCGTCAACACCTGGTTCTCTTCAAGGATCCGTTACCGGAACAAGTCCACAGTCAGCCGCTTCATCTACAACCTCTAAAGGTGGTTCGCAATCTGCAAACAGCGGTAGCGGACTTTCCACAGGCGCGATCGCTGGCGTCGCAATCGGTTGCCTTGCTGCGGGCGCCTTGATCGCTGGGCTCGTTTTGTGGGCTTGTTGGCGCAGAAGGAGTAAGTCAAGAACTCAATATTCACAGACCAACACATACGCAACGTCTTCGAATGAGAAAGGATTCACTGCGAATGCTATACCATTAACTGGACAACGATCATCGGCCTTGGCTTCTGGGGGTGTATTTCCTCAACCGTTAGAAGACAAGGCCATCTCTGGCGATGTCTCGAAAATAAGCAATGCTATCAAGAATCACGTCCAAAGTTATTACCACACTAGTCGTGTTAGCCCTGGCTTGATCGATCATGATGATCTTCAGGCATTAGGATCAAATCTACCAGTTTCGGCTGGAACGCTTGCTACCTTGATGGAAAGTACTGCGACTAGGGAGATCGCTTTGAGGTTTATCATCGCCTGGGTCATAATCTCAAAGATCCAGCCTTCTAGAGACCCTTCAAAGAGCCTTCTGCCGTCTGAAGTTGCACATTGCTACCAAGCCATTACAAATGGAGATGATGGTTATCAAGGTATGTGAAAAACTCACCTTTGTTTGCAATTACTAACTGGCTTGTAGGTCAAGCCTCATTGACGGCACGCTGGCGGGTCATGACTGCGGAGTTGATGCAATCCAGCTACGTTCGCAATCCCTTCAGTCCTTCCGACAGTCGACATGCAAGCATACAAGCAACTCTCGCGACACTAGACAGCATACTGCAGCCATATGCCGACAGTCGTATGAACAATGGAGAACGCAAGAGAAACCTCGAGGAAGTGTTGAAGCGCGCTGCGCTGTTTGCCTACACGCTGTTCTCTCAGCCTAGCGCATGGGAATTTGAGTGGCAGGAGGAACAAGGTGTTACTTCGGGGGAGTTGTGCATTTTCCCCGCTCTTATGCAAGTGGCAGACGAGACTGGCCAACCTGTCAACCCGCCGCGACCGTTCAGCGAGGCTGTAGTTAGACGGTTGGATGCTTGAGACGTTGGTCCACGCAAGGAGACCCTCGTGGACGATATGTCCCATAGGTAGAACCTGTCCGAGCCTCACAGCGATGCGAAGCTTCGTCTTTTCAACGTCCCGGCACTTATTGGAACCTCAGTGCTATTGACCATCATAATTGTAAAGTCGATCACAGCTGCGCGTACGTCTTCATTCTGCTTACTAGGCAGCAAAGGCCGCTGCATTATGGCTTTTCACAGGAGCTCAAACGGCCTTCGTCATACTTTGGATCTAACATTCTAAGTGCGATAGCTGGTAGAAGAGGTTGTCTCGCACTAGATTCCCGCAATTGCGCTTCTCAAGTCTCCACATGGGGCCACTTTTGATTGTATTTCGGCCCCCATTGAGGCGGAGTCTAGCCATTCGAAATAAGCAATGAACACCCTTGCGGCGTAGCCCAATAGCGAGGTTTGGACCGAAAACCAATACCCTGTAAGTAATTTACACCTACTCCGGCGACTCGCTTCGCGCATAACGCAGTGCGGCGTAAGACAACAACGCTGCATGACTCTGTGACACCAACACTCGCGCCTGGGTTGTTGATCTCCGCCCCCAACCACCACTTTACCGTTGCGTCTGAGCCGCCTTGATCGACTGGTAGTCATTCCATGTTTGAGCAGGTATTCTGATCGGACAGGCCGACGCACGAAACTGGACCAAGAGTGCTCAGAACCAATTGTATACATCTTGAGCTAGGAAGCACCAACGACTGCGTCACTGTCTGCGGGGTTCGTGCTTCGGTAACTGGCGCACGTCTGCTACTATTGCTTAGACTATGCGCGCTTCCAGCTACTCTCAAAATCTTTACAGCTATAGTGCGCTCAGCTCAAAGTAATACGAACGAGACTTATGCCAACATTGACTTCGATGTTGCCCACAGCTGGCTTGTTCCTACCGGAAACACTGCATCGGGCTGATCTCCCCACTTCAGCGCCTACAGAAACTGACGGAACGAGGCTGAGGTACTTTCAACGCAAGATCGGGCGGCCGAAGCTGGAGCCCAGCAACTCTGAAGACCTTCGACCATCAACTGCCATTCCGAGAGATACCCCAGACGATCTATCGCGCGACTTTCCAGCAATCCCGACTACTTATTACTTCGCCGATTATGTTCTTTCTTCCGAGAAGGCTTCAACAGAGACTATTGCTTTCGTGAGTATCATCCAACAAGTACGACAAGATATCGAAGAAGCGACGCGCCTCTCTATCTCATCGGCGGTATCAAACTTTCTGGATGCTTATCCAAGCAAGCGAAGATGGATCGAGGATTCCTTGCTCGAAGTGCGGCGTGCTCTCAATGACATCGGCATGGATATGGACACAGCCTGGGGCCATGAAGGAGATGGAGGCACAGTTGCATCGAAGCGCAAGCTTGAGTGGGGTCTGAAGAATCAGAAGAGGCTTCTAAAAAAGAAGCAACAATTAGATCGATGTCATACCCAGTTGACAGGCGCTATATACGTTATGCAGACCGCAGAGCTGTGCGGTAAACCTGGGTCCATCGCGCAAGATCCCATCTTCGAGGCTCCTGTGCGACCGTGGGTACCTCACGATGAGAAGGATGCGCTACGTGGACCTTATTCGAGGCAAAAGAACCGGACAGCGAGTCACACTAGCTTGTTTGCGTCAAACGTCACTCTAGCATCCGAAGCCGAAAAGCACGACGTTGAGAGTGAGTATCACACGTGTTGAGGAAAGCAACTCTCGGCTGACTATATACAGCCAGTAGTGTCAACTCAATGCCAGTGGAGTTGGCGGGTAGCACGCCGGCTGATTTGGACCTGGTGGAAAGTCGGAACTCACAGACCTTCCTAAGCCCCCGTGTGTCTCGCGAGTCGCAAATCGAAACTTCAGCGTTGCATAGAAGGCCGCGAGCACGTACAGACTACAATCGGCAGTCCGCACCTCGAGAACTAAGATCTCGTACCTCCATCGACATCGCTACCTCTTCCTCGAAGGATGCTAATACATCAATTGAGCGCAACGATTCTACTCTGTCTACTCAAGCAACAGTTGGCGTGTCCATGGTAGCGAGGCGATACCGAGCAACTTCGATCGATATTCAAAGACATACTGAGAAGCATAGGTCATTGCCGTCGGAACTTCCGTATCTGAAGAGTCAACCATCACTTATCGATGATTTGGCGGGTTATGTGCTACCCAGTGCAGCAAGTGAAAAGTTGCCGAGTAGAGAATGGACAGCTTCGCCTACCCTGTCGGTGCCATCCATTTCCTTGACTTCGAGCCCAACAATCGGTCACGCATTACCCGTAGTTCCCGAAGCTACATCGACGGCAGATGCTGTAGCAAGTAGTCTGCCAAATCTTGCAATCGAAGCGGCTGAGGCGCAACTTCCATTCAGGCAGCTATTTCCAAGCAGTACAGGACCCATCCAATATTCACAGCATGAGCGCCGAGACACGAACACACTTCCAGCGTGTATAGACGTTTCTAGCTCGCGAAGAACCAGCTCGGACTCTGCCGAACATGTGACGACACCTTCATCTTACTATGCAACATCGCTACACACACTACGTTCACCCAGCTCTCTTGTCAATGTTACAATATTTACCGATGACGAGCCCGTCCGCCGACCGAGTAGTCAGCGACCGTCGCAACGCATGTCAAAAAGGATGTCGCAAACATCGAGCAGCAGATCAGTCAACACAGCACCGTCACCCACGATTACCACTGTTGCTGAAACCCCTACAATACCTATCCACTCGGAAGAGCCAACTCATCAGTATGCTACACCGTCTGCTGTTGCGCCCCTGCCATCGCCTCGGATCATTACGGAAGACGCCTCTCAACCCACACCAGTCGACCCAGCAGAGACACCAGAACAGCTACACGATGACGATGTTGTGCTCTCAGTCCTTCAGCAACGATTATGCAGCCACAAGCCCGTCAAAACAATGGCAGAGGACCTGGTGCGACAAGCCTCAGCTACTGAAGCAACCCACCAAGTAGTCGATACGGAGCAGCCAATACTCTCGCCTCCTGTGTGGCAGGAACAACCGGCTTCGACCTCGAAGCCAGACTTGCAAGTAGAGGTCATACCTCCCACATCACTTCCTTCAGTGGAAGTAGGGGCCTCTCCAGTACCCTCAAATGGAAGTCAAAATGGTGATGGAGAGAAGAAGCCCATGTCAGCGCAAGCTAAGCGACGAGCTGCGCACGCACGAAGGATGCAACTCGCTTTTGGTGACGGATCGACGGCTTGAGAGTATTTGCGGAAACAACGTATGTGTATCTAAATCCATAATGCTAATGAATCATTTCCCACACATACACCGAAAAACAGAGAGTGGTTCTTCTTAGCTTGTGCCATCTTCTGACATCAAGCGCAGGTGCAGAACATGCTGACAAAAGCCGAGATGAAAGGGCATATCATTCATCACGCATCACCAATCAGACAATAATAAGACTCGAGGATAGAGAATACCGTTCAGTTCGTGGAGGCCCCTCGATACGACCATCTAGTATTCTTGTGGGGACCGTACCGATTCTCTCAAGCCAGCTAGACACAATTACAAACAAGTAAATCCATAACAATAGTCCAACTAGCCATCTCTCCTGACTTCAACGTCCACCACCTGGGATCCGAAGTCTCCCATCATAGAGCAGATTGTATGAACGTATTCTGGATACGATGGACAGACACGAGATGGTCGGTCTATACTTCAATGACAGGGTAGATAGTTTGGGCTGAATGTATGAGTGTGGTGGCATCTGAAAATGCGGTGCTGGTCGTCTTCTTTCGGATGGCAGGAGGCGGCGGGGTTTGCGTATTGCCAATGGCTTTGACGTCGGTCTTCTCCTGGTTGGCGAAAGCGGCGCCGGCGAAGACGGCGAGGGCGACGGTGACGACAGAGATGAGCTGCATCTTGACAGGTGGATTGCTGCGAGGCTGGGGGGTTGATGAGGATGCAAGAATGTACGTTTCTTGGTAAGGTCTAAGAGGACGTTAGGTGTTTTTGCTATTGTGAATACAGATTGCGATATAAAGACACAAGAAAGAAAGTGCTAAGAGTAATGGAAATACGTACTCGAAGTGTCGATTAGAAGATTCTTGTCGAAGTGATTGTAGTGGATTTAGACTGAGACTTATACTCTCGACATGCTTCCCCCTCTACCATACTTGGGGCATACATGATCATGATATCACGGAAAACGTATGCAGTATCGGGATGGCTAGGAGCTAAGGATAGGTTGATAGGTTGAATGAAGATATTGAGGCAGGGTCCATACATCATGCAAAGCCCTACACCTAAACACCATGGTACTGCGAGATCAATGAGGGGAGGCCAAGCATAAGAGGAGCCGGAGCGCGATCATTATCTGCAGGTTACTCGCAGATTTCTGTTTCTGTCACTAAGTGATCCATCTCAATACTTTTGCACCGAAGCATTATTGAATCTACATCTTGTACCATCGGCCCATGCATCATACTGACTTCATGAGTGGGGTCTACATATGACCGCAGCCTTACACGTATCCTGCCGTTTCGTTCGCTGGTGGACCCACTGGCTTGTATGATGTGGTTCCCATCCGTTGCAACCAGCCGTGCTGTGGTGATCTGTAATCAGCGAGTTACTTACAAAGTTCAACAATTTATATGTTTTGTCTGCAACAAGAGGCTCCCTTTGAGCAACAAGGCGATCATAAATAATCCACCTGCATTATAAGCAGAAATTTGTAGCATATGATACATATACCAATGCTTCACTGTGGCCTGAGAAGAGGTCGTGGTTTCAATAGATAGAGTATCGCCCTACAAGTACATCATTGCCATTTCAAGAGGTCGCGTTGTCGAATCGGCCAAGCAACTCAATCCGCTGCCACAAAAGAAGCACATAGAGACTTGGTGTGCGAGCGACCCATAGACATGGGCGACAGTAATTTGCGCCTGGAATTGATGTGTGATCTATTGATGAAGTATTGACGATTTAGATTCCACCCTCTATCTGGCAGAGGGTTACGTTGTAATTACCATTGTGAGCGACAAGCGTAATATGTTCGACGTGCCTCGTGTTTCGTACACTATCGGTGCTACACATGATCATGGGAGACCAAATTCTGAAGTCAAAAATTCGCAATCGAGAATGAGTTTATCGTGCCATTGAATATACCATGGATTCAAATCATTATAGTATGATAGTGAAAGTTGAGACTAAGTGTAGTCATCGAGTTAGAGCACCGCTAAGAATCATCGGAAACCATCGATTTCGTGGATTGTAGGCATCTTGTGGGTATTTGTTACAATTTAATTCTGGCCAGAATCGCAAAGTTAGCCAGGGAAAGACAAGCCTCATGACGGAGGTGGGCTTACTGCTCGGCTAGAGAGCCCCTTCCTCCACTTCCAGTGCGCCGCTCGGAGCGGGTAATGCTCCCTGATTGAGCGTCTATACGACCTCATCGCCTTGAACGTTTATGTCTGACGTTTCATGTTCGTTTTGCGCAATGCGCTTCTATTTCGCTCGACAGTTTATGAGAGCAGGTCCGCAACGTTCATAGGCATCTCGTCAATCTGGGTAGAGTAGTACACTGCGGCAGTTAGCGACTGATTTGAGGAGGAGACGCGATGAAACTTACACTCAATGTCACGGAGGATACGAACATCATCCTGGGTGACGAAGTTGATGGCCACACCCTTGCGTCCGAATCGCCCGCTTCGACCGATCCTGTGGATGTAGTTCTCACGGTTCGAGGGAAGATCGTAGTTGATGACCAGCGACACTTGTTGCACGTCAATACCACGCGCCCACACATCGGTTGAGATGAGGACGCGAGAGTTGGCCTGGCGGAAGTCTGCCATGATGCTGTCTCGCTCCTTCTGGGGCATCTCTCCGTGCATGGAGGATACGGTAAAGTTGGCCTCGCGCATCTTGTCTGTGAGCCAGTCAACCTTGCGGCGGGTGTTGCAGAAGATGACTGCTTGTGTAATGGTGAGTGTGTCGTAGAGATCGCACAGCGTGTCAAACTTCCACTCTTCCTTCTCGATAGCGATAAAGTATTGCTTGAGGCCCTCCAGCGTCAATTCGTCACGCTTAACTAGAATGCGCACGGGGTCCGTCATGAATTTGGTTGTCATCTCGAGCACATCGTATGGAAGGGTAGCTGAAACAACTACGACCTGTGTCGCGGGCGGTAGGTAGCGGTACACGTCGTAGATTTGCTCACGGAAACCTCGGTTGAGAAGCTCATCGGCTTCGTCGAGAACGAGCATCTTGATGTTGCGTGTGCGAAGGTTGCGGCGGCGAATCATGTCAGCAACGCGTCCCGGGGTTCCAGAGACGACGTGCTGGCCGTAGTCAAGCTTGCGGATGTCCTCGCCGACATTTGTTCCTCCAACGCAAGGATGGCACTGTACGTTCATGTAGTCACCGAGACCCACGATAACCTGCTGAATCTGGGTCGCAAGTTCACGGGTGGGCGACAGCACGAGTGCTGTGTCTTGTTAGTATAGTCCTTCCTGCCACACGATATATGACGTACCCTGAGTCTCGCGTACAGCTGTGTCGATGACCTGAAGGATAGAGATGGAGAAAGTCGCAGTCTTTCCTGTTCCGGACTGCGCCTGCGCAATAGTGTCGCGACCTTTGCAGATTTGCACAATAGCACGTGACTGCACCGCTGAAGGCGATTCGTAACCGTAGGCGTAGATACCGCGTAGCAAGTTCTCCTTCAGGTGCATTGCCTCGAAGGTTGGCGCGACCGTGACCTCCTTGGAGGTGGAGAACTCCATCTTGTCGTCGGCATTTCGATCGATTCCGTCGGCCATTTTGTCTGTGGTTCGGGGGGTGTATCGGGTATACGGTGGGTTTCGACAATCGTTCGCGATGTGCAAGAAAGTTTGGGAGTAGTTGCGCCTGAGCTTTGCGGAGGGCCGGAGCCTCGGCGGGCTAGCTCCGTTTACTAGCGCGTTTTGCGATTTATGTCGCCGCGACAGCCTTCACCAGCAGCTCGACATCGTCACCGCCGCAAAGGTCTGCACATTCACTACCGAACCGCTGCTACACGAAAGACTCATAATTACTACAGGCGACCGCAAATATGCTTTTGGAAGACCAGCGCCAACTTCATGAGGACTTGGAGCGCCTCGAGGACGCCGCTGCAGAGCGACTTCTTGAAGACCCCCCACACGTAGGTACATCTATTGCGTCTGTTGCCAATCACATGCTTACATCAAATCAGATCCGCGATCGTCTCGCACGCGATCACGATATCGCGCGCTTCCTCGAGCAAATCGAAAGCCAGTCGAGTCGCCTTTTGAAGATCTACCAAGATGAGGACAACAAGAAGGAGGACGAGTTGCGCGGCCTTACCATGGGCGACCCGATGGAGTCTTTCATGAAAGAGATCGCATCGATTAAAGACTTCCACAACCGATACCCGAACGAGCCCGTCGAGAACCTGGAGAAGGCTTACAAGAAACGCTCACCCGAAGAACACGTACAATCAATCGCAGCCATCGACTCCATGTTTACCGGCGAAGAGGGATTTGGTCGCTTCTTTGACCTGACCACGCTGCACGAGCAGTACTTGAACCTTCCCGTTCAACAAAACGCGCGCCGCCTGACCTATCTACAGTACCTCGATCTGTTCGATGTCTTCACCCCTCCACAATGCAACATTCGACGAGAGCAGAAGAAGTCAGAGGGCTACTTTCATTACTTGAAAGCCCTGCAAGACTATCTTGAGAGCTTCATGCGGCGGACGAAGCCACTGGAGAACTTGGACAAGCTCTTCGCTAACTTTGATAAGGAGTTCGAGGAATTATGGGAGAAAGATGAGGTTCCGGGCTGGGAGAAGAAGACATCGGCATCTGCACCAGTCAATGGTGAAGCACAGGGCGAGGGTATCTGGTGCTCAGCTTGCAAGAAGGGATTCTCGAAAGAGACCGTCTACGAAGCGCATCTGTCAGGCAAAAAGCACAAGAAAGCAGTACAGGAGAGTCAGAATGGTGCGCAAGACGGCGAGAAGCAGACAAGCGGTGCCTCCACAGATCTGCAACGCTTCAAGGAGCGTGCGGTTGCCGAACGAGAGTTCCGGATACGAAAGCTCGCTGCAGCCATGCAGACGGAGCGTGGCGACACCAAGGTCAACGTCGAGCGGAAGCAGGGTATGACTGAGCGCGAGCGACAACAAGAGCTAGAGCAACTGTATTCCGAGAGACCTGAGAACGGTGGAAAAGAGGAGGACGATGAATCTGACAGCGAAGACAAGATATACAACCCGCTCAAGCTACCACTTGCCTGGGATGGCAAGCCCATCCCCTTCTGGCTTTACAAGCTCCACGGACTCGGTGTCGAGTTTCCTTGCGAGATTTGTGGAAACTTCGTATACATGGGTAGGCGTGCATTCGACAAGCACTTCAACGAGCCTCGTCACATCCACGGTCTCAAGTGTCTCGGGATCACCAACACTACCCTTTTCAGGGAAATCACGAGCATCAAGGAAGCCGAGGAGCTATGGCGAAAGATTCAAAAGGACCAAAAGAAGCAGAAGTTGCTTGCTGAGAACGTGGTCGAGATGGAGGACAACGAAGGCAATGTCATGCCGGAGAAGGTCTACCGGGATTTGGCTGCTGCAGGCATGCTGTGAGCGGTCATCTCGATTCGGATATATCACGTCTGGTCTGTCCTTTCTCAGTGAAGAAACGGCTTTCAGTTCGTACATCGACTAAACGAACGCATTGAACTCGGCATCTTCGAATACACAACCTTACAATATGGCGGATTTGCAGGGAATCAAGAGCCGGTCCTGTAAGTCAACGAGCGTTGCGTCGATTTCATCAGTGCTATTACACCTATTTGTTGTGCTTCATTCTTATATCACTGAATTTTGGCGCTTGCTTTCTAATCCAGAAGAGCTTACAAGCCAGTAAAACTTTGCATGGCTGGCGTTCTGGAGTTGCGTATACAGGTACGCACCCCCGTACGGGTGTGGGTGCACCTGGAAGTTGTGTAAAATAGGATACCTGAAGATACGAAAGTTGGAAAAAGATCACCTGGACAACATGATATCACTGTCTATGAACGATGGGTTGCTTATGTGCCCATGTTTAGCTATGCCGCAATACATGCCGTGCCTTTGAAGTGTATCCAATCTCTATGCGCGTCAGGGGCTCGAGCCGACGTGCAGTCGTGGCCTCAAGAATCCGTGAACCAAGACTTTGGAAGATTATAGGATAGAAGCCGCAACGCTGGGAGGGCTATGCCATTGTGATCTGATATCCTTCCAGATACAGGTTGAATCCGATAAGAGGAAGTGGCGAGCAAACCATGGAGAAGCACGTCAATATGGAAAAAACGACGAGCGGACCAGCTGCGGGTGATTAAAAGAACAATGTCTCGACTAGTAACCAGAAAACCTGAGCTTTGCAGTATTCTCACATCTACATATACACCCTCCGGCACATACGCCTGCCTGTACCCACAAGTTACTGTTCCAAAAATTCCCACAACCCCTCTCCTTGGACAAAATCGCCCCAAATAACGTTTACAAGCCAATAGTCGCGTCGCAAAGCTCCAAGCAACGTGCTGCTCGCACTCCTCGGAGGGTAAATCCTCTGCCACTCTTGGAAAATGCTGAAGGCCTCGTCAAGCCAACTCCTGAAGCTGACAGCCTCGATGATAGTAGGCGTGACAATCTCTTTACCTGCAAATGTACCCCAAGTGACAGGATTCACTCCATCTTCTTGACTAGCTTCAAACTCTCCGGCAGCATTGCCGGCGAAGTAGGTGACTTGTTCGTGGGCGTCGAGTTTGGGTTTGAGGGCAGCAAATTCAGAGGCGGGGATGAAGAACTCTACAAATGGTTTTTGGAAGACGTAGCCATTCTTAGGGCCCCAACCAAAGACGGGATCGGTAGATTTGACGCCATTGACAGCAGGTTGTGAGGCGACTGTCCACCACCCCTTTGCGTTGAGGGCGAGGAGCTGCTTGCTGATAGTCAAGGTTTCAGGCGAGAGGCTCTGTTCGCTCCAGGGTATGGCCTCAAGGTCTCCTTCGATGTGGCGGCGGAAGAGCTTCGAAATGTCATCCTTCTCCACTGGATGACCCCAAAGCTTGAGGGCTTGCGGCGTTGAGACGTGCAGCGTTGGACCGTATCCGTCGATCTCACCGAACGCAGGCGAACGCGCATCACCCCAACGACCGTTAGGGAAATCATCCCAGGTGGCTTCACGACCTAATGAACCTTCGCCTTCTGAGATTGCCAATGTATTCGCGCGGGTGTTGATCGGGCCGCGCGGCACACCAGCCTCTTCTTCTGTGGCTTCATACGAATGATTGCTTGACTTGGCAGCGGACGAGTGTGAGATGATTACCCTGTTCCGTGGGCCAGAATTAACAGCTGATGATCGCCTCCTGTGAGGCACAAAGCCGTTCGGTGGTGGCTCAAGGTTGATAGCTGGTGTTGTCTCTACAATGACATCGTCATTGTCGTCAATGGTCGATGGTATGAGGTGCGTGTCTTCCACGATGTGCGATACCGCCTTCTCCAGATTCAATGTGTAGAAGTGGAATCCTCTCCTACAAGTATCTGGTCGCGCCTTGATGTGTTCCACCATTTCGTCCATGATCTTGACACCCTCTTGCTTCACCAGTTCGTCATCGCTCTTCACCGCATCCAGTCGCGCCAACATATCCGAAGGTAGCTTTGCGTGCGATAGCGTGGTTGTTCGAAGCAAGATCTTATACGACTGTATCGGCATCAACCCCGGTATGATCGGTATCGTCTTGAACACTCCACTCTCGTGCTCCCTTAGCATCTTCTCAAACTTGTCGTAGGCTTCGACATCGTAGAAAAGTTGGGTCATAATGAAGTCTGCACCAGCCTTTGTCTTCTCAATCAAGGATGGCAGATCAAACTGCGGATCCTGATGCTGAGGGTGGCTCTGGTCCGAATGACCCTCCGGATACGCAGCGACACCGATGCAGAAGTAGTCCCCATACTCTTTTCGGATGTATTTGACGAGATCGATTGCCCATGTGAAGTCCTTATTCGAGTCCTGTTCTGGCGGTGTTCCTTCATCCCGATACTCTTCGCTGCGTGGCGCATCACCCCTCAGTGCCAGGATATTCCGAATGCCCAACACCTTCGCCTGCTCGAGCGCGTCGTCGATGAGCTGACGATTCATGTTCGTGCATGTGAGATGTAAACATGTTGTGAGGCCTAATTGGCGCTGGCATATCTCTGCGAGTTCGAGCGACTTGGTGGCTGTTGATCCGCCGGCACCCCAGGTGACGGTAACGAAGAGTGGTCGAAGAGCCTGTGACATGCGCTCTAATCGAGTTTGGAGGTTCGCAAAACCCTATAAGACTATCAGAAACTATTCTCGGGTGCATAGTTCCCTATATCCTTCCATGCTTCGTCCCTTCCACATCCGTCGCGTGCAAGCGGGGCAACTCACCATTGCCGTTTTCGGTGGGAAGAACTCCAGAGAGAAGTAGTTGGCGCCATCAGGCAGTGCGTTAATCTTATCCGTAATCCTCTCCATCTTGGATTCGCAATTGAGGGTAGAGAAAAAGGTGGCGTTGCGGAAGACGTTGTGTCATGGCTGCAAGTGGTGAATGACAAAAAAGTGAGGGCAGCTCATCTGGAAGCCGCGTGTGGGGCACGGATCTGCAGCCAGGATCCTTATCCTGTATCGGCGCGCTACATCCAGCATTTAGGTGAACCGGCGGCGAAACTATGCAATAAGCATTTCACTTTGTGGAGGAGGCTGTTTTCACTGAGATGAAAAATGCTTGCGAGCTAACATGACATCATGGCACACTTTATCTGGCTCATCGGACGGAGAGCGGTATACAAAGTACTGGCACGCGACCCCGCAATACTATCTCTCTTAGAGCACTCTATGGGCGATAGAATCATGATACATGACGAAAGTCTATTCTTCGCTCGTGGCACACAACGGGATTAATGGGATGCTAGACGATCTCTACCGAGGCGGGGTCCCGATGGTCAACATGACACTTCCAAGGTTAACGCTGCAGGTGAAGTGCATTGCAGTGCATAAGTAGTACTCGTATTCTTTGCTTCTGACAAAGCTATGATCTCAATAGGCCACGACTCTACTCACCGCATATCGTTGTTAACATGACATGAGGATTTCTGTACGACACCTAGAAAGGTAGCACTACGATGTTCATTATCATCTTCATCCTGACCTTCCTCTTAGCACACATAACCACATCCTCATCGCAACGAATCACGGCTATACAACAAATGACCACGACCAACATGACACACACACTACCCCAACGGATAGATGTCCATTCCCATTTTCTCCCACCCTTCTACCGCACTGCCCTGGCAGCAAACGGCCACACCCGTCCTGACGGCATGCCCGCAATTCCTGAGTGGTCGCCAGATCGTCACTTGGAAATGATGAAGATTGCCAATGTCTCCAAATCCATCCTGTCCATCTCCAGCCCCGGAACACACATCAAATCCAGTAACCCATCACTAGGCATAGACTTGACAAGACAATGCAATGCTTACGCCTCATCTCTCAAGCAAAAACATCCCGATAGTTTCGGCGTGTGGGCTGCACTCCCGTTACCGAATGTCGAAGCCAGTTTAGCTGAGATCGATAAATGTATGGAAGAAGGTGTGGAGGGATTTGGGTTACTGACGAATTACCATGGGTACTATATTGGGGACGATGCATTGGACACTGTGTTCGACAAGCTGAATGATATCGGTGCGACTGTGTTTATCCATCCTACGAAGCCTTGCATGAAACACGGGGGTAGTGCGAATACGTCTCAAACCACAGATGCACTACCATTCGGCGAACAATACCCTGTCCCAATCTTCGAGTTTTTCTTTGATACTGCAAGGGCGGTAATCAATCTTTTCAGCACGGGGACCGTGGATCGGTGTCCGAATATCAAGTTCATCATTCCGCACTCCGGAGGAGGGTTACCGCCGCTCATGACTCGATTCATCCAATTCTCAAGTGTGGTACCGGGAGGACGAAAGTTGAATGCCTCAACGGTGCGGAGGCAGCTTGACGAGCAGTTCTATTTCGACCTTGCGGGTTTTGTTTTTGACGGAGAAAGTGGAGGGAAGGGGCAGCTGAAGGCATTTATCGAGGGTTTTGAGATCTCGTATCAGAAGTTGTTGTATGGAAGTGATTTTCCTTTTACGCAGACGCAGTTCGTGAAGGCGTTTGCAGAAAGAATGAAGGATGGTTTGGAGAATTTGTTTGGTGAGAAGGAGAGGGAGGCGATTTATCAGGGCAATGCCGTCAAGTTACTGGGCAAAGAGAGGAGTAAGATATAAGATGGTGGATATGAATATGGATATGAATGGTCTGCAAGGTATGTAGCAGCGTCTATCTATATGTACTTGTAGGGGTTCATGATTCCGTTCTACCTGTGTTAGCCTGGATCGGAGACGGGACGAGCGGGTTGGGCCACTTACGGGATCATAGAGATCCTTGATCTGCTTCATCAGCTTGATCATGGTTTCACTCTTACTGTATCCAATGTATGGCTTCTTCGTTACTCCCAAGCCGTGCTCGGCACTGATGCTGCCGTTTCGCTTTTGTACCCACTCGTATACGAAGGGTTCAAGCTGCTTCTCTACAGACTTGTCGAACTTCCTGACTGGGATGTTGAGGTGCAGGTTCGCGTCACCCATGTGGCCGTATCCGACAACATCAACTACAGGGTGTGAGGCGTCATTTCCAAGCAGGCCAGCCTCTGTCAAGCGGTCGCGTGTCTCGTTGACAAGATCGTAGAGCTCACCGATAGGTATCGACAAGTCATACTTGTAGACACCTCCATCGTGACCGAGACACTCGGTAATGCCTTCACGCCATGACCAGAGCTCTTGAATTTGAGTTTGGTCTTGGGCAAGAACACCATCTGATACAACCTCTGTTTCCATAACGTGTTCAAGGAAGGCTTGCAATTTCTGCACACGTTAGTCGTCGGTTTTTTTGTACAGCAACAGGTGACTTACCTCGTTATCGTGGTCTGCGTTAGAGCCGCTGGTCTCGATCAGACAGTAAAAGGGATACTCGCCTTCCAGCGGCATCTTCTTACCCTTTACCCTGTTGACCAGCTTTTGTGTGCGACCATCCATCAATTCGAAGGCTGACAGAATCTCAGACAAATGTCCCTTGGCCTCAATGTAGGCTTTCTGGACCTTCTCGTAGCTTTCTAGACCAAAGTATGCAACATTGACAGCGGGCGATCTTCTCGGGCAGATGATGGAAACCTTGGTGATGATACCAATGGTGCCTTCTCCACCGATGAACAGCTGCTTCAGATCGTAGCCAGTGTTGTTCTTCCGGAGTGTGGAGAGATCATCTACAACGGTACCGTCTGGCAGGACCGCCTCGATTCCTAGGACATTTCCGTGGAAGCTACCATATCGCAGGAGACGGAGTCCACCAGCGTTTGTCGCGACATTGCCACCAATGTAGCAAGAACCCTTTGCCCCAAGATCTAATGGGAAGATGTGGTTCTTCTCGGCGAGAAAGTTGTCGGCATTCTCTAGGATCACACCGGCATCAGCGACTAGGATACCAGATACTTCGTCGAAAGACCTGATTTCGTTCATCCTCTGCATGTTGATCACAATCTCGTCGAATACGGGCACAGAGCCACCGACAAGTCCAGTGTTACCACCCTGAGGTACTATAGCGAGCATGTTGTCATTGCAGTATTTGAGGATCTTGCTGACTTCCTCGGTAGATTTAGGCTTCAAGACTACTTTGGTATGGCCGCGGAACTTGCGCATCCAGTCACTGTTGAACGCCTCAATATCTTCCGATGCATCTTTCGTCACACCATCTATGACTGCCGAGTCGGAACCTAAGAGATCCTGGAAATATTTTACATGCTCCTCGCTGACCTTGGCAAATTTGGAGTCTCTTTGGAGATGCGGGTATCTGCTTGGCATCAGCAAAATGTGAAAACTGCTCAGACCTCAACACATACGACTCTGAAGTGAATTTGATGGATTGTGCCGACGCGGTTGGGCCCTTGACTCCGCCATGCTCGTCTGGCTGATGAGGCTCCGAACTCGCTGATGTACTACCCGTCCATCGGACTTGACTTGTCGGTCGCAAATATTGATAGCGCGATGCAACGCGAGAAGAGAAGGCAGTTCGCCGCAGGGACGAGACTAGGCGCGCTGAAGATGCCATTATGGTTGACTGAGGGAGCAATGCGACAGCGGCGGAAATAATCATTCGCCATCGTGAATATCTACCATGATGACATAAGTCGACAGGGAGCGCACAGGCCAGATGGCTTGGCGTAGTTTAGGCGGGAGCAGCGACGCGGACAGCTCTGGAGCTCCGAGACCAGCTTGACGACTGTCGTACTCTATTGCCCCACCACTTCTTGTTACATTTCGTTGCCGTATACCAGGGAAATAATAGAGAACTCAAGAACCACTTCACAAAATCTCTCACAATGGCATCCGGCTACGATCGAGCTCTCTCCGGTACAAACAACCAACCCATGAGGATGCGGGCCTAGCTAATTATGCCAGTCTTCAGTCCTGACGGTCACGTCTTCCAGGTCGAATATGCGCTCGAGGCCGTAAAGCGAGGTGCGTAGTCTGTGAAAGGGATGGTAAACATGAGATGCTTATTCGCCTCAGGAACATGCGCCGTTGGTGTCAAGGGCTCGGACATAGTAGTACTCGGCTGCGAGAAGCGATCAGCAATGAAGCTGCAAGACACCCGTATCACACCCTCCAAGATCTGCCTCGTCGACACCCACGTTGCCCTTGCCTTCGCTGGACTGAACGCCGACGCCCGTATCCTTGTCGACAAGGCCCGCCTGGAAGCACAATCACATCGCTTGACAGTTGAAGACCCCGTATCGATAGAGTACATCACCAAGTATGTTGCCGGTGTGCAGCAGAGATACACGCAGAGTGGTGGTGTCCGACCGTTCGGCATCAGCACGCTGATAGTCGGCTTCGACCCTAACGACAAGACCCCGCGCCTGTACCAGACTGAGCCCTCTGGTATCTACTCAGCATGGTAAGTTGCGTTGACGGAAACAAACTGTATGTGCTAATACAATGAAGGAAAGCAAATGCCATCGGCCGATCGAGCAAGACAGTCCGCGAGTTCCTGGAGCGCAACCACAAGGAAGGCATGGACCGGGAAGAGACGATTAAACTGACAGTCAAGTCACTACTAGAGGTAGTGCAGACTGGTGCTAAGAACATTGAGATCGCGATCATGGCGCCTGGAAAGCCCATCGAAATGCTGCCTGTCGAGGATATCGAGAAGTACGTGGAAAACATCAACACAGAGAAGCAGGAAGAGGCGGCGAACAGGAGGCCTGGACGGCAGCCCGGTACAGGCCAGGCCGCTATCCTAACCCGTCAGACCCCAGCTGAGGGCTCAGGAGCTGGTGGCGCGTAAGGGCGTGGTTAACGAGTGATGGCGAAAAGGCATGAACAGCAGTGGCGTCTGGTGATAGACTTTATGAACCTGTATAATGCAGATACGACCAGCTAGTGCTCATAAATGGCAATCTAGCGCACCACGATGCTCCTTCCCACGTCCAACCCCCCGCTCGTCGCGTGATGTTCATTGGTGTGGTACCCCTGCCCTGTTGCTCTGTAGCTTGTGTTACGCATAGTATCGTGGATCCCTATGCATGCAGTCCTTCAACCCAGCTTGTTCGGCGCCTCCTTGACATCGAATATCGTGCGCATTTCCTCGCCCCGTACACGGTCGTCTTTGAGCATTCTGAAGAGTGGTTAGACGTGCGTCATGCACTAAACTCAAAGGCGACATACCGGGAGTCTATGCGGGCGTCCTCGCCTTCGACTTGCAATGATGCCTTGGGTGTCTTTGCCTCTAAAACGAAGTGGTTGTCGCAGTGCGGGCAGTACTCGTCGCTACTCTTGATCAGCCAGGCGCCAGCTCAAATATATTTCTACTACTCACGCGTCCTCGAATTCGCGCGCATCTTTGCGGAAGGCTTTCTTGCACTTTTTGCAGATGAAGACCATGTCAAATGTCTGCATCAGCGGGTGGTCGCTCTGCTCCTGGTGACATTCTGCGCAGTCGAACCATTTCTTGCCTAGCAGTTCTCAGTATTCATCGCGCACATGTCAGGCGCGGGCGACATACAGCATGGCGAGCGGATGGCGACTTGGGCATTGAGGACGTGTTTGCTGCATGGACATCAGCCAGCCGCGGAGGTGATTGCGGGGAGTCTCGCGGGCAAGAAAGAAGGTGTGCTTACCACATGGCGGGCGACGGTCAAGTGACTATGCGACTACTATGGAACGTACAACAGACTGACGGCTGCAGGTTTCCCAGGTGCTAGTTTGGCGTTTTGTATGCTCGTCTATAATTCGCCGGTGCCTGATCGCCTTGCCGTCGGTGGTGTGCAGGGTTCCGTGCTGGTTAGCTGTGGGGAATGGCAGTAACAAGACACGACAACACCGCTTCAAGCCGCCCGCGCCCAACGCAGAGAAGCAACATCCATCGCCCGTCAGCCGGAGAGGTCGCCTGAGCGGATCGGACAGCACTTCACAGCCGTCGCCAGAGCGTGTGCATTCCGACTGCTGCTGAAACACTTGCACCCCCGCGCTGTCGCCGGTATTCCCTGTCGCCGAACATTCTTAGCAGGACAGTATACGCGTCTCCACTAGGGAGCCCTACAGGCACTCTCGGGCCTCTACCACGACGCACCGCCACCGTATCCACTACCACTCCCTCTATTTCTGGATCGTGTCCCTAGTAGCGCTGGCTGCATGACCGCTCACGAGCGACAGCCTCCCCTTCCATCATCACAAGAAGCGCCAAATGGGAAGAAGACCTTACTGGTCGATGCGCAGCTATAGGATACCCTCCGGTGCCGGCTGACGACAAAACAAACACACATCATGGAGAACCAGCAAGAGGAGACGCAGGATGGCTCCTCGATTGTGAGTGCGCCTTGTCTGCACGACGAAACAGTTGCTGACTCCCAGTACAGAAGCCAGTGTCTTCCCTCCGCGCCCAATTCGAGAACCTCCTCAGCACAAACAAATCACCCGCGCCTGCCACCCCGAGACAGCGCTCTCCTGGCGCCGGCGACCGCCTTCCCATGCCAGAGGACAACAGGAGAACAGACGGGCGCATATCCCTAGACATGCCGAGGGATAGAGACTATACCGAGAGACCCTCGCCCAGTGTGGCCGACTACAGTGGGAGTGGGACAGTGACACCGCGCTCGAACACCCTCGGACGGTCGCTATGGGGCAATCCAAAACCAAGACCGACATCGATGATGGCTTTCTCTCCGCCCAGGTCGCCTACAAGGTCGCCCACAAGGTCGCCTCCAAAAGTCACTGTCCAATCACCAAGATCACCACCCAAGTCTTCCGCATCCCCCATACACTCGCCGCAGCCTTCGAAACCCATCTCGCACGTAGCACTGGATTCGCCCTCGTCAGCGTCTGGGGGGAAAAGATTCTTCAAAATGCCCAGTCGCAATGGTACTCCTGGTGTGGATGCGAAACCTGTCTTCCCATCTCATACGGGCAATGGCCCCTCCAACGATCCACGAAAGGGTGACCGACCAGTATCCTCTGCGCCGCCTGCGCCACCACCCGTAAATCGAGCCGGAAAGCCCAAGATCCCACCAAAACCGATTTCTGTTGACGGTGCAGCTCGCACAAACCTAGCACCCGAAGCAACATCTGATGCTGTAGATGTGTCTCCATTCAGTACGCCACCCAGCAGTAGTGGAGATAGCGTCAAGGGAGAGCCTTCTCCACCAGTTATTCCAGGGTTCTCTAAACCAAAGTTCACTCCTAGTAACAATGGATACTTTCCAGCTCATCCACCATCTACAGACTCTCGCATACCTGGGAAGCAACCCTTCAAGAAAACTATGCCTCCACCATCACCGAATGACCTCCCAGAAGACCGCCCATCGTTACCCATGCGACGAGAGAAAGACAACTTCGACTTGCGGAAGAGCGTGCAACTGCAGAGAGCAGCACCCCCTGACTTGCCAGTGCGACGGTCTTTTGACCAGACCCGGCCTGGTCAGTTAGTACAGGAGACAAACAACAAATTCATGCCCCCTCCCCGGCGGAACAACACAACTGGCGCCATATCCGCTAGTCCCGGAAAAGCGTTAGAACCCCCGAAGCCACCGCCTCCACGAAACTCTGGGGAAATGCGACGGCCTTCCCAGCCAACCGTGCAAGCATCGCAGCTATCACAGCCGTACACTTATGACTCGGACGAGGAGGACACAGGCGCAGAAAAACAACCGGCGACTGCTCTAACAGACTACCCAGACTCGTCACAAGCGAATCGAAGGCCACCAGTGTTTCCGGATGGCGTAGCTGGCATTCCGACAGGCTACGAGACCAAACTGTTCGCGATTTGTGGTGATTACATATGTACGACCGGATATGTGACCAATGTTTGGAACGTTTTGAATGGGCGACTGCTTATGAGTCTCGCCCATGGTGACACAGTCAAAGCCACAGCGATTGCATTTCGGCCAGCCAAGGACGTTGAGGACGAAGGCAAGCGGTTATGGCTAGGGACGAATACCGGCGAAATGCATGAAATTGACATACCCACACAAAGTGTAGTGTACACTAAGAGTAACGCGCACGCGAGGAGTGTGGTCACCAAAATCTTCCGCTATGCCTCAGAAATGTGGTCTCTCGACGAGGATGGCGTTTTGCACATTTGGCCAGCAGACGAGTCAGGATGTCCTTCTTTGCAGCAGGCGCCGCTCACTTACCGCATCCCTCGTGGAAGCACCTTTTCCATAATCTCAGGCTCCCAGTTGTGGGTAGCTTCGACGAAAGACATACGAGTTTACGCTCGTACATCAGACAACAACTACTTCCAGCAGTTGACACAGGGACCTTTGTCTCAGCTTAATGTCGGAGACGTCACTTCTGGTGCTATCATCAGCAGTCAGCCGGATAAGATGTACTTTGGACACGCTGATGGGAAAGTCACAATCTACTCCAAGAAGAGCTTTGAATGTCTTGGAATTGTGAATGTCAGTGTGTATAAAATCAGCTCCCTGGTTGGTGTTGGTGACTTCCTTTGGGCTGGCTACAGTACTGGAATGATATACGTGTACGAGACCAAGTCGACCCCCTGGAAGGTGTTGAAAGATTGGAAGGCACACGACAAACCAATCGCGGGCATTTTGGCCGATCGTACCAGTATCTGGAAGCTCGATAGATTCCAGGTCGCGTCTTTGGGAACGGACAGCATGTTGCGTGTCTGGGACGGGATGATGAAGGAGGATTGGCTCGGTAAGTGAGATTGATTTATCCTCGTCGTACCATACTAATGCTGTACAGAAAACTTGATGCAACAACGCGATTCTGAATACTGTGAGTTCAGAGAGCTCTCAGCACGAGTTATGACATGGAACGCCGGCGCAACCAAACCCGCAAACATACGGAACACAGAGCAGGATCGCAATTTCTTCCGGGAGATAATCGAGCCTGGCAATTCTCCCGACATTCTCGTCTTTGGCTTCCAGGAGTTGGTAGATCTGGAAGACAAGAAGATTACTGCCAAGAGTATCTTCAAGAGAAAGAAACACAAGGAGACATCAGAACACGAACACATGTCTCATCAATATCGGGCGTGGCGAGACCACCTTGTCCGTGTTCTGGACGAACACAGTCCAAACGAGAATTATGTTCTCTTGCATACCGCCAACCTTGTCGGTCTCTTCACCTGTGTGTTCATAAAGGCTTCTGAACGGACAAATATCCGCGACGTATGTGCAGCTGAGATCAAGCTTGGCTTCAGCGGTCGAGTTGGTAACAAGGGTGCGCTCGTGGTGCGCTTCTTCATTGACGATTCGTCGCTCTGCTTTATCAACTGCCATCTCGCAGCTGGTCAGACACAGACCGTGCATCGCAACAACGATGCCGCCGCAATTATGGAGAACGCGCCATTACCGAAGAACCGCTCCCCAACTTCGTGCGCAAACTACTTTGTTGGAGGTGGTGATGGATCTATGATTTTGGACCACGAGATTTGTATCTTGAACGGTGACCTCAACTATCGCATTGACGCGATGCCTCGCAATACTGTTGTCGCCGCTGTGCAGCAAGGGAATCTGGCGAAGCTTCTTGAGCGCGATCAACTGCTTTTGTCTCGCAAACGCAATCCCGGGTTCCGCTTGCGTGCATTCACAGAAGCGCCCATCAACTTTGCTCCCACTTACAAGTATGATGTAGGGACAGACAATTACGATACCTCCGAAAAGCAGCGTTCACCAGCATGGTGCGATCGGTTGCTGTACCGCGGCTTGGGTAGAATCAAGCAGTTAGATTACCGGCGACATGACTCTATCAAGGTCTCAGATCACCGTCCTGTCAGTGGAACATTCAAGCTCCGTGTCAAGACGATCAACTCGAAGAGACAAGATGCCACCAGAGATAAAGCCGAGGTTGAGTTCGAGGCAGTGCGGCGGCGGATAGCTGGAGACATCAAGTAAGTCAAACGAAATAATTGATCCTAAAGCTTGTCGTATTGACAAAATTCGCAGACTCGACTACCTGATCAATGTCTTCGGCCTATCCAGCAAAGAAGCTCAGAAGCTACTGAAAGGAGCTTGAGCCATTCCAGGGCTTGTCCCAAAACATTGTGAAACCTTAGACGCGGAACCAACCCGTCGTTAGCGCAAACTTCAGCCTCATCAGCTTTCGAGGATGTGGATGCGGAAGACATGATGTATCGCAAAATACGATAGTTCGAGCAGACGCACGATTACCGACGATGTCAGGGTCATGGGCTACGGCTCATAGCAGATAGCGGCGCAGAATCGATCGAGATGAAATGCGGAGAGTGGGACACTAGAGAAGAATTGACGAATGGGATTGTGTAGAAAAAGCATAGCATTGGCAGGCGAATCTGGGTTCCATGTCTGAGCGTTTTCGCTGACGGAAAGGCGCATTCTCTTTGGCGATCGGTGCCCGCAATGGGGATAAGGAATCTAGAGCACGCGTTGTCGCGTAGCAGAATTGTGGTCATGGTGACGTCAGATCAACGCGCCTCCCCAAATAAAGCATCGATGATGACGGCAAGCAAACAGCAAAACCGCCCACGCACCCTCACCATTTCTTCTTCAATCCCTACTTATGTCCGCAACTTCAATTGCAATTCGTCGCTTACCACTATTGACGACCTCAAGAGCTGTACCTCGTGCACGACTTGTAGCTTCTCACCTCACGCGACAGCACCCCACATTCTCCACAACTTCTTTCAGAATGGACAAAGAGCAAGTTAAGGACCAGAGCCGTGGCCAGGAGACGACTGGAAAGTCGGAGTGGAAACAACGCCCACCCTACCGCGTCCACGAGAAGAACGAGGACTTTGACGTCAAGTACGAAGCCAACTGCCATTGCGGAAAGGTTCAGTACCAGCTCAGCCGGAGAGAGCCTCTAGACAGCAAGCTGTGCCATTGTACAACCTGTCAGACCCAGCATGGTATGTTTCTTCGTCCAATTTCTCTTAGAGTTACAACTAACACCCGTCAGCTGCACCCTTCCAATGGGCAGCCATCTTTCACAAAGATGACATCAACTTCACCAACGGCCACCACGATCTAGAATGGTATGACCCAACCGACAAGTCCATCGAGCACAAGCTCCCCTGCAAAGTTCGTTGCTCCTACTGCCATTCACCCATCATGGACGAGGGCCGCAACATGATCCTTCTTTTCCCCTCCCTCGTGCACCTCAAGACCGACGAAGACAAGGCATACTTCAAGCCCCGCTGCCACATGTTCTACGGCCAACGTGTCATGGATATCCCAGACGGTCTTCCTAAATGGAGCGGTCTGAGTGGCGATTCTGATCTCATTGAGGACAGCCCACCGGATATGGTTCGCGAGCATGAGCGTAAACGCGAGGAGGAGAGGAATAAGAAGTTGGAAGAGGGTGAGCCGGATGAGGTCACCAAGGAGGGTACTCAAGGCAGGAAGGAAGGCAAGGGCTCCAACTCCGGTTAGGCAGTGAATTGGTCCCCAGATGGAATAGCTACATTGAGGCATGCTTGCCTAGCATTATTTTGTCGATTCCATTGGTTTCTAGGCACAATGTATGCTCATGACGAATAATGCATGATGACATGAAATCGTCGGGTGGGTGGGAGGTGGCCGTGACAAGAGTCACGAGCCCATGAAAAGATACAGATAGGATATCGAAATCTAGAGATCCGCCTGAAAACCAATACCAGCTGTCAATATTGAGTACTACGCTTACCTCCATATGTACATATACACGTACGTCAATGACTTGCAGCTCACCATACCCGCAGGCGAAATGAATGGCTAACTATACACTTCGTTATCGTGTTTTTCGCCATGAGAACGGTACAAGGTATCATCCGAGTTAGTTGATTGTTGAGAACACATGAGAAAGTCCTACTTTGCAAGATTTTATATCTAAATCATGGTATTATAGCCACAGCAGCTCTAGATGTTATCGTCATGTACGAAACATCATGTGACTTTGCTTCTATTCTCCCGTCTTTTCAGTTCACCTCTGAGCCGTTCAGCCTGTCTTTTCCGGTTACGTACCAAGCCCTAATCACGGGGCCACAGGTCCCACCCAATACAGTACACCCAAGGTGTACCCTTCCACTGTACATCATCCCTCACAAAGACAAACGCATCATCGACCTCTCTCTCGCAGTCGTAGTTCAAGTCTTTATACTGGCTTCTTGGTCCCCCAAATCTAACCTTCATCTTGTAACCACCAGAAAGTATGACTTCCGCGTAATCCAGGGTCGTGCAGTCTCTAAACACCTGCTTTTCCCCTCCAATAGACACTGTCAATGCAGGGACACAATTTCCGGGATCATACGTCCCTCGTTCGAAGGCAGCAGCAATCGTGTTACGCAAGACTTCATAGACGTCGGAGCGGCCGTCGTACCATGAATCTTCGACTGAGACGGTAATGGTCTTGCGAACATGGCTGTTGGTGTAGATGCTCAGACCGCGGGAGGTGACGTAGACGTTGAATGTGGCATGGTTGCTGCCGCAGCGTTTGCCTGTAGGTGGGCAGATATGCTCGATCGCAGTCTGGACGTCGTGGTAAAGAGTCTTGCTGTCCCCAACGTTGATACCATTGGGGCTGAGGCCGAGGGTGATGGTCTCCGACTTGTCGACTGGGGGTGGTTAGACGTTGGAACTATACCCAGTTTGATACAAGTGTAAAGACATGATTGTGTTGGTAGTTTGTTTTGAGGGGAATTTGCAAAACATACTGTGCACAGGCTGAGTATGGTTGTAGCTACCACCGTTTGCTAAGCCGGCATCACCAACTGCAGTGGTAAACAAAAAGGTCCTCAGCCTGGACTCCGGTACTCACTACTCTCATTACCAGCGGTTGGTGCCGCGGTCGCGAGCATGCCGCACGCTGTGGTAATAATAGCAAAAGCGAAGAGCCTCATGGTTACTTCCTCGGTGTTCTTGCGTGACAGTAGACGTTGGATGGAAGATTTGACAATGCAATGGAGCGACGATCGACTCGTAGATGAAGAAGAGAAAAATGAGTGAGTAGGCAGGTAAGGTCTCCATTCTAGATCACCACTAAATGCGGTGACTGAGCAAAGTGAAGGTGAGTATCATCGTTTAGGGACGGAGCGTCTCTTGCGCTTTGGGCTCATCGACAGGGAACGTGATAGCACATAAGATAGCGCAACACCAAGAGATGATGGATCAAAATGCTTGAACAAGACGGCTTGGACCAAGATAGTGCGAATCAGGAGCATCAGTTTATTCAGGTTCCAATAGAGCATAGTTCTCTACATAATCAGTACTACATTGCTCTGAAATTCAGTCACAGCAGGTAATCCCGAAGAACAATATCTATTTGCTCTTACCGGTAGGGATCTGGAACGCGACAACAGGTTCGCCGTGCGCAAAAGCGCGATCGATACGGAAGAAGCCCTTGCGGTCAAACTGTACGATATCGTCGACCTTAAGGTCCGCGACGTTGCAGTCAGCCATGGCCTTGGTCCTAGACTCAGTCTTCGGGTTGAGGAAGTCCTCGAGCGTGTCCTCAGGCTCTAGCTTGTCCTTGGTGATGAGGTAGTCGTAGTCAACAAGCTCAATGGGAACAAGCTCCTGGTCATTGCTCAACCAAGTGACCTTCTTGGATGTCTTCTTGACGTCTCCTTGGAGATGTAGCTCAAGCTCAAGGCCTGTGACGGTCTTGAGGCCGTGCTTAGCCATCTCGAGGGGGTTGATCGAGTGGCTGATCTTGCGCACGATGGCGTTACCCCAGTTCATGAGGGTGATCTCCTCGTCTTGAGCGAACGATTGTGCGTCTGCTTGCTCCATGATGACAGACTTGCTGAAGACGATCTTCTTGTTGCCGAGATCGTACTTGGCGTGTTTCGGTTTGTCCTCGGAGATGACGCCCTCACGCGCGCCGATGATGGTGACGGGAACGCGGCCGGAGTCATCGATAGCGGTGTAACGAGCAGCAGTTGGCTCAATGTGCTTCTTGTTCGTGGCCCAGAAGGCGAACCAGTCCTGGTTGACAATGTTCTTGGAAGGGCCTTGCTTGAGGATGAACTCGCGGAGAGCGGGGATGACGGCACCGTGGCGACGGACACCGCGGACGGTAGGCATGCGCGGGTCGTCCCAGCCCGATACAATACCAGCATCGACGATCTTAGTGAGCTTGCGCTTGGACAATACAGTGCGGACAAAGTTCAGGCGCGCGAAACCCCAGTTGTGGACCTTGCGGAGCTTGAGGTTCTTGATGAACCATTGGTACTGTGCGTCACGGTCGTTGTACTCGGTTGTGCGTAGCGCGTGGGTAACGCCCTCGAGCGAGTCGACGATGGGGCAGCAGAAGTCGTAGGTAGGGTAGATCTTCCACTTCTCGCCAGTGCGGTGATGCGCCTGGGGGTTGCAGCGGTAGATGACAGGATCGCGCATGGCCTTGTTGGGGTCATCGACGGACATCTTCGCGCGAATGCACCACTTTAAGCCCTCCTCGTTTCCCTTCTTCATCTCCTCGAAGTGCGCAAGGTTGTCTTCGACGCTTGAGTCCCTGCGAGCACTAGCAATGCCGTTCATACGCTCCTCACGCATCTTCTCTTGCACTGTGTCATCTGCGTATGCCAATCCATCCTTGATGGCCTGCACACAGCTCTCGTAGAGCTGGTCGAACCAATCACTGGTGTAGGAGACCTGGTCTGGCTTGATACCGAGAAGCGCGCAGTCTTCGACGATGGCATCCTGGAACTCTTGCTTCTCCTTGGTAGGGTTGGTGTCGTCAAATCGCAACAGGAGCTTGCCCTTGTACTTCTCGTGCGCGAAGTAGTCGTTGAGCAGCGCTGCTTTGGCGTGACCGATGTGAAGGTAACCTCTGCGATACGGTTAGCGGAAAGTAGTCGCACCCACCGAAGAAGAGAACAACTCACGAAGGCTCAGGTGGGAACCTAGTGACGATGCCAGTGCCATCGCCTACATCCTGCAGGCCAATGTCATAGTTCGCATCATCGTTCTTGCCTCCCTCCTTCTTGCCCTTGCCCTTGGCACCCTCCTCCTTCTTGCCTTGTCCTCCGACAATGACCACGCTCTGGGGGTATGCCTCCTCGATGTACCTAAACCAGCGGCACAGGTTCTTCATCAAGTCCTGCTTGATGAATGCGTGCGCAACGCGGTTCTCGCGGATGGTCTTCCATACTATCGTATCGGCGTCGGAGATTGTGTAGCCGACGATGTGGGAGCGGAGAGTGAGGTGTGCATCAAGTTCCAATAGGTGAGGTTCGATTTGCTTGAGGTTGAGGGGCTTGAGGTCCTCGGAGCGCTTTTGCCATTCGGCGATTTGCGCGTCCATGCTGGCGACAGTTGTTTTGTGTTCTATGAAGTTTTGTTGAATCTGGATTGTATCCAGTTGTTAGGCAATCGTTCGTAATGGGAAAAAGTTGAAGTGGGGTGAACTGATGACGCGGGGCAACACGGAGCTTGGCAGGTACGAGTCACTGCAGGGCTGTCTCCTCGACCCACGACAACTTTGCTAGAAATATAGAAGGCCAGACTAGCCCAGCTTGTTTGATCTTGTAGATCTGTCATACACCACCATCAAGCAGCTCGAAGATCATGTTATTACCAAAATACGCCGTAGTAGTATTGTCACCCTATTTCCTGTATAAACGCCGAGAAATGCAAAAGCGTTACAACGGCCGTGGCGGTCATACGAGTACAAACGCTATCATTACAAGTCATAAGAGAAGTATGAAGAAAGAGAAAAAAAGGCTGCCACACGATCAAGCACACTCCCATTGAGCAAAAACACACCACCTTGCGCTTCGATCAGCAAGGACCAGACCTCGCCATGTGCCCTTTTCTCCAATCTTAATGACCGTTTCCCAAGCCGTACCATCAGCATCGTTAGTACTGCTAATATGCTCCGTCTTTCTAGTCAGGCGTATAATCTTGCCAGAAGGTGTTTGTACGGCTAGCTTGGCAGGCTTGTTGCTACTACTACCTGATGATCCAGAAGAACTTTGAGATGGGTTCGTGTAGTTGGATCCAGTTGCTGAGATACTCTGCATGCTCATAGCGGATGTAGGGCGAGCAAAAGGATTTGGCGATGCTCGGCCATGCATCGCGGGACTAGGTTCGGGGGATTTTGTAAGGGATGACGGATGTTGGCGGACGCAGAAGACAAAAGTGTTGTTGAGGGCCAGATTAGCGCACTGCGGCTGGGCGACGTATAGATCGTGTCGTTGGGCATGAGGCGTAGGATGCAGAGTCAAGAACGAATACGGAGGATTGGTGCCGGTGTGCGTCAAAGGAAGGCCGATTGCCAGGTTGTGAGGGTTCAGCTTGTTGGAGTGCTACGAGGCGTTAGTTTATCTGTCTTAGAGACGTGACGAGAAAAAGCTTACCATAAGTCCCCGGGGTCCTGCATAGATCTTCAGGACACCCTGGCCACCATCGTTCGGAAGAAGGGCCTTAACAGTGTATCTCTTCTGGCCACTGTACCATTCGGCTTGTGCCAATGCCGGCTTCCTCACAATCTCGCCGCTCTCAAAAAGATCACCGTCCATGTCTTGATCATAGGCTCGTGCCTCAACCTCCGCAACACACTCTACATCCTCTGGTACGTCAACGTAGACATGCGCCATCTCAAGGTTGTCTAGGTTCAAGAGACTAGTATCGAAGTTGACTACGTTGAGATGATGTCGGAAGTAAGCGGGTGTTGCACACGGGAGTGCCATCAGCACCTCGTGTGGCTGAGGTGGGCAGATGTGTTGCTGTTCCGGAAGGAGTGGAACGTGAGAGTAGCAAATCTCCATTGGGCGAGCAAGGAAGTACCATGTCTCGGCCACAGATGATCCCGCAGTCGAGTAGTGAACTCGCTTTGGGTTTGTCGGCCCAGCAAGGGAGCAGTCCATTATGCGCCACTCACCCTCTACAATGACAGCGTTCCAGAAGTGATTCGGCCGCGCGACGCTCTCTAGGTCCAAGGGTTCGCCTGGTGTCTTGAGATAGCCACGGACAACTTCAGCGTGCATTCCAACAGAAGCACACATCTCTGCCACGACCATGGCGATTTCTTCAGAGCATCCGCGCTTGCTTTGAAGTACGTGTTTCGGATCCATCTGACCCTCAAAATCTTCTTCCCACGATATGCGCTCGCTGACCCATGTGAAGATAGCTCGTAATCGTTGAATATCGCTTCGGTATGGTCGACAAACATAGCCTTGTGCCAAAGTCGCTGGGTTCGTTCCAAGAGGAATGCTGTTGATGAAGCGCGCGCTCTTGTCAACATGAGCAAGACTGCAAGCCGCGAAATCAGTAGGCTCAGTGATGGGAAGACCATCAAGACCCTCGTCGCCCTCAGCCGACTCATACAGGATCTCAATGGGGTTCAAAACAGGAATGTCCATCATCTGGCATCTTTCGGCTCGCTCTGTTCGCTCGTTCTTGCTTAGTGAGTTGGACCGATTTACATCCCGCCGGACCTGCACCCAATCTACCGTTCCAAGGCCGGTATCCCTAGATTCCTTCACCGCGTGGGTCGATTTGCCCCCTTCTATGCCAGTCGGTTCGGAGTTATCCAGGCGGCTTGCGGCGCGACTCTGGGAACGACCAGCAGCTCGGCTGGCAGCCCGGGATCCCGGCCTACTTATTGTGTCGATGGTGCTGCGTGCATTCGCGGCTTGGGTCTTCGCAGTGTCGATCATCTTACGGAAGAAGCCGCTGCGCTTTGTCTTCAGTGGCTGCCTCAGTCCACCAAGAGGATCTGGGTCGTCCGTGGCTGGGGTGCTGACTTCAGCTTGTTGGATGTCGCTGGAACCGGCTTGCGGCTGTGAAGCATGGCTGGAGTGATAGGTGACACCAGTGAAAGGTGTCTCTGGCCGTCCGTCGTCGAATCCATAACCCTTTCCAGCCGTGTCTTTGGTGTTCATGACGCTCTTTGGTCGATCTTTTCCAAATTTCTTGCGGTAATAGCTCCCGGCGCTTGTAGCACTCATGTTCGTAGCAGAGTGTCCAGACATCAAACTGCGATCGGTGCTGTTGCTTGTGTGTGTCGTAGTCGTAGAATTCGTTTTGCTCGTAAACGTTCGTCCAAGTGCATTTCGTCCAACGTTATAGGCGGATTTGCGATGGTTAAGTAGCTTCGAGCCCTTTCGCTGAACCTCTGGCTCAGCATCCGCCATCGAGGATCCGGGTCGCTGGTGTGAGCTTTTCAGAGGTACGGTTGGCCCTTCATCATCGCCGATGAACAGCTCACCGTTCCTAGCTTGCTCTTGTTGCTTCATTCGCCTTAGACGACTTTCCATGCGCTTCATGTAATTGTTAACATCTGGCAGACCTTCCTCTTCGTCTTCGTCACCGCGGCTCATAGCGGACTGCGCTCTGACCTTTTTAGCCGACTCCTGGTAGACTTGGTCAAACGCTTCCGGAGACCATGGATTCGATGGGGTCGGAGGCTCTTCTGGCGACTCATCGCTTCTTGATGTTGTCATATCCTGCAAAGACGACATGACATCGTTCATTGCTGTCGTGAGAGGAGAGGGTGTGAAGTGTCCACCGCGTGCTCTTGGATCAGGCGAAGGCGGTTCTGGTGTGATGAAGCCATTATGCGAAGGAGGTGCAGGTGACGGAGCTCTGCTTGGGTCGTAAGCGACGCGATGCGGAGGCGGAGGCGGAGGAGGCGAGTCCACAGGTTCTTCTTCGTATTCTTCGTTGTAAGGAGCGGGTGATGGGCCGCGACTAAGCTCGTCATCATCCAATTGCATCTGGTACGGAGACGGCGATGGACCTCGATCGTATGCGCGGTACTGGAATGAAGGGGCTGGCGAAGCCGCACGTGAACGCTCTTGGAATGATGGTGCCGGCGAAGGTCCACGGTCGTATGCTCGGTACTGAAAGGATGGTGCCGGCGATACAGCTCGTGAATGCTGTTGGTAGTGGACGGGGGGCGCTGGCGAGGCTGCCCGGTAATAGTCCTGACTTTGTCGGGGAGGAGCTGGTGATGGTGCCCTGTAAACATCTTGGCTTGGTCTTGGAGGAGCTGGAGAAGCTGCTCGGTACATGTCTTGTATTTGTTGTGGAGGAGCTGGAGATGCTGCTCTAGCGTAGTTGCGATGTTGTATAGGAGGTGCAGGCGATACACCACGGGGTTGATACTGGTATTGTGCTGGAGGCGCATGCGATTGTGGTGGGATATACGAGCCGCGTCGGATGGGAGGAGCTGGTGATACGGCGCGAGGCTGGTAGCGATAGTCGGCGGGCGGTACGGGAGATGATTGTGCGCGTGTATGCGAACCGTGACGTGACGGTGGTGCTGGTGAAATAGCGCGTGTTACGGGTGTTCTCTTGGAAGGAGGTCGTGGTGATACGGCGCGAAGATTTGACTGTTTTCTTGTGGAAGACGCAAGCGGTGGGCTCTCGCGACTCTCGGTAGACGACCGCTTCATCGACGAGAAGGGGGACTTGGTCTTGACACTGCCGTTTGGTGAGTTGATGCCTGCCTTGAGCCTCTCTCGCGCAGCAGCAGCAGGATTCGGTGCGCCTGCAGCTGCATAAGCCGTGAAGGGCTTCCTGAAGGTGCTCTTCTGCTTCTGCGGTGCTGGCTTTGGCTGCTCCTGGGCACTGTTCTGCCTCGACATGCTTCCTCCACTGCCATTGCGCGCCCATGGTTGATAGTCTTCGCTGAGCAGTTCGACAAAGTTGGAAGGAAACAGTCCAACCATGCGCCTGTCGCGCTTTAACCGGCCCATCCACCAGGATCCATCACCGGCATTAAGGACTTCGATCAGGTCGCCTTCTATGAATCCGAGGTCGCGTTTGGTCTGGAACAGCGGTTAGGTCAGGTGCTGCAACAAGCCAGCTTCTGTCGCAACTTACCTCTCCTCCCCATGAATACACAGCTTTGCACCAGCACGGAAAGCGCACTGGCAGCGCCTGGCCGACGGCCATATTGGGTATTATTCGGTTGTTGTAGTCGTAGTATTAATTCGTGGTTGACCTGCAACTTGTGTGGGACATGCACGGCGCGTGGATGACATGCGTCGATTAGAGTGAGAGACGGCGTCGATTAGGTGTGGGACGCGCAAGAAAGCTCCAGCGAAAGACAGTAGTCGATGGTAGCAATAGCAGAGAGTACTTCTCTGTAGTCACGCCGCGATTGATAGCGGGGATGTGGTATGTGTAAAGCTAAGCAGGGCCTATCGCGGCCTGATGTCTCGTCTGGGTTGGGTAAACACGATTCAGTCGACCGCTCCCCCAGCAACCGAGGCGCACCAGCCAGGATGCGGTCCCACTTTTGCCCACCACGTCACCTCAATCTTCAGCTCTACACCGCGACATGTCCAGTTTTGCTCCATCTTGGGCATGCGCCTTGCACAATAGTACTTCGTTCGGCGCCTGATCATGCACGAGATGTGTAGTCGCCTGTCTGTTATGCATCGCGACAACTATAACACTACTCCTGTCCCGAACAGATGTTCCCAACTGTCCACTGTTGATGTACGCTAATATTGACAGCCCTCTAGCTTTCCTGCTAGAAGCGATCTAACAACAGTAGTCGCGCACGACTTGTCGCCTTGCCATAGCTCAGCACGCCACTCGAACATACAGCGCGAGCCGATCACGATTCAGATGTTGTCCTAACATGGCTGCATCGGGCGCCAAATCTTCATCACCCAACGCATCACTAACATGGGAAATGCTCAGATTGAGGTAAACGCATCGTCATTTGTCAAAAAGCTACTGAGATCGAGAGCTATCGATGCGGGAACAAGAAAGTAGCACCACTAGGGCGTGCGATGTAAAAGAAAGCCGATTCCTCCTCAACTTGACTGCCTGATGGGACACCAGTGGCGAAACGAGTCGCTTACTGTCCGTTCCACATCTTGGGGCCGGGCATCGTGTACGACTTGGGGTTGTTCCACTTGTTGAACGCAATGCCGGGGTCCTGAGCACTGTAGACACCGGGAATCTTGACCTTGGGAGAAAGGTTGCCCTTGCCGGAAGACGCAATGTTGAGCTGGAAGCACTCCATGTAGAACTGAGCCTTGCCGACGTGGCCCTCGTGGATGGCGATGTGCTCGACACGGACGAGGTACTCACCAGCAGGAATGTTCTGCTGAACGGTCCACTAGAGATACAAAGTCAGTATATGGCTCGTAGGTAATCAGAACAGTCGAAACTTACCTCGAGGCGGTCCTTCTGCCAGCTGTCCCAAGCAGTGTCCACGCCGGGCTGGCTGGGGTTGATGAGGCCGCTCTCCATGACCTTGATCCAGTCACCGGAGCCGTCGTAATCAGCAACCTTGCCAGGTGCCTTGGAGATGTAGACGAAGCCTGGACCAGGGTGCTCAATCTTCTCATTGTTGAAGAGCTTGAAGCCGAGCTTGTCACCAGCCTTGACGTTGTAGGTGGGAACTCCTCCGGCTTTGGCGCCCTTGTTGCACCTCAGGTCGGGAGAGTTGATGACCTCGTTGGGGAACGACGGCATGTAGGAGTTGGTGTTCTTACGGGTGTAAGCATAGTCGCCACCGACAGCCGCACCGTTGACGATGAGGCGGTTGAAGATGTAGTGGGCATTGGCCCCCAGGGGCGCAAGCAAAGCGAAAAGAGCAACAGGCTTCATGTTGTAGAGAAGAGGGTGAATATGTTCAAAAGAAGTGAAAGTAAAAAGTTGGAGAAGCGAATGTACTGGTTGGTATCGAATGCTAGTGATTGCGATGGTTCTTACAACATGGCACCTGTCAGATACTTATACTGAACGACATCTCAGCATGGTTCACTGCATCGTTCCATGTCATTGGAGGGATATCCATTTTTTTGGTCCCTAAATTTCATCACCAACCCATCTATTCTCACTCTTCATCTATTTCTCGCCAGACTACCCCACCCCCAAGGCGTCATAAGTCATCATAAGCCCATAGTACCCAGTCGCATAGAACATCTTGTTCGTTCTAGTCTCACTTTAAATGAAAAAAGGGATCCCAACACCACGTCGAAACACATATAACCGGTGGCCAAGCCAAGCCTCACCAACACCACCCATGTGCTTTCCGCTGCTGCCAAGTCCGGGGATATCATGTGTTTCACGTTTTGATTCTATTGCGCCTTGGCGAATATGCAGCAAAACAAAGTGCCGATGTGGGAATTCTCCTATTCGCTGCGTCAAGGCTTACCTGCGGTATCAGTATCCACTACCCGCGATGCGAATCCGAATTGCGATAGGGTAGAGCTAGCCGATTTGTTAAGCGGAGCTTGTGGGACATTGTATGGGTCTGCCGAAAGTGCTGAAAGAGCTGCGTGATACGATAGCTCAGCTTCTTCAGCATCTCTTCTTGCTCTAGCCTGGGCACCCCGATAACTCCTTTGAAACGATGTGGCCCCTCACCTCCGTCGTACGCCGTCATTGGTAGCCTTGCTGTCACTGCGTCCGCGGTTTGCCGGTTATGACATGACCATCAGCTCTTTGAGGGAGGTCCACTGTTGATTGCATCGAGAGCACGAATCACTTTCTCGTGAACGGCTCTCGGCTGTTGTTACAACACCTCGTCATTGTCCTTGTGTGGGAGAAGATGTACGATGTGGAGATGGCTGTCTACACAGATGTCTAAGAGATAGACGTTAAGACCTCGAGACGACATGCTTACTTTTCTTCTCTGCCATTCTGAGTGACACAGTTAGATTGTGTTTCTGTACAAAGTTGGGTGTGAATTGTGCGGTATCATATACTCGTAGGAAAAGTCGATATTCACAAACAACGGAGGTAGTCTCGCCTCCAAGAGCCATGTACAGTAGTCACTACATCACTTCACGTGCATTGTCTTGCCACATTAAAACGACAGTGACTTCAATTCCTATTGAGCTTCGGCCTCAAATTGGCTGCAGAGTACTCTCCTGGTTTCCAGAATTCTTTTTCCTGAATCATAAACTCAACTTCTACAAAGTCCTCTAACTCAAACCATTGGTTACCAGAACGAACAGCTTCAAGCTACCCAAGCGAGTCTTACGCCGATAACCATGGTGAATTACAACGAACTACACCCCTCCGAGCCTCAACACCATGGCCCTTTTAGCGCCTGTGCTGCTACCTTAGCGAATATCCTGGATTTTGTTCAAGAGGTCTGCAGCACTGAGATTACAGAGGAAAGTCGGTCGAAAGATAACAAACGCTTTGTTCAATTACTCGAACAATTGAAGAACGATCTAGCTAGAGTCAAGAGTGACTTTCCGGTGGAAAAGAGGCACCTGTGGGTAGGAAGTGAGATTGAGCGATACGAACAGGCAGTGAAGAAGACGGAGAGTCTGAGCGCTAAGTTCACAGAACTACTGGATCTAGAGGTCTAGACAAAGCCGGATGATAAGGATGCTGGTCCGTGTATGCTGACGACATCTGCACGAAGCGCTAGTTCTTTCCTTTTCCAATCACTTTGATCATTCTTGGAACTACGTACTCTTTATACCTTCGTTTGAAGGAACATGAAACATGGGATTCTAATCAAGAAGCTAACGGGTCACCGCGATTGCAGAATTCGCAGCGTGTACGGCGATCGTGATAGAAATGCGATGGTGAAAAAGGAATCTCGCGAGTCACAATAACATGATCTTCGATAGCATGACGTACTCTCCGTCTTTTCGCGACGTCCATTTTTTTCCACATCCTCGTCAATGTGATGTACGGAATCTCCATTAATGGAACAATGTTCCATGGAGACGATTCACGGTTGATGTTATGAGGACACCAGCGTACAGAGCGACGGTATTGATGAGTTTTGGTTCTACGATTTTTAGAGCCTACTAATAGCATAGTCGAAGAAAGAACAACACTTCCGAAAACTCTTGAGTAACATTTAACACGTCCCGCTGTTATGGGACATGCTATGCGCTTATAGATGCCGGCATTGGTCGACCCTTAACCGTCGATCGCTATTGGTGTTCGGGCATTGTGAGATTTGTCGAGTCCCCGGCTATATGCCGGTTATGTATCGCATCTGGCAGAGGCCGTACCGGACTCTTTCGGTAAGCAGCGTTTCCAAGTCAAGATGATGAAGACGATGACATCGCGACAGAAGGGCGTAAGAGGCTGGTAGCGCAAGTGGGGCAAACCCGCACCTCCGCTTTCCTATAGAGCAACAACGACCGCTCGCGGGCGGGATTGCCAGTTGCGGATGTCAGCGATTGTTGTTACTACGCGTGATCACAACTTAAATATGAGGTTCAGCACGATATTTTTCATTCGAGACAACGCCCACAATGCACTCCACGAAAGACGGACAGTCCAACAGCCACAGTGGTTACGATCAACCACCGATCGGACCTCGGCTGTTCTCTGTTAAGAAACCACCATCGTTGGACGATTTCAAGAAGCTCACAACAGAGTCTGTGCCCTGTCATTATCCGCTTGCGAAAGCTGTCGAATTGAATGTACCCATCTACCACCTTCCCGATTACCACTCGCTCAGTCCAGAGGAGCGCTCTGCGCTTCAAGATGAGTACGTAACTCCTACTTACGAAGTGAATTTGAGACATCTACTGATTGCATACACCAAATTACAGATGGTATCACATCCTGCTTTCGGGGCCAGGGGTGTTCGTCACCAAGGATCTGTACAAAGACACTTCCCTGCTTGAAAAAGTAAATAGGGTTTACGCAAACATTATCGCAGAAGAAAAGAAAGTGGCTGGCAAACGCGGTGACCACTTTGCCGGAGCTGGAGCAAACGATCGCATCTGGAACTCACTCTCAAAGCACTGCCTACAAGATCCGGAATCGTTTGCAACATATTACGCAAACCCATGGCTGCCGCTAATTTCTGAGGCATGGCTGGGTCCACATCATCGCCTGACTTCACAAGTCAACATCGTGAAGCCGGGCGCAAAGGCTCAGATCTCTCATAGAGACTACCATATTGGGTTTCAAGACAATCAGTCGTGCGAGAGGTTTCCCAAGGCAATGCAAGTTGCATCGCAGTTTCTCACACTTCAGGGAGCAGTCGCGCACTCCGCTATGCCGGTAGAGAGTGGGCCGACTAGGCTTTTGCCGTTCAGTCAAAAGTTCGAGGAGGGTTACATGGCGTATCGTATTCCGGAGTTTGCAGACTACTTTCTGGAGAAGTATGTATCTATGCCACTGGAGATGGGTGACGGGCTGTTCTTCAATCCAGCTTTATTCCATGCCGCGGGACAGAATGACTCGGCCGATATCAATCGATCAGCCAACTTGCTGCAAATATCGTAAGATATCTTCTTTTACAAGCTGCATGTAAGACAAACACTGACTTCATATGTGTCAATATAGATCAGCCTTTGGTAAACCAATGGAGTCTGTCGATACATACGCACTTGTCGAAAAGACGTGGGATGCGATGTCCACGATGTATCAAAAGGAAGGGCTCAGCGACGAACTTAGAGCCCTCGTGAGCGTTGTCGCAGAAGGATGTGAGTAATGTGTCTATAGGTCTGCTTTCGAGACACATACTGACTTGATACGCTTACTTTAGACCCATTTCCGACCAACCTCGATAGGAGGGTGCCTGAAACGGCCGGCATGGCACCTGAAAGCGAGCAGGATGTATTGGTGAAGAATCTAAAGAAGAAGGATACAAGACAGGCTGTGTTGGATATACTAGCGACAATGCGAAGAGAGTCTATGGCGTAGATACCGCATTCGTGGTACTCGCTGAGCGGTTCACGTGAAAGCATGCAAGCCCTCAGTGTGTAACGTAAACCAATATACAGAATCTGAGTCCAAGCAAACATACTATAACTATACAGTGTGATAGCACACTATTCACACCGCAAGCCAGTGCGTCCACAGTGACCAACAGTCATAGCAAACGCAAATTAACTCCTCGGTTTGCCCATGCGTTCGAGACCTCTAGCCCTGCTGCCTGCTACAAGAAGCGGAACTCATGACCATCTCATTAGCATACCTTATTCACCCCGTTATGTCGCGCGCTCTAGCCGGAGGTGAGCAAAATGCAGAAGACGGCGTTCTGGAACCTTTGCTCGACGAACGAAACACGGCGCTTCGACCAGAAGAGAACCCCAATGGTCCTCTTTCTGTTCCGACCATGCATCCAAAACCATTGAAAGAAGATAGCTCTACACATCCGGCGCTACGCATACCCCTCCGCCCCCCTCAAGCGGTGGCTACAACAGCCCCAATATCTCTTACACCAGACGCTGAATTTCGCCTCATAGAAGCCGAACTGGCGAATTGCGAAAAGACCCGCGAAGCGCTAGCACGGCGTGAAGTTGCACTTCGAGAACGAAAAGCGGAGATAGTACGAGAGACTAAGATGAAGCTCGATAAAGAGGTGCGTGAGTTGACTGTGGGAGACCAAGATGAAGAAATGGATGAGGGATTGTACATGCACGATGTGCAGAGAAGAGTGGAAGCAAACCTTCAGACGGCAGGGGAAAACGCGAGTCAAGCGACGGAGGAGTCACAACAGTTGGAAGAAACTGGAGGAGAGAAAGTCATTCCAGTTAGTGCACCAGAGCGAAGGCGACTTGCGCGTCTTGCTCTGTTCAAGAACGATCCTAGACTTGGTTGAGAACTATGATATCAAAATACAGCACTATATCATCAACTTTGTGATTTCTTCATCTTACATGTCGAACCATAGTACCTTCAAGATGTGCTCTCAACTATGTTCCATGCCTCAATCAAGTGTAAAGAACTCTGCAATCTCTGGAAACATCCTGCTCATCCTTTCCGCCGTGATAGCATCTACTTTGATTACAGGATCAAGTATGTACGTGATTCACATCACCTTCATATTGAGACATGTCATTGCTCGGGCTTGTATCGAGATCTCGCCTAGTACGCGTCAGTGGTAGCGACACACATGGCGGTATTGACTGACGTCGGTATTCCGCAGCTGTCTCACCAATAGTCTTGTTGAGCTCGGTAATCTCATTAAGCAAATTCGTGAGTTGCTGGCTGTACCGGTAATCTGCATCCCGTTGAGCCACGGTGGGCGCGAGTGCGTGTCTGTTTGAGAAAGATGACATTGTGTCTGGGTGAGAATCGTTCGAATATAGTATCTGTAATGGACAAAGGTTTGATTATAATATGTCTTACCAATGATTTGAGCTACACTGAAAGCTCAAATACTTTCCATAAACATCGCGCTGATGCTAGCACGCACGTAGCGAACATTGCGTGTGAAGACTAAACAATCATTCAGCCATTGAATTCTTGGAATGTGACGCCGGCGAATTTGCTCGTCTATGAGTTTCAGCATCGTTGTTTTGGCAGTGTTCGCGCCAACATGGAATGCTCGTTCATTGACTGACGCGGTAATCTAGGTGAGCAAACAAACCAGCACTTTATATCACCGCTGCTACGTACGACCTCATCACTACATGTTGGTTTCCTTGCTCTTCTAATTCTCGACTATCGACCAGCCTTAACATCTTCGCTCGTGATCATAACTTACAATCAGCACGTTGGTAGCTCAAGATCGAGTTGACTAATAGTTATATCTACAACTTCACGAATAACCCACCTATATTCCTGAAAATGTCGCACAACACCCCAGACAGCCTCCTCAAGCTCGCCGCCGACCTCAATAAGCTAGGTGGAGAACTTTGTGCAATAGGTGGCAAGCTGGCACAGGCCGCAACAACTCTAGAGCAAGAAGCTGCCAATGTTGCTCTTACGAACGCGCAGCGATGGGGGGTCGATGTGCAGGTATGTGGCTCCCTTGCTAGAACGATTAGTGTATCTGGAATAAAGTATAACATGGTGTTGTAGGTTGCTGTAAGGGCTGGACCGCATGGTCAATGGACTGGACAAGGAAACGAGATTGTTGTTAATGGCGCGAAGAAGTAGCGATGCTGTCGAGAGAGAGTAAGAAGGAAGCGGACAAGGGATGATGGCATGTGCAAAGGAATATAGAAAGGCCGATGTTGGATATCGGCAAGGAGAGACGATCTCCCAGTGGAGTGTAGTGCGGAAGGGAAGTTCGGAAGTTGGTAAATTGCGAGGACGCGTCCCAGACTTCGATATGGTGCATTGCTAGTTTTTTTTGATCTCTTCAATGACCGGCATGGTGCTACATTGTTCTCATTGTATTTCTTAGGACGAGGGCGCGGGTGAAGGCTTTCCCCGCACGCAGCTCGCCTTGCTTTTTCAAGGACTAGCGCAGCAGAATTTTTATCAGATCATCAGATAAGATGCGAAGCCGGAATCCTCTGTCACCATTCACAGCGCGAAGCCAGCCCCGAACCATCTCCAGCCTATATTGGCGGTGTAAACTCTATAGTGTACGCGTAGACAGATTTGTTTTAAGTGGCTGATGTCGAGTCAGAATGACGGTCTGAACTCGGAAGATGGAAATGCAAGTTCCGTGATGGTCTGATTGCCAAAGCCACACGCTGATTAGCCAAGCCGCGAAATTGAGCACGGACGGCTGTTCGACTCGCTCCTCAGGAGCTGAGAGCAAGACAGGATAGAGCGATAGTCACGAGCAAGTACACATATCGATCGCAGAGTATCATGTGATCATCAACGCCGATTGCGTTGGGAGTTTCGTCTCAATTCGTCATTAATCTAGTCGTTGGTTGCAGTAACCACCTGCATATTCTACAGAACTAGTAGGAAAGGTTTTGAAAAGTAAAAGGGTATCATCCCCGTCCTTGCATCGTAAAGAGCGTTCAGACTCGGGAGTTTGCTCATGGCTCTATGCACATGAGAGATGATGCAGGACAACATATAAATTGAAGTGCATGCCAGCACCGCAAATGATGGACAGAAGTGCTAGAGGAAATGTGTGGTAGATCAAACACTGGAGTGAGCAGAGTGCTATCGGCCGATATTGTAATGCGAAACAGCATCAAGCATGGCATGGTCCTCGACCTTGGTCATGGGCGAATAAGACGCTCTGCGCCGTTCCTCAGCTTCCTCGATCAGTGGTGCATGGGGGCCGTCAGACGGGCGTGGCCTCAGAGGGCGCTGGGCGTGTTGAAGAGTAGTAAGAATGCTGCTTGCATCTAGCTCCATCGCACTGTACATGCCGGGTTCCATGGTGAATGTGTCTCTGCGAGCCTCTTGTCGTGCAAATGTCTGTGGAACGGGCTTCAGTTGACGCCAGTCCATATCGTTCGGGTCCGTTGAGACGCGGCCGTCGAGTAGCTTGAAGGCTTCGCTGCAACCGACCGTTCTTCCAGTACCCACGGGTGATGAGAAACCAGCCCTCATGTCAATGCTAGTGGAGACCTTGGGTTCCATTACGTCGAGCGAGCTGCTCTTGCTTGAATTGCGACGTGAACTCGAAGGGGTTTCTTCACTTCGGAGCTGAGCAACCCTTTGACACCATGCTCGCTGCTGGGGATTTGACTGGCAATCAGCGCAAGAGCCTGGTCCAGTCATAGCCATCTTAGGCTTGACGTCTTTGCCCGAGGAGCCGCTCGGCTTATGCGCCAATGAGGATGACTCGTCGGCACTGTCTACACGAGTAGGAGGGTCGCATATGCATATGTCCTTCTGTCCCTCGCAAAAGCCACAGTCTGTAATCTTGGCCTCTTCCACTGGGGGCGCAAATGCAGCGGGGTGGTGCTTCGTCTTGAACTTCTCGGTGAAGTCGACCTCATATTCCACGTGAGGATGCTTTTCGTCTTCCAAGTCCTCATGGCCATCGCGAAGAATTCCGGTCATAGCCTCGCCCGAGAACTGCAAGTCATGGGTAAGATCAGCGAGGCATGCGCAATGTTCGGGGGTGCACCGGTCACAGCCTGACTGCATGTTCTCAAGTGGCTGATCGTGGGGTGGGATTCCACGCATCATATCAAACTCGTGTTTTTCCTCGTGAGACGCATGCTGAGGGTTCATGGAAAGGCCCTGAGTATCTGGGGTACCGGCTTGTCTGTACATCTTCAACTCTTCCTCTAGCGCTCTGTTACGGTTTTCGAGGTAGTGTACCTGCTCTTGCATATGTTGCAAGGAGCGTTCGTACGCGCTGCTGTTATCCTTCATCTCTTGGGTTATTCTGTTGACAGTCTCAATCAGGGATTGGACATTCTTCTGCTTGCGTTCGCGGAAGTTGCGCTGCGATGCACGGTTCTGAGCCTTCCGCCTAGATTCGGGCTCTTCAGTCGCAGGCTTGCGGCCGGGCTTGGGGCGGGGCGGGACGGTGTGGTGCTTGCTCGCAGGGCCCCCGCCCGACAGGCAGGGGCCATTTGTGTTGCTGGTGGCAGACAACGTGGCGGCGGTCAATGAGGTCGGCTGGGCCTTTGGAATGAGGTCTGGGCGGCTGTCAGTTGTCGTGAAGCGGGCGAGGGCCAGACACGCGGTTGCGACATGTCTTGCAGCCGACAGCCGCGGCGAACCGCTGGCACAAGGTACACGGCAAAAGCAAAAGCGCTACTTACGTCGACTGGTAGAGGAGCGGCGGTCATCAGAGCCTGCAGCCCCGAATGCACTGCCTTCAGGAGATGCTGCGGGCGATGAAACAGCACTGTAATTGTGATCTGAAACCGGAGTGTTGGCGTTCTCGGGTGCAGCAGCGTCGTTGGACATGTTGACGTCCTGCAGCGTGAGGTACGAATGAGGTGGACGAGTGTTATCAGATGAAGATCCTGGGTTATCAGATCGAACCATCAGCCGACGACTTTCCCCGAGCGACGCCGAGCTCGGAGCGGATCGGATCAACTCTTCACTCCGACAACTCATGCCACCACCAGCGAGCGGCGGAAGCGACTCGTCATGCAAGACAGCATGCCAAGGACCCATCGCGCTCTGGGAATAGAGCGAACGGTCGACAGCGGACAGTTCCATGGCATAGTCAATGCCATAACAGTGTATGTCGGCATCTTCAAAGTTCAAGGGCTGTATCTCGATACTCCCTTCACACTAGTAGAGCGGGTAAAGACAGTATAGATGACCTACAGTACCCATGCTGGGTATCCAGCCTTATATAGCGTGAGAGAGAAAACGTCTGGTGGAATTATCCAGGGAACATCTCGATGAAAGACGTCGTAATACAGCTCTGCGTTGCCAACGCTCCATGAACCTCGTTGTGAAGCACTTCCAGTGTGCGCCCTGCCCGAAAACTCTGCTCAAAGCACCCACAGCACATATGCAAACACCACAAACGCTAGACGCCATTTCGCCCATTCAAATCATGTCCTTAGCCTATGCGCTCGCCCTGAACACTACACTACCGCCATGTCTCCATCTGATCGTCTCACGTGCATTCATGACATGCAGTGCGCGAGCAAGTGCTTGCTCCGAGTAACCCTTTCCATCCACCATCTCACGCTTGAGCGTAGACAGGTTGACTTGCCATCCAATAGGCATACGTCGTCGGAGTTCTTCTTCGACTTTGTTGACTTCATCCATAAGCTCCTTCGAGCTCTGGCCTTCACCTTGATTTACTGCGTCCATGGTAGAAGCGAGGAAAAGACGGATTGCCTCATCTACATGTGACTCGTCTGCGATGGGCGACAGCGACAACTTGGCTAGCGACTCGGTAATACGAATGATAGCTTCTAGTTGACGGACAGTGATGGGAATACTCGAGCGTTGATTTGCGTTGATCTCCGAAGCATGCACTTGCCGCCTAATGCTAACAAAGTGACTGGAAAGCTTCTCTGCCGCCTCGGGCGACAGACGCGGTGCGCACTTTTGCCGACAGTATGTGATGTAGCGCTTCATCTTCTCGATTGGAATCTCGGCCTGCACTGTCTCTTCAACACCTCGACCGCCCATCGCAATGCCCATGACGTGCTTTGCTATCCGCTCATCACGACCGCGATCGTGCTCATCGCGCACGATGAAGATCATGTCGAAACGTGACAAGATGGTAGTCTGGAAGTCGATGTTCTCACCAGGTGTCTTCATATCATCGTAGCGACCAAAGATAGGGTTAGCGGCTGCTAGCACCGAGGTTCGCGAGTTGAGAATCGTGGTGATGCCTGCTTTGGCGATGGAAATGGTTTGTTGTTCCATGGCTTCGTGGATGGCTACTCGATCTTCATCGCGCATCTTGTCAAATTCGTCGATACACACTACGCCGCCATCAGCTAGGACCATGGCACCACCCTCGAGGTAGAATTCTCGTGTATTGTGGTCGCGCTGCACAGATGCTGTTAAACCGGCTGCTGAGGATCCTTTGCCAGAAGTGTAAATTGCGATTGGCGAGACCTTCTCAACGAACTTCAAGAGTTGAGATTTGGCAGTACCAGGATCACCAAGGAGGAGCACGTTAATGTCTCCACGAAGCTTCATTCCGTCCGGCAGAATTTTCTTCGCACCACCCATGAGCAAACAAGCGATAGCCTTCTTGATGTCCTGGTTTCCGTAGATGGAGGGCGCGATGCAACGTGCAAAGACCTCATAGATATCGGGTCTCCTGCTCATCTCCAAGAACTCTTGCTCCTCTTCCTCAGTGAAGACAGCATTGCCTTTGCTGCCGTGGTCGACTTCTGCATGAATGCCAACTGCCCTGATGTATGGATTACGAATGGCTACTGCGGCATTGCCAGCACGTTTAGAACCCTTTTGCTGGTAAATAGAAAAGACACCCATGACCGAGCACCGTGTACCTGGGACGACACGATTCGCCAGATAGCGGTCTGCAGATATCATGATGTGTCGTGGTAGTTCACCGACTGGAACCTGATCGGGCGCCTCCTGCAGCTTGAGCACTTGTTGGTCGATGAACTGACAGCGCTCGTGCATGACATAGTAAGGGTCCAGCGGACACTGTTCTCCGCTCTCCCCCTCTCCTCGCTTCCTGCCACATGTCCTTGGGAGAGACACACCTGAGAAGCCACCTGATACAGGAAGGATTTCTTCGTGCTGGCAATTCCTGCATCGTATGGCGAGCGCTGTTGATTTGGACGAGAGCGTCGAGGCACCGATGATGATGCCGGGTATGCGAACGAGTTGGGAAACGTTGGTTGCGGTCAGGTCGCGAATTGAAAGTTCAGAAGCGTTCGAGTGGAGGAGCAGCTGGTGCTCAGGGAGCTGAATGTTCTTTTGTGAGGGGTAAACAATGCGCTGTGTGCACGACTTTAATGCGGACTCGAACTAGTTTTTGTCAGCATGCACATGCAACGCTGAGCTGTGCCACATACGAGGGGTATGATTTCTGCTGGGTTCTGTCTGAGATCGTGTGCAAGCTCTGGACTGTAGCTGATGAGATGCGCGACATCGATATCGCAGTAGTACTGCTTCAAGAGCACGTTCTCGCGTATTTGATCTCTGCGACTAGTTAGAGGAGCGCATCCGGTGCATTGAACAGTCTTCTCTACCGGTAGACAAAGATGTTGTCAAGAGTAAAGTCCATGATAAAGTCGACGAGCGCCTGCTGTACGCGCGAAGGCGCAGCTGCATCTTGAGGGCCATCGCCGGCTTGGCTGCCGAAGAGACTGATGGAAAAAGGTGTTTGTCTGTCCGCCATTCTATGTGTCGTGTATTGTCAATCGTGAGGGTTGGTGTTGCTTGAGGGGCAGGCACGTCGTCGCTAGGGGAGACAAGGACGCGCTTTCGTCGCGATTTCGCGCTAGGCCGCGCGCTTTCCATTTTGCACCTGTCTTGGGCTTAGCGCTCCCCGCCTTCAACACTTCTCTCAAGCTTCATCGTCCACGGAGCTGTCTTACATTCATAAACCACCTCAAAGCTCCTGTCCGATTCCTTGCCTTCGCCGAACCCCTCGATAGGACGACACAGCGTAACTCGAAATCTTCAAAAAAGGTTCGGAAAGCAGGATATATGATAACCAAATAGTCTGCGCGTACTGAAGTACCCATGCACGCTTGCTCTTGACGGAATCCTCCGCTGCCCTGAACCAAATATGATCGCGTCTCCATTTCCTAATAAGTATGGCCATTGTGGGATATTACACGAGCGAACCTCATGCGCCGTTGCGTGCTCACCAGTTCCAACATCGTATCCTATCTCCTCGCTCTACAAATCGGAGGATGCCCATGAAGACTGGTACGGGTTCAAGTACGACGATATTCCTGTGAGTTTTCAGATCTCTCTTTGTGCCTGAAACAGACCAAACAAGTGTATGTATCGTACTCGAGGAGCAAATACAGTTGGTCAATCCGATTCTATACACGCCGGCATGTATATGCTTCCCATTTTCCATGTTGATGTGCACGAAGCAAGGAGTATGGAGAACCATCCAATACGGCGCGAATTGACCGCCGTTTTTCCTCTCGTATACAATCGACTGAGTCCTCGAAAAACTGGGCATCGACAGTCTACTGGACATACCAAGACACATACGCCTCACCCAGTATGCGCCTTAGGGCCCGCAGGTTCTCGACAATGGAACATCAGTCCACTAAATGGGCGCATATCATGTCTTGGCTAGATATCGTTCCAGCAGGGCGTTCCTACCAAGCGCGCTTGTACTGACAAGACAGCCACATTGGCGCCTCTTGTCATTTGTTGCATGTTCGTACGAGTGGCCAGGCGCATAAGTGTGGACCTTATCATGCCTCTGATTGTCAGCGGGCTTTTTTCGTAGTTTTTACAGGTCTTCATCCGAGCTCGCGTGCTCTGGATGTACAGTGCACCAGTTCTCAGGCTTGAGGCATCCATGATCACATCAGGACAAACACAGGCGGTCAATACCCCAATCTCAACCTCGTTCCAATCAGGGACCGGCTGAGAAGCTATTTGAAGCTGACCAGGGAAAGAACTCAAATTTTCGATTTTGGAGCGGAACATATCGCCTTCCTGTTATAGACATAACCAACGATCAGCTCATATGATCCTATGGTCGACAACCAAGTACGCCGGTGGTGTGGTGACCCATGTGGAGCAAGGAACATCTCATGCATTTCCAGACACCTTCCATGTATTCAGCTCCTGGACGCCCCTTGGTATTCGCGATCGCTGTCTTGAATCCAGTATTGAAAACACGGAAGTTCGGCAAGGACAGGACACCTAAGTGGTTTATTGGTTTCGAACTACTCTTGGTTCCAAGATCCCCGCTCTGGTCTTACTTTCTCCTTCTATACCGTCCACGATTATCATGGACAACCCGTGCTCCAGGTGGTAGTTGCGATTGGCTCTTCGTCACCACCACAGCTAACCCAAAGCGGGCACTAGTCTCGAGCGGAATCCTGGCGCCAAGCGAATCCTCCCATCCTACACAATTACATGTCGGCGGAGATGCCAAATAGGACAGCACCCATCGTTGGAAGCCCCAACCAGCCTCTGGGTTTCAGTGAGAACCATATCGTCCAAGCTGCCCAGAAGCGTACCCGGGCTGACGAGGCTTTCCTGGCGCCGTGCCACTCCCAAGATGATGTTTTGGAGGCGCACATGAGACGACTACGAGCGCTGGTTGGTTGGAAGCCTAAAGTACTGCGTTACAAGGTTCTCCATGGCTGAATGACGAGATCCCAACATACGTTGGCATGGTAGTTATATATATTGTATCGTGTCTCGTCGAGGTGAAACTCAAGCAGTATTCGTTCAGCACCACTAGTCCATTAGGACCATAGGTCATCAAGATGCCGGCCCTTCCACAGTTCGATTACATTTTTGCCATTGGCACAATCTTCGCATTTCTGGATGCGTGGAACATTGGAGGTTTGTTTTGAATACATCAAGCACATGAGTAAACTTTACTGATCATAAACTCTAGCCAACGATGTAGCTAACTCATTCGCCACATCTGTGGCCAGTCGTTCATTGTCTCTCAAGCAAGCCATGTGCATTGCCTCCGTGATGGAGTTCGCTGGAGCGATGCTGGTCGGTTCTCGCGTCACTGATACCATCCGAACCAAGGTCATTAGCACAAAACTGTTCGAAGATGTGAGTAGTATCCCCTCACCGCAAGTGCAACCGAGCTCGCCTCGTCGCCAGCAGGGATACAGTTCAGCGATGCCAACAAAACGAATGTGAATCATTGGCTGATCCGTACATGAAAATTTAGGACCCATCAGTGCTCATGTTGGGCATGATGTGTGCCATTGTCGGATCTGCGACGTACCTCACAATTGCCACACGCTTTACCATGCCTGTATCCACAACACACTCGATAATGGGTGGTGTCATCGGTGTTGGTATTGCCGCTTCTGGCCCCCAAGGGATCAACTGGTCGTTCAAAGGTGTATCTCAGGTCTTCGCTGCCTGGGGTATCGCTCCTGGTATCTCCGGTGGTTTTGGTGCTATCATATTCTTGATCACCAAGTACGGTGTAATGCGCCGCAACAATCCGGTTTATAAGGCTTTCTTCATGGTTCCAGTCTACTTCTTCGTCACCTCCTTCCTGCTGTCACTCCTCATCTGCTGGAAGGGTGGTTCTGCGAAGATAGACCTTACCGACATCCAAGCTGTGTGGGTTTCCATCGTTGTTGGTGTAGTCGTTGCCCTTGTGGTTGCTACATGTAAGTCCTCAGGCCACTCAGTTGCCCTAGTTTGTCTGCTGACCTTCAAACCGAAGTCTTCATTCCCTTCCTGTACCGTCGCATCATCAAGGGTGACTGGGAACTCAAGGATTGGCAAGTAATTCAAGGTCCTCTCCTCCTCCGCCGCCCCGAGCCCACCCCACGTCCAGAGGGTATGGCTGTTGGCAACATCCCTGACTTCTATGCCGGACATCTTACCGCGGAGGAGCTCGAGGCAAAGCGCGCTGGAGAAGGTCGACCCATACACGAAGACATTGAGAAGGATGCCATTCACTCTACAACCGCGAAGGCCACTAGCTCCGACTCTGATATTGTCCCTATCGAATCTACTCATCGAGTTACTGCCACTCCTGCGAAGCAACTCTCAACACCTAAGAAGCAGCCTCCCCTGGGTCCATGGTACACCCCCGCCGTTGCTTTCTGGTGGATCAAGTATGCAGTCTTCCACGGTGTTGAACAAGATGTTGTTTCTCAACAAAGCCACAAAGATTTCCTGTCTGGCGATATCGAGAAGGTCCACGCTACTGGCGAGCACTACGACAACAGAGCTGAATACACATACTCTTTCCTGCAAATCATGACTGCATCTACTGCCTCTTTTGCTCATGGGGCCAACGACGTTTCCAACGCCATCGGACCATACACGGCCATCTATTTCATCTGGTCAACCGGCGAGATCTCCAGCAAGGTTCCTGTTCCCCTCTGGATTCTCGCCTTCGGAGGTGCCGGTATTGTTGTTGGTCTCTGGACTTACGGCTACAACATCATGCGAGCTCTTGGAAATAAGATTACTCTGCACTCGCCAGCACGTGGATTCTCGATGGAGTTGGGCGCGGCGATCACTGTGATCTTGGCTACCAAGCTTGCGCTCCCTGTCTCGACTACTCAGTGTATTACTGGCGCCACTGTTGGTGTCGGTCTTTGTAATGGTACGTGGAGAACGATCAACTGGCGCATGGTTGCATGGATCTACATGGGCTGGATCATCACTCTCCCTTGCGCTGGTATCATCTCCGGGTGTTTGATGGGCATAATCCTTAACGCACCAAGGTGGGGTAACGGTGTGTAGAAATTTGAGTAGCTGGAAGGACTGTTGTCAATCGGTGCGCAAATTTTGGTAGGAATCGATTGGACGTGGTGTTTATAGGCTTGTTGGAAGTCGGTTTCTAGTCGAACACCCGCGCTCAGCGTTAATAAATAATGGTTTGGACCGAGCTTTGCATCAGCTTGCTTTCCAATTAACATTAGTAGATGCCTGGAGGACATGGTAGAGCCGTAGAATGCGCGAGGAGGTACCCAGCGTAGTCTTAGTCGTCCAAGGCATCGGAGGTGCGTGCTGAAGGCCCCTCAGCTAGTACATGCGCATTCCACAGAACGCTTTGTGGTACTGCGAACGACTCTATCCCGAATTTTCAGAGTTGCACAAACCGACGTGCATTATGTATTGCTATCGCGAGAGTGCGTTGAACTAGGATCATAAGTGCTGTGCTCACCACATGAACTCATATTCCATCGTCTGGCTCGCCTTTGTGTCCAGCCTTATCTTCCCACCAGAAACCGCTTGAATCACCCCAGAACTCGCCGTAGTCATCTCACCAGCTACTGTGCCATTTTCGGATCCTCCGTCATATTGGATCACTACGACGCCACTGACACGGCTCAGAATCTTCATCCTGCTGATTCTGCCCTCTACCCATTCAATGTCAAACACAAACCCACCCCTAGCCACAAGCCCAGACACTCTCCCAGAGTTCCATTGCTCGGGCAGCACAGGTAGTAGCCATACCTCCCGTACGCCTTCCTCATCCACAATATGCGACTGGAGTAGCGCTTCCGCAACACCACTAACGAAGCCCAGGTTCCCATCGATCTGGAAAACGCCCTCATTCACATCCATCAAGTTGTTGTAAACACTGCTGTTGAAGAACTGGTACGTGTTCTCTGCCAGCGCTGTGCGGTTTTGTAGCCGCGCGTACCAGTTGATTGTCCATGCGCGCGACCATCCCGTTCCAGCGCCGTTGTGAGAAAGTCGGTCTTCGAGAGTCGCAGCCGCGGCGTTGAAAAGCTTGGCGTTGTAGCCTGGAGCACCGGGTGGAAGGATTTGGGTACCGGGATATAGGGCGTATAGGTGCGAGACGTGGCGGTGGCCTGGTTCTGCTTGTTCGTAATCTTGCATCCACTCCTGTAACGTGCCAGGATAACGCGTCGAGTAGCGATATGGAGGAAGCCGGGCTTGGGTTTCTCGGACGCGACTGAGGAAAGATGTGTTTGTGGTGGCATTATTGAGGGTGGCAACCGCACGAATGTAGTTTGTGAATAGTTCATTGAGGATCTCGACATCGCATGTCGGCGAGATATCGAAGTGATATGATTTCCCGTCCGAACCGATGTAAGTATTCTCCGGGGATACCGATGGATTGGTCACAAGATATTCCGTCCCGTTGATGCTGTATGGCTGTAGTGTGTTGAGGTAGAATTCGATGGCCTCGGAGACTGTCGCCAACTTCGAAACTAGAAAGTCTTTGTCGCCAGTGTACCAATAATGCTCCAGTATGTGCGTAACAAGCCATCCGGAAGACAAGGTCCAGTACGTGGCTGGTAGCCACCTGTCGACAGGCGCAGTGTCCCCCCAAAGATCAGTGTTATGATGGCTCATCCATCCAGTGGTATTGTACATTTCATTAGCGGTATGTGTACCGTCCTTACGCATGATCTCTAGAAGGTCAAACAGGGGTGCATGTAGATCTGATAGACTAGTGACTTCGGCTGGCCAATAGTTCATCTGAAGGTTGATGTTGACGGTGTACTTGGAGCCCCATTGCGGTGCGAACTCTTTGTTCCAGATGCCTTGAAGATTTGCAGGCAACGTCCCATTACGCGATGACGATATCAGTAGGTAGCGACCATAGTTGTATGATAGGGCGGTCAACCCTGGATCAATGGAACCTTCGCGTGTAGCGTTGATTCGCTCGTCTGTTGGTAGATTACTAGCTTCCGCATCAGATCCATTCAGTTCCAGAATACTAGCGTTGTAGAGTGGCGCATAGTCTCCGATATGACGCTTTCGAAGCTCGGTGTACGGGCGGGAGCGAGCTAGCTGCATAGTGCTGTCCACAGCCATCCGTGTATTGTTGTGCCGATATGAGGTAGAAGCAGTGAAGAAAGCAGTCGCTTCCGTAGCGTTTTCGACAACAATGAATTCACCAAGCGTTTTGACATTACCATCAGTGTTTACTGCCAAAGCTGTTGTGAACACAATAGGATCGACGCCACCGGTCGCTCCAGTCATGTATGTGACACCGTTTTCGTTCCAATCTTGGTCTGAGGCCTCGTTGCCACCATCCTCCGGTCGGTGTATGCGTATTTGAAATGACAATTTATCAGGTCCGGTTGTTCGAAAGTGATGCACAAGAACATCGTCCGGTGTTGACACGAAGACCTCTCGCTCGTAAATTGTTTCGTTGACATTGAACCTTACACCAGCCACAGCAGTCTCAAGATCCAGCCAACGTTCGTACGTCGTGTTATCGTACTCGCTAGTGCCATCAAAGAAGATGTCCATGTCTCCTAGTGGTTGGTAATTCCTACAACTTTGGGGTGTGCCTAAAGACAGGTGCACTAAGTCAGTATTGATCTCGCATGAATTCGGTACAGAGATGTTACTTGCCCATCATGCCCAAGTTCGCCAGCTTCTCTGCATCCCCAGCCTGACCTCGTGTAAGCAAATCTCTAACTTCTGAGACTGTTTGCGAGCTGTCTTGGTTTAGACGGTCACGATGGCTACCAGACCAGACAGTCTCTTCGTTCAATTGTATGCGTTCTTGTACGGGTATCCCAAACACCATGCCGCCGAGACGGCCGTTCCCTATCGGTATTGCATCTGTCCATGCATCCGAGTCGGCAGGAGCTTTGTACCAGAGGCGAGTGCTGTTCGCTACTACCAAGGGAATAACCCCCGGAACAACTGCCAGGATCGCTACTATCAACATCTGGGTTGATATGTGCTCTGAGGCGTTTGTTGTTGATGAGATCAGACTGCGAACATCGATTGAATTGCGAAAGTACTAAGGTTATGTACCTGAGTTCTTAGCTCCATACATACGTCGATCCAGACTCTCATTGATGGATCAAATTGTACCTGAGCCTGTTGAAAACCGAGTGCGGAACACCCCGCATTCTTTACTCGATCAGCGCTGTGCAGATCCTAGACTTGTCGCTTGATGTCTTGCATATCGGGTAGATTCTCCACGCCACTTAGTCCGGAGTAGATCCGGAGAATATCCTGTTGTATTTAGCCTCGGAGAATGAGATCTGCATCCCGATGCCGTGGCTTTGCAACAAGCAAGTCGTTCAATACGAGATATGCGTTACCCCGCTCATATAATGCTGGACACGTTCCGGTTGTTACGAACGCAAGTCCGTTGTAAATGACGCAGTGTGGATCTGGCACTAGCTCGCATGCCCACAAACATCCTCACTATATGTCGCTCTGCCATCACTCTTAGAACATCTTGCTTCTACAAATCACGAGAACCAACTACTTCTCGTATACGTTGGGTGGAAGTTCTCACAACTTTGGAGGGGCTGAGGTCCTCTAGAGCAAGCGCAGGTTGGGCGTGACCACGAACGAGCTGCGGAATGTAACAGTCATCCACTATAACGTACCTTGTAGAGTTCGCGTCGACATTGCGGCAAAGTAAAAGGTTGATAGACGCGTTCTCCAAGCGTAGTCGAGGCACCGATGCGCATTTGTTGGCTGTTGACGTGCTGCGGTAAAGCCAAACAGGAGATCCATAATTGACCTGAGAAGGGACTGTCCTCGATTAGAGAGTTGCAGGTTCGCCATGGGCCGAAGGCGTTCGACCACTACTTTGTCATCGGAGGCGAAAGTTATCGAAGGAGCTAGAGACGACCGCTGCAGACTTTCAACGCGACGCACGAATTCTTGGAACTCAATCGACTTTGCGCCACACATCGCGATGGCTTCTGATGGTAGTCCGACTTCCCGGAGCATCCAGTGACGATGAAACCAGGAGAGACTGATGTGCCCCAAGAAACGCTCAAGTCCTAAATCGTGGGTGGTGGTGTCGCCGCCATCATCGGTACGAACCAAGTTCTGGCTCTTTAGCTGTGAACTCGCTATTGATCAGCTACAGGCATCAGCAACCACTAGGTGTACGCGTTAGCATCAATGCGTGGGAGGAAGGCGCGACAAAAAAAAAGGTGGCTGGAAGATGAGATGCACAGCAGGCCCTTCCTGATGATGTATATACCCGGAATTAATGACGCCCAAGTCCGACACGTCGACGTCGCGTCAAAAGCGCACAGACCCCCGCGTTTTCCTGCCGTCTCAACGCTATTCTTCATTCGTATTGCGCGCCTCACAATTGACCGTGCGACATCCCAGAGCTAGACCCATTCGTTTCAACCAGTCTGATGGCCATAGTGTCATGACGCTCAACAGCGGCCTCGTACCGCCCCTTGAAGTTTCCCTGCTCCTCTCCAGTCCATGAATCAAAGACAGTATACTCACCGTCAGCTTCCAACTCTGGTACCTCCGCGAAGTCGATGACCTTGGCTTGAGTTGTATTCAGTGTATTCAGCGCGAAGACATGCACTCCCTTGGAAGACAACCCACTCCAATACTCAGCCGGATGAGTCTGGTTCCAGGTGAAGTCTGCATTGACACCCCATTTATAGGGCTTGGCGGCAGCACCTACGACTGGATCTTGATTGAAGCTGATGAGCTCCGGATTACTTAAGATCTCCAAGATTTCAGGTTTGATGCCATGAAGCGGGGTACCGATGATAAGAGGCGATTTGAGAGCAGCCCAAAGAGCGAAATGAGAACGGCTTTCTTGGACTGTAAGGTTTCCGTTACCCACTTCGAGCATATCCCAGTCGCCATGTCCCCAGAAGTCGGTATCGTTGTTGTAGAAGGATGCCTAAAGACCGGTGTACGTGGTTAGTACCTGTCTCACATGCAGTCCATGCTAGGAGAACCACTCACATGATTGAGGATAGGCATGAGTCCCCAAGAGTACTAAAAAGATGGCATCATCAAGTCAGTGTGCGCCTTGTATGCGTCGTATATGCCAAATACTTACTTGGTGTTTGTCAAGCCACTCCGGATATATGTCACCCCACATCCTCCAGCTGTGACCAGTACTGTTACCCCATTGCTCGATATGGGCATGTCCCCAGGCACATTGCGAGTATTCAATAGTACGGTTTGTCGAAATTAGGGCATCACTCATAATCTTGTAACGCGCAAAGCTCTTGGACGTCGTCCAGTCGTATCCTGGGGGCGCGGCAACAGGCCTGGCTTCCCCGTCACCGCCCGCAGTCTGGTTCTCGGCTGGCGGCCCACCTAACCAGTTCTCTGGCCACCATCGGTACTCGTCGTCCCATTCATCAGGGACAGCGCAGTTGTCGTATTTAAGATCTGCGTTGAATCAGTAAATGAATGTTGGTGATTACTAGGTTGGCCCACAATCGATTCCCCAGTCAGCAAAGGTCTTCGCGTCTACTTGCTCGTGTCCAAGAGAGCCAGCATACCCGCCGCATGTTTTGTCTCCTGCATCACCGTAGATACCAATTTTCAGTCCAAGCTTGTGGATCTCGTCTGCTGTATGTTTGATGCCGTTTGGAAATTTGATGTAATCTGGACGAATCTTTCCTGTAACATTATCGCGCTGGTATGCCTTGTCACTCCAACTGCAGAGGTGAAGATACAAGGTCAGCGTATGTCTCACGCAATCCTTCACAACTTCTTACCAATCGTCAATGTTAACATAATTGTAACCAAGGTCCTTCAATCCCAAGGAGATAAGGAGCGCACCGGTGTCCAGGAAGACGGTTTCGTTGATGGCGCATTCATACTCGTTCCAGCTACTCCAACCCATCGCAGGTAGGCGGCCTGTCCCATCTCGCGACACTAGCGCATAGCTGGAGCCGACTAGTGCCAGTCCGACAAACACTGAGGGTAGCGCCATTTTGGATAGCAATAAGAAGACGATTTGTTCCAATGTTAACATGCTGATACAACGACCTATATAAGATGTGCCATGCTCGAGGGATTGTGGGGAAGGATTGCCATATTTGAAGCGGGGGCTTGCCTCCGCAACTGCTTTAGGCAAGCACTATAGTAACGGGCGTGAATAATTGCAGGATCAACGACTAGCGGAAATACTAATGTAGTTTCTCCGAAATCTTGAGAAGTCGTTGAACGAACTTCAACAGCCAGGTGTTGAACGACGTTACCTTCGTAGGCTGAACGACTCGAGCAATACAGTTGGTCTGTCAAATAGAGCTATGAACAAGCTGCTTGATCTTCTCAAACTAAGCAAAATTTCCATTCTCTATGTCAAATATTCCATCTCGCAATACTCATGTAAAAAGCTTATGTATAAAGGAACCAGAGCTGCGCCCAACTGATGGTCACTGGCGGAATCTTCGGCTAGAAGCTCCCCTAGCGTGAATGACATCACTGCTAGCGTCTGGTTCCTCCCATACAATCTGTAACTTGACACTGCCAACGCCCACATCATTGCTCAGTGCTTGTGGCCATGATGGTGAGCGTGGTCATGCTCCTCTTCATCTTGCGCACGTGGCCATTCGGCCCAATAAGCATCGTCCCAAATCTCCTGCAGAGTCTCTTCCTTCTCATCATCGTCCGATTTCTCGTCGTGCATAACCTCCTCCCATTTCTTCATCTCACTGCGAGTAAGTAGGCATGCATCGAGTTTTTTCGTCAACCCATCAACATCCATCTTCTCCCCAATGAAAACGATCTCCTGTCGCCTGTCACCCCACTCGCCCTCAAAATCGTTCCTGATGGCCTTTAGTGTATCGTCGTCGGCTCCCCAGTCTTCTTCAGCTACGCAGCAGAACCATGGCATCTCAGATCCGAGCGTCAGCATTGCGCCTGCGCTGCTCCATGAGCCCATTTGGTTGGGACGCGTTGCGAGCCAAAATATGCCCTTGCTTCGATGCAAGCCACCGAAGTAGGCACATGCCTTCTTGTTGGCCAGAATTTGCTTGTCATCCATGGGAGGGGCAGCGTCGTCATCGCTCATCTCATCGGAATCGTCCCCAGAGACGCTGGCCCTTCCAGATTCAGATGAACCATCAACCACATTTTCATCTTCCTCTTCGTCATCTTCGCCGTCATCCACATCTTCGGCCTCCTCTTGTAAAAGAATGAATTTGCCCTCGATGAGCTTGTATAGTTTCAGTGGGTGGAATGGCTTTCGGGCGCGATAAACAAAAGATCCGATGCCATACCTGGATACGGATAAGCTAAAGCACAGCGTTGGATAAAAGGTGGCTTACTCCAGTGTTTCCGGCCTAGGCGCGATACGCTTCTTGCCATGAACATCCATGACTGTCATTTCATGTAACGACTGCAGCCATCCAACGCTTGCGACAGCCTCACCAAAGTTGAAAATCCCCGTGTTCTGCAGATATGGAGAATTGAAGTCAGTATATATCTCACTTCAATTCCATACGGCTACAACTTACTAGCATCTCGCGGACATCTACCTTGGAATATCTGGATTCGATGATCTTAGCTTTTGGGTTGAGCGACTTGATGTAGCCTTTGACACGACCCAGAGTTGCTTTATCTGCCCTGTCGATCTTGTTGACGATGACAACGTTGGCAAACTCAATCTGGTCGGCGAAGAGATCGGAGATAGTCCGCTGGTCTTCGTCTGGTACCTCGTCCCTTCCGAAACGGTCTTGCAGGAACTCAGCAGTATCGAATTCGGAAAAGAAGCGGAAGGCGTCCACCACAGTTACCATGGTATCGACGGTCACAATGGCCTTCAAACCGCCGAGCTTCGCGCTGTAATCCAAGTATCCAAGTCAGCAATAACCTTGGAAAGCAACATCTACCAGTAACTTACACCCTGGCGAATACCTCCTTCTCATCAGGTTCCATCCCTTCGGCGTCGATCATTGCCTCAGTAAGCTCTGTCGTAAAAGTCTCCGCAACCTGTTGTGGCTCGCTGATGCCAGAGCTTTCTATGACCACATGGTCAAATCCTTGTTCGTTCCAAGCAAGGCGTGCAAGTTCAACCAGCAAGTCGCCGCGGAGCGTGCAGCAGATGCAACCGTTCTCCATCTGAATCATCTACAGACGCGGAGGTACGAAGTTAGTACATGTTTCATACACAGTTTGTATAGTTAAGACTTACCTTCTCCTTGACACGGACCTCCCCGTTGTTGTTCTTGCTGTTTCCACGGCTGATGAGGTTCGCGTCGACATTCACCGATGCCCTGAAAGGCGCACATATGGAGTCAGCCTACGTCTCGCACGCAGTTCGTACAGGGAGATTCCTTACATGTCGTTGACGATAACGGCGATTCGCAAGCCATGGTCCGGTGACTGCAGGATGTGCCTGAGTAAGGTCGTCTTACCACTTCCCTACTGTTGTCAGCATATGGCTACATGTATCTCGCTGTCACGTACCAGGAACCCAGAGAGAACAGTCACTGGGAGCGGCTTTCGCTCACTGGTCTTTGTCTTCGTCTTCATCTCCGCACCGCCGGTTTTTCTACGCTTCGCAGGTGGCATAGGGAATCTTTATAGCCGTTTCAAGTTCCGTGAGTATTCTGAAACTCTCTGAAGTTTGTTTGAATGGTTTTTGTATCTGTACTGTTACCGTTGTGCGCGTCGACCATTGAGCACCAAGATGGCTCGGTCGCATCAGCACGAAAGGGACGCATCTCATTCGTCAAGAACGCGAGAGATACCAACGTAGTAACTGCCAACCTAGTTATAGTGTCCCGTGTTCATCTCGGTGTCGGTAAGGAAGGTCAGGTCGATCCTAGATTGGATGGAGTCTCCAAAGTAAGGACCATTCTGACCCAGGATTGTGAACTATGTCCTTCGTACGCATTTGAGTGCAATTCCCAGTAAGTCTGGTCAAGTAGTACGCTGCAAATATCGTGGATGTTGTTATTCGTAACCCCGTAAACACTTCTCGCAACACAGGCTTTATGATTTGGGCGCCTGGCACAAGCACGATAAGTTTCCTAGATAGAGCTGTACTTCAGATCCATATGATTTCAACTTTGCAGATGATAGAGGCTCGTCAGATTCGCCATGTTGCATGAGACGAAGCTCGTTGCGTTTGTCAGAGCAATGTTGTTGATGAGGTGCGCAAGGACTCCTAGAAGTCGCGTCAGTAGCGCGTCGATGATGTCACCAGTGGCGTCGTGTTTCCCCCTGTAATCTTCCTAATTTTGGACACCTCGCGCAGGAATCTGATACATACTTTGTCAATTGCTGTTTCACTAACATAGATGCCATGGCCGGGTTTCGTCTTCGCGATCCTGCTATTACTTCCCTCCATTCTGTTGGAAGCCTGCACCATATTCCGTCGTAGCATTCAACCTTTCCAGAATGTACTGTCCGGCCCTGACCGGTTTCCATCGATTTTCCTCACCCTCTTTTAGGCATGTTGGCAACGTCTCAATTACTGTATCATAGTTGCAACTGAAGAAAAAAGGCACAGAATACCTCGCCTCCATGCTCCTGTTCACGACACGATGCACCGTACTCTTATAGAGCCCATTTGTCCAGCGCATCAGAAAGTCAGCGACGTTTACGATTAGGGCACCAGGAACCCGCGAAGCAATATGCCATTGACCGGAAGGCTTCAAAACTTCGAGACCTGGAGTCTCGGAAGTGAGGAGCAACGTGAAGCACTCGTAATCTGAATGAGCGCCGAGCCCAATCTGCTCCTCTTGTGTTGGTACAGGGTTATTTGTAAGAGACGTTCTAGGAGGTGGGTAGTAGAGGAGTCGTGCGATGCCACCAGGGTGTGTGGTCATAGAGTCAAAGTAGTCTTCAGGGAGATCGAGCGAGAGCGCAAACAGCCGGAACAAATGACGGGCGAGACTAAGTACCTAAGAATTACTAATTAGCATGCCCGCGTGGCGCTTTGATGAGTTGAGGATGCAAAAAGACTTACAGCGCCATAGTAATCTTTGACGCCCTGCAGAGGTGAGGATACGAAGTTAGTAGACGTCTCATATGCATTTCGTTCAGGTACAACTTACCTGGTAGAACCCAGGCAAATCCTGCTCGTTCGGCCACAAGTTGGCCTTCTCTGTCGACCCGTCCAGATTTTTGTATTTTCCATCGCCACCAGTAGGATCGAGCGCCGCCTCATACGCGAAGTTGAACACCTCTTTCTCTTCTTTGTCACCCGCGATCGACGTGTATTCACTTGGCTCCCACCCCAGGCCGAACTTGTTGTTCCTCAGATGTAGCTCTTCCTTCTTACTCTGCGGGAGCTCATGCACAAAGCGTTCGGCTTGGCGCAAGATTCCATTACAGGCTGCTTCGGGGATCTGGTGATTTGTGATGTAGAAGAACCCAACGGTTTCACACGTTTGTCGAATTTGGGCTGCGACTGCTTTACGGCTTTCAAGAGAGACAGAAAATGAGGGAGTCAGATCAATGATGGGTATCTCAAAGTTCTCATCGGTGACATGATCCTTTGCCGAAAGTCTCGATTGAAGATACGCGGCGGCGCCGTTCCGGGCTTCATCGTATGTTGTACTGTCTGGTACGCTTGCCATGATCAATTTGGCCGACCTGCTGGCTTCTCAAGTTCAAGGCGACACCGGAGGGTGGAATGGTAAGGCGTAGGGCGCAGGCCTGATAAGGATAGCTGAAGGTGGGGTACCGGCGATGAACCGGATCTAAGGCTCCACATGCACGTCCATCAGATAGCTACCCCTCGTCACTCGTGTAACACAATCTTCTCAAGTTACAGATTCCAGTCATGTCTGATATTCATAATACTACGCTTTTTACCAACGGTCGATTCTTGAACAGCGGCGCGGTGCAACCGGAAGCACGGTTTCACACAACGTTGGCCATTCAAAATGGCAAGGTCAGCTTTGTTGGCAGTTCTGACGATCCAGTCGTTCAATCATACCACGATGCTGGTGCGAAAGTGACCGATCTTGGTGGGAAGCATGTGCTTCCTGGATTCATCGATGCGCACATGCAAGTGATTTCCTACAGACTATTTGCGAGACAAGTGCTAACTTCGCACACCGACTTCTAGGCACTTTTTGATGCTGGGTCAGTCACTGCACAAAGTTGATCTAGATCATGCGAAGGATCTGGAGGAGATTCGATCGCGCATTTTACAATATGCAAAAGAGAACCCAGAAAAACCGCGCATACTGTGTAAAGGCTGGATGCATTCCATGACTAACGGGGAAGCCAAGGCGAGCATGCTGGACGATCTTGACGTTGGGGGAAGACCCATATACATAGATTCCAAGGACATCCATTCGTGTTGGTGTAACAGCGCAGCGTTAAAAGAGATGGGTGTTCAGGATATGGAGGTGCCGGCTGGTGGAACGATCGAAAGAGATGCCGACGGGAATGCTTCGGGTCTTTTGAGCGAAGCTTGCGTGCTTTTGATCGTCTGGCCATATCTAGCAAAGGTCACGCCACTAGATGAGAAAATGGCGGCTTTGAGAACTGCAATCAAAGCATACCATGCGGTTGGCTGTACTGGATGTATCGATATGGCGATGGATGAAAATGCCTGGGACGCTATTCTTGCTTTACGATCTGCCGAAGGTTTACCGTTGCGAGTCGCTGCCCATTGGTGCATCATGCCAGGCGATGGAGAAGAGCATCGATTGCAGCAAGTTGAGCGTGCTATTAAGCTGAGTCAAGAGTTCAATAACAAGACGAGCCCCGATTTAAGGATCGTTGGTATTAAGGTCATCTGCGATGGAGGTAAGTTGTGACGAAATAAATGTGAGAGATATACTGACTCCGTATCAGTCATTGATGCCTGTACTGCAGCGTTAGCAGAACCTTATACGTCTAATGGTCATTTCGAGGGTCCCATCTGGACACCTGAAATGCTCGATCCCGTAGTCAAAAAAGCAATCGAGGGTGGATTGCAATGCGCATTGCATGCAATTGGTGATCAAGCCGTCCACAACGCTGTCAATGTCCTTGAGAAGTATGGCAACCATGGCCAAAGGCACCGCATCGAGCATCTCGAACTCACCGCGCCGGAAGATGCAAAGCGACTTGGCCAGCTGGGCATTACAGCGAGCATACAGCCAGTACACTCCGATCCAGCCATTCTTCGTGCGTGGCCGAAACTTCTTGGCCCCGAACGAGTGAAGCGAGCATTCGCATATTCCGACTTCGCAGAACACGGCGCACCGCTCGCTATCGGCTCAGATACACCTACAGCACCCTATGCACCTTTGCCAAACCTGTACGTTGCAACCACCCGTAAATCGGCGAGACAACCGCACGTGGGTGACGCGCCTGTTAATGAGAACTTCAAGCTTGAGTTGACCCAAGCAGTAGCTGCTGCAACAGAGGGCGCAGCTTATTCTTCTTTCGCTGAGGGTCGTGTAGGAAGTCTGGAAGTTGGAAAGATGGCGGATTTCTGTGTGGTGGAAATGGAGTGGGAAGGGGAAGAATTACTCAAAGCCAAGATATTGGGAACGTGGTTCGAAGGAAACCAGGTGTATAGTGCTTAGTTATTACTATCGCTAGGGCAGAAAGCTTACTGTAAAATCACGAGAAACGTTGATGTGACAACATACATAGCGCCAGCCAAGTGGATCGCTTTCAGACGTCATAGTGACCGAGCATATGTCAAACACCAGCCAACCCTGGTTACTGCAATGTTTACACCAAGACAGTGATTACTACCGAACAGACTCCTGTTAGCAGGTTGTCGCGACAGCGCAATTCGAATACACAGGATCAATTTCACCGGCCCTGCGAATGTTCGAGCAAGCTTCACAAAACGCCACACAGGGGCGACCGCTATGCGTAGCTTACAGCGATCACGGCCGCAACGATGCGCATGCAATGGCATTTCAATTTGGGATACGAAGCAACATTCCTCTCATCCAACACTGACGGTCACATACCGTCTACGTATCAGCGTTAGGTCTGAAACTCCAGGTGCAGCCCCGCAACTTCGCATGTTTCATCACCTCGACTCGACCTACCCAGACAACGTCTCAAACCGAAGTGCGGAATGCGCCTCCGCGTCTCTGCCATAACGATTTACTCGCAAAAGACGGCTTAATCTCCGTCACACGCAGGCGCGTTGTTGCACGGCATTCCCGTCCGTCTTAGCAGCTCTTGTCGAGGCTTAGACATGCACCTGGACAACATCGCGTGGTGAGGCATGATGCTCAGGTGTTTCGAAATCCGATGAATGTCATCATGGGTCGTATTTAGATATATTGATCGATTGTCGCGTCCTGTCGTTCGCAGATCCGTTCACATATCTTGCACGCTACATCTACATTAGCAATCATCCCATAACCACCCTGATTATCACATCTTGTATAGAGATCGCATCCCAGATACATTCGTATCCCCGAATCAGTCAAGAAGATGTTGACAAACCGTCGCTCGACCATGATGGTCCCTCCCAACCGCATGCCCAGCTGGCACCCCCACTCGAAAGGCACTATGCCTCAACAGCCTTTATCTTCACCTCTTGCGATCGATACCGAAGCGCCCTCGAGTCGTACGCCTGCCGTTCTGACATCCACGACAAATGACCTACCAGGTCATCGAGTCATCCGCGTTCTCGGCGCTGTCCATGGAACCACAAGCGCGACGCGCAAAGATACAAAATCCTTCATCAAGAACATCGCAAGCACTTTCAGCAGTAATTGGGGGGAGGCAAAGAGCGTAACGAGTATTGTATATCAAGCGCGCGACCAAGCAATTGATAGGCTCGTGAAAGAGGCGATAAGCAAAGGTGCAAATGCAATTACCGGATTGGACATCAGAGAGAGCGAGATACTAGGATGCGTTGTGGTCAGCGTTAGCGGAACGGCCGCTTGGGTTGAGAAAGAGAGTCAGATCAAAAGGGATAGTGCGCAAGAATCTGACCCTTTTCGATGACAATGTATACAAGGCGGAAGGCTTTGGGTGGCAGTAAGGTTAGAGGAGAGGAACTTTGAGCAGGTAATGGAACGATGCCGCACTGGATTGCGACATCAAAGTTTTGATTTTCTTCAAGAGCGCGGTATTTGGGACCAGGTATTTAATTTCCCCTTGGGGTTTCACCAAGTCGACCAAATCTTTTGTTTTTCGCGGGACTATTTCGTGACCGTGAGGCACAGAGGCTGCCGTCAATGTTGGTCTGGCAGTAATGGAGCACTTCCTCACAAAGCGACTCTTCCGGAGCGGAAATTAATCACCCGAGCCATTGAAGCACTAACTTGCCCCACATCAGATTAGTTTACCGTCTTGCCTTGGAAGCTAGCATCAAGCTCCGCGCGTTGGCTGTCGTGAGCATCTTTCGAGGGCGAACACAAACACGCGTTTTCTGGGCGCCAAATCCTCTCATATCTTACCGCTCGGAGGCCGGCAGACGCTAGTACTGGAGTAGCAGTTTAGCCGCGTATGAGGCCGATGCGACATTTGACGGCGAAAGCACCGAGCCGCGATGAAGCGGAGACCCCAGCGTCCCCCAGGTTCTTTCCGCTGCCTCGGTAAGTGGAGACGTTTTATGGCACCAGTCAAACTCCACAAGATGGACGGTAGTCGAAGATGGGGCCAATGCTATCCAAGTATTTTAGGTATTGCGACTAGATATCAGCAACAAGTTTCGCACACCCGTGGGTTAAAGTACTGCACATCGTCCGGCGTTCCATGAGCCAAGAAGTCGGACCTCGCATCACGTCACTCGAGAGGGGTCGCTGCATCCGCCGACATGGATGCATGGATCGTCAGGAACTAACCCTCGACTTCTTCCAATTCTTCCGCTCGTTAACGCCAAAATCCTCCAATGACGGGTGGCGCACCTCAAGCTCTCTCGTCTACCCGCCATTGAACCGGGAAATGTCATGACGACTGTACCGGAACCAGGTGTGGATATTACACGATTCTCCCTGTTGCCAAGATCTGGCGTGGCTGGTACGCCCGTGATTCTGGGGAACGGTTAGTGAACCGGGAGACGGGTGAAAGTATAAGGATGGCAGAAAGGTCGTTTTTGAGATGACCAGCAATTCATTATCTTTTGATCGCAAAGATGGTGTTTCTCAAGGGAATTGCAGCTGCAGCCTGCGCTACTTCTGCGCTTGCTGCCGATATCATCGTTCAATCCTCAGGTACGTCTCTGTTTGAACTGTATGTGCGACATGTACTGATCCAACATTAGGTGGCAACCTGACTGGCAAATTCGGGCACTCTTATGGTTATGGTTTCCTCCACGAGGTATTTCATCATGATTTGCAACTACATATTATATACTCACTGTTGCTCAGGATATCAACAACTCCGGTGATGGTGGAATCTACGCCGAGCTGATCCAAAACCGTGCTTTCCAGTACAGCCAAAATTACAGCGTCTCGACTGATCACTATTTCTCAGTCAATGGCGCTGCGCTCAGTATTCAGATGTTGGATGAGCCACTCTCTGAGCAACTGCCAGCATCCATGCGTGTTTCTGCAGGCAATGGCACCTCCAACACCAGCAAGATTGGTTTCAAGAATGAGGGTTACTGGGGTATGGACGTTCGTGTGCAGACCTACACCGGATCTTTCTGGGTCAAGGGCGCATACAATGGCGTCTTCACCGCATCGCTCGAATCAAACTTGACAAGCGATGTGTTTGGATCTGTTGAAGTGCCCTCCAAGTCCGTTGCAGATGACTGGACCGAGCATACTTTCGAGCTCGTTCCCGAAAAGGATGCGCCCAACTCTAACAACACATTCTCTATCACCTTTGACGGTGCTGCAGCCAGCGCACTCGACTTCAACCTTATCTCCCTCTTCCCACCTACTTACAAGAACCGCAAGAATGGTCTCCGTGTCGACATTGCTGAGGCTCTTGCGGACATGAACCCTACCTTCCTCCGCTTCCCTGGCGGTAACATGCTTGAGGGTCTCCGCAACGACTCGTACTGGGACTGGAAGGATTCTCTTGGTCCTCTGAGATATCGCCCTGGTTTCCAGGGTGTATGGGGATACCAGCAGACTCACGGCCTTGGTCTTATGGAATACCTTGAGTGGGCTGAGGACATGGGTCTCGAGATCGTGCTCGGCGTCTGGGCTGGGTAAGTTCTGGTTGCACGTAACGCATATGAGACATAAACTGACTTCGTACCTTCAACTCTATAGTCTCGATCTGGACGGTGGTATCACTCCCCAAGAGGACCTTCAACCCTTCATTGAGGATGCTCTCAACGAGATTGAGTTTGTTCGCGGTCCCGTCAACTCCACTTGGGGTGCTCGCCGTGCTGAACTTGGACATCCCGAGCCTTTTGAACTAAACTATGTCGAAGTCGGTAACGAGGATTGGCTTGCTGGATACCCCGGTGGCTGGGAATCTTACCGGGCATACCGCTTCCCGCTCTTCTACAATGCTATCAGCAAGGCCTACCCTGATATCCAGGTCATCGCTTCAGCCGCCTCCAGCGATCCTGCTGGCGAGCCGCCTATCCACGGCCCCAACAACGTCAATGGACAGGTGTTGCCTCTTGATGCAATTGGTGACTACCACCCATACCGTGAGCCTGATGAGCTTGTCTACGAGTTTAACCGCTTCGACAACGACGCTGGCCACATCGTCGGCGAAGTTGCAGCCACTCACGTCAACGGCGGCATCCGCTGGGAAGGCGACCTGTACCCCTACCCATGGTGGCAAGGTGCCGTCGGTGAGGCTGTATCCCTGATCGGTTACGAGCGCAACTCTGACCGCATCCCTGGTACCTTCTACGCACCCGTTTTGAAGAACAACAACCGCTTCCAGTGGCCCATCACACTCATCCAGTTCGATGCTGACCCGAAGCGCACCACAAAAGCCGTTACTTGGTACTGCTGGAGTCTCTTCGCCCACCACCCGATCTCCCACACACTCCCCACGCACTCGAACTCTTCTTACGGGCCGCTCTACTGGGGTGCCGGATACGACGAGAAGCGCGACGGTGCTATGGTCTGGAAGGGCGCAGTCTACAACACCACCAACCACGCGGACGTACCTGTAAGCGTCCAGTTCCAGGGCGTTGCTCCGGGAACTATGGCCAACCTCACCTACCTTACCAACTCTGTCGGCGACCCATACATGTACAACGACCCCTTCACCGGAGTCAACATCGTAAACACTACCAACATGATGATCGCTGCTGGAAGTGATGGTGCATTCCGCTTCACTCTGCCCGAACTCAGTGTCGCAGTGTTGGACACCGAGGTTTCTGGTGGAAACAGCACTGGGCACTACCGAAGACGGTTGTAGAGGTCTATTCAGGAATTAGTCATACTACGATTTTATGAATGAAGCAGCTCCTAATGATATGATAATAGAATCCACGTGTGAGGTACTTTGCCCAGAGTGAAGCTGTCAATATGGAGGTCGAGTGAAAATCAAACTTTCTTTAGGTATTATCCTGGCGCCGCAGACTCATCATAAACTATTCTATATAGCTGTAGACTGGCCAGTGGGACTGTGTTTGCACGTCAGGTCAAACACAGCACTGAGCAGATGGTATCCTGTGCGAAAGCATAGTGATTTGCTCTCTTCCCTTCCGATGAGCTTCACGCAATTCTCCAAACTGCGAGATATAGTTGGGCGATCCGGCAGCAGGATGTCAGTTGGTGGAGACGTGGAGAGTAGGTGTACACAAGTCGTTAGTGCAGCCGCAAAAAAGTCCAACATATAGGGTTGTGCGACCAATCCTAAATCTGAGCTTTGCTCTGATGACGATGACGACAGACTTTGGTGATGCCTCATCATTGCAAGGTTGCAGTCGAAAGACGACCAATATGAGACAGGATATATGACAGCAGCGTTATGAGCTAGCGCGTAGTGTCCGTGGAGGACCGACAGTGCGCGACGGAAGAAGACATCGAGCGTTAAACGCAAGTGTTCGTTGCCAGGCAAATCTGAAGTTTGGCGCATGAGCTGTCGTAACTCAAGGTCGTATTGGATTGCCTCTTCGTAAGTAATCTGGTCAATCTGTGAGTTGATTCGAGCCAGAAAATGGCAGATGATTGGAAACGATTGAGGTACAACGGAATCGAAGCAATCTTCCAACATAGATGGGTCGCATGGTTCTGTACTGATCAGAAGAGCATCTTGCGGCAATAGCGATTGCTGGCCAGTGATTAGAGACATCTGTATATCCAGATATACAACCACCACCCACAAGTGCCGCCGAAGTTTTCTTTCGTGGGCGATCACCGGCTCCACGTATCCTGGCATCCAGTCTTTGTGTAGTACCATCGACATGGACAAGCGGACGACGAGACCCATAACGTTCCAACTGGTATCTAGAGCCCAGCACGTTGCATAAGCTACCGACTTCGCCAGAACCATCAAACATAAAGTGGAAATGTGCATGACGGTCGGACGAAACATGTATGATGTTTTCGCCAAACAAGCCTCGCTGGCGTAAAAGTATTCCGAAGAAGCCACTTCATCGCGAGCCAAAGCATAGGATCCGAGGCCCAGTACTACGAAGTACTGCGCAAGCCAGCTAGGATCTACTTGGGTATCGTGACCACTCTCCATCTTCGATATGAACGAAGATGGGTCTAGGATCGGTAAACAGGGATTATACACCCGGAAATATGCCTCGACGTAGAGAGTAGCATTTGATGTTGAGCTGTGTAAAAGCTTCTGTACTCTGTCGAGTGAAGCGTACGACTGAGACTCCGGACTACCTAACGGAAAGTTACCAGCCAACGCAAAGTCGCTTGAACAATTTCCCGCAACGTGCTCTCGCATAGCCATGACGAAAGGCGGCGCCTGCAGCCCGGGTAGTGCCTCCAACTAAAGACCGTCAGCACATGTGCAGTCGATGTGTAGTATTCTACATGTGCATTACGAGCCCTACTCCGGCTTGCATATACTCTCAGCGCCATGCTCCAAAAAGGTTTAGGCGGGTAGTTCAGATAGTAACAGGCTCAGCAGGAGCCTTGGCAGCATTGTGGCAGACAACATAGGGGAGACGTACCCGATCTAAGAGGGCTCTAAAATGACCCGAACCTCGTCTTCGTAGAAACCAGGTAGCGACAACAAACTCGGGGTCCTCAATTGCGAAGAGAGATGACGGCAACGTCGACTTCTCGGACCTGTTTAATCTATGCGTATATATGCATGTCGTTTCGTATCCAGATCGTGTGCATCTGCTACACGGAGCTCTCCGATCGCACTTGATCTTGAGCCGATGGCATCTTGTGCAGGAAAAACAGGCTCGGGAGCGTCTTTTAATAACCGAGTGAGGTGAAGAAGCTTTAGATGCGGTATCGGAAACTCCTTCCGAGCGGCTGGAAGACTCAAGTGGTGACGTTTCTGAGGTCTGTCCTTCGTAGATGCATTCAGCCTTGGCTTTGTGGCAGCGTGAGCAAGGTCGAAGTTTGTCGCATTGTCGTTTGGCTGAACGGCAGCGGGTGCAGGTCTGCACATCCCGAGCACGCATCACGGTGGTCCCCTGATTTGCGTGGGAAATTTTCGGATATAAGCAAAGAAATGCGGCCGCAACATCTTTATGGTACAGTGGAGAGGCGAGGATGCGGGTGACGGCGGTAATCGGTCTTAGCTCCACTATTGGCGCATACTAACACTATCCGAGACTAGGTAGTCCGCGTGGGGCGCCAGCCTCCTGGTTATCGGCGTGACTGACACAAACGCGTACTGCACTGCAAGGCACAGCAGCGGCTGGACATCTTCTGTTCCTATTGAGGATCCTGTGTTTTGGCTTGCTAAGAGAGGATTATGATATGTTTGCACAATAACATCACCGCGAAAAACATCAAGCTTGGCTTTCCATCCGACTGGGCAGTCACATCTTCCTCTAATCGTCCGGCATGAACATAATTCAACGTTCCGCGCAGGCCTTGGGTAGCCTAGAAACATGGCTTTGCTTGAATTCCAGACCACTTCCCCGGCTTGACCCGGTCGTTCTCTCCTACCAACCTAGCTTTTCGCTCTGACTTGGCGTCCATTTGTACAAGATGCAGATGCGGTCGCCGCCTAGCACCGATAGGCGACCTCACTGTCGGCTATATGAAAGAAGGCGTAGAGAAGACGATAACACGGTAAACGTATAAGACTGTCAGCTACTCGTAAGTGTCTTCTTTCGACCTATTCATCATCTCTTCCTTTGTCGCTTTATTGGCATCCATTCCATTTTCGTCAACATGTCTGTCTCTCAAAGTGACACAAAAATGAACAACTCCATCGACATAGAGCCTTCTGGATCGTACTCAAGACAGGCTATCACCCAAGCTTACCAAGAGCTACTTGCGAATCAAGCCTCTCAGCCGGACAAAATATTCATCGGTGGCCACGAGCTCAAGCATCTTGATCCCAACTTTGTATCCCTGGATGAAGATGCACAAGAACATCCTCGTGTAAGTAGAATCACACTTTCGCCGGTCCTAGAGCTGAAATTATGTCCCAGTCATGGCCAACCGCTAAGAAAATTCGGGCAACCGCTATTGTCGGAGGCTGCTGTTTCCTCTCCCCATTCGCAAGCACCATATTCGCACCATCCATTCATCTGGTTATGAAAGACCTGAGTATCACGGACAGTACTGTCGGTGCCCTGCAAGTCTCCATCTTTCTCTTTGCATTGGCTCTTGGCCCGCTCTTTATCGCTCCACTTAGTGAGAAGTACGGTAGAGCGATTATCATACACTTAGGCAACGTTATCTTTGTTGCATTCTCCCTCGGAGGAGGCTTCTCACGAACCGCTGCACAATTCTCGGTGTGCCGTTTGTTTGCTGGATTCGGAGGCAGTGCGGCCATTGCTGTTGTTGGTGGAGTCGTTGCGGATCTCTGGGATCTTGCTGCCCGTCCGAAAGCATCTGGACTCGCGATGCTCGGCCCGTAGGTTTATGCTTGTACATTTTCAGCAGTTTTGCTTACCAGGAACAGTGTTCTAGGCCCCGTCTTGGGTCCTGTATGTGGCGGTTGGATGTCGGAGCGAGTCTCGTGGCGCTGGACTCTTTGGATACCTGCGATCGCCAGCGCCTTACTCTCAATGGCTGGGCTTTTTCTCCTCCCAGAGTCCTTTGGACCAAGAATTCTGCAGAAGAAACTGCGAAGAGAACGCAGTACCAATCCGAGCGCCGAACTATATACCGTACTGGATCTTCAGCACCGTCCGACTGACCCCGCAGCGCTTGTCAATGCGTTCATTCGACCTTTGGCATACCTTGTGCTTGATCCTGCGCTACTGCTTGCATCGCTATTCTACTCCGTGGTTTTTGGCGTTGTATACCTCATTATCGTTACGTACGCAGATGTGTTTGGTTCCGGATACGGACACTCTGTCGGAATCGTTGGTACAGACTTCCTCGCTGCTGGCATCGGTATGCTTCTTGGTACATTCGCCACTATCCGTGCTATGGAAGCTATCTTCAAGCGAGACACCGCATCTGGACAAATGAAGTATAGACCTGAGTCGAGACTCATCAGTTGCCTTGTTGGAGGAACATTACTGGTCGGTGGGCTGTTCATGTATGGGTTTACCGCCACACGAACCCACTTCATGGTTCCACTCGTGGCTATCATGCTCATGATGGCCGGAGGCATGAACATCCAACTCGCCCTACAGCTGTACACCATCGATGCCTTCAAGTTTCCCGCTTCTGCCGTCGCTGCCATTTCGTTCCTTCGCTGCATGTTCGCTGGTGCATTTCCGTTATTCGGAGAGAAACTCTTCGCCAAACTTGGCCTAGACTGGGGTGTGGGGTTGCTGGGATTTCTAGTCTTAGGCGTGGGATTGCCGCTGGTACTACTGGTATTTGCAAACATCTGTTCTTGTTAATTGGAAATCAACTGACCTCATCATGCAGCTATACATCTACGGCGTCAAACTTCGCACGAAAGGTGCTGAGCGCATGGAACGTTTCGAAGGATCGAAAGCAGCCATGAGTTAATGTATTCTGGGGTAATCTGTCTGAACGCCTTCTTACGATAGACACCCATCAGTGTTTGAGTTGCACTGCAACTTCAAGTGCGAGCAATCTTGTAACCTGCTCAATCAAATCCAGCCATATTTGACTCAGGTGGACCTAAATAGCTGTTCTTGACCCCGCCTCTGGTATCCAAAACAAGCTTCTCCAAGTAGACCTCAGGACTGTTAACGCTCCAACGAAGCGTGTGAGCCCCTTCCTTTGCTTCACCAAGACTAACTTTCTTTGTCCACACCTGATTCATTACGTTGTCCGTCCATTCGGGTGGCACATCGCCCGCGTCCTTCGGGTCACCTAACACACGTGTGAAGTTTTGAGGAGCGTCATCAAGAGAAAGTGAAAACTCCATGAGAAGGTTGGGATCTGTATCTAAGCCAGCGTTGATGTAGATAGTGGCGTTGAGGGCAGGATTGTCCTTGAAGAGGTAGATATCATATTCAACATATGCGGATTTCGAGTCGAGAAGAGAAGCCCGAGCAGCGTGGAAAGGCCGCAGAGCCACAGAGCCGGATTCAGTGCGCGTGCCGAGGTATGGAACGTGGACAAATGCTACTGTTTCACTCGCCGTTCTGTTATTCGGAGAGGAGGAAGATTTCTGGAAGTGTGGGCTTTCAATCGATATGTAACCAGCTGTCTCTGGGAAGCCGCGGAAATTAGTGGGTACTTTCCGATTTTGTACCGGGATACGTATGATGTCGTAGTATGGATAAAATGACGGTGTTGACGTTATGCCAACTTCCACTGTATCGTTGTATCCCTCCGGCACCTGTGTCCAGTCAATGGTGACATTGAGGCGTTGCTCTTCGGCCGTCACGTCAAGTCGGCCCGAACTTGGTGCAATTGACAGCCAATCCACTGGAATATCGCCAAGCTGCCAGTCGATTGGGACGCGGTAGTCACCTCGCATGAATAGATCTACAGTCCGCCTGGAAGGTCCATAAGGACTCATCTCTGGGAGCTGGGCTGGGGATTTGGTGAAGGGCATCGAAGGATCGATGGACTCAGCCCATCGACCCTGGTCGAGAGGGCTGTTAGAACCCTCAGCGTAGATGCCGAGATTACCGACGGAGAACTGCATGTTTTGGCGCAACTGAACAAAGGAAAGGTTTGAGAGTATGTCGCGAGATGGGTTCATCCAGTTCTTTGCCTTTCCGGTATCGAACGTTTCGAGCTTGGCCTGAGACATGATGTTTCGCCATTTGCCGTCAAGGAGGGCGTCAAAATCCTGTACCAGATCGTAGTCATAGTCAAAGTCAGCAAGAACCTGGTGGGCAAGCGCATTTGCTGAGTTCCTCCGTTCCATGGCATGTCGATAGTTGAGTCCCGTGCTGTGACGACGAAGAAGTACGAAGTCAGTGTATGTCTCCTATGCATCTGGTATAGCCACAACTTACCCGATGTTTACTGCGTAGTATGTAGCGCCCGATACTACGGGATAGAATACTAACTCATAGTATGCGGCTTTGTAATCCTCCGGTATCTGTTCAAACAATGTCTTGGTTTGATTAGCGAGCAGATTCCATCTTGCTAATATCCTTTCCGCTTCATGATAGTTTAATACCGAGTATGTGTCTGGCTGAACCATCTCAAAGCGGCGCATTCCGATGAGGTAGTTGAATTCCATCAGTAGAGCCGCAACATCATCCGCATGTTCGCTACCGAGTTCCCGCTCGGAGTAGAGGCGCAGATATTCTGGTATCATATCAAAGTCAAATTTCGAGACGTCCCAAGCCAAGTCCATGGCGAACCCAAAGGGTTGCTCTAAAGGCTTGATATCCCCCAGATTTATGACCCAGACCTGGTTCGCACCTCGCCAGTAAGCTTGCAAAAGTTCCTTCAAAACTTTCGGCTACGCTTGTAAGTCATTGATCTCCTTAATAAGATGCACTTACTAACCAAGTTGTTGGTGTTCGACCACTTGTACGACCGCGGTCTACCGAAGTACTCAAAGTGGAAGTAAATACCAGCGCCGCCTTCTCTAGCAGTCTCATTACCAGTAGGTAGCCGCAGAATCTGGCCATGGTTGTCATCGGGCATGATGATGGTGACCTGGTTATAGGTGTACGAAGTCAGCATAAATCTTAGGTGCATTTTGTATCAAAAAGTTACTTGCGTCATCGGGCGGACTTAGTCCAGCGGCGTAGTAGGTCGCGACTTCCTTATAGATTGTCCATGCCTCTATGTCGTATTAGCATGTCGCACACCTGTTTCCCTGAGAACCTTACTTACGGTTTACTTTCTGGTCACCCAGAACTTCTTTGAAAATCTGACGTTCAACTTCAAACACTTCTCGAAGAATCTCCAAAGCATCATCCCCAACAATGGCGGAATCACTTGGACCTCTCATGCCCAGTGTCACATAGCTCTCGTTGTTTCCCATCCTACGGATCCCCTCTTCCATGAAGCGCGTTACGTTGTCCTTGTTCAATCTCCAATCCCAGGGCCCAGTCTCAGTCGCGTTCCACTCATTAGTCGCTCTTTGCATTGGCTCGTGATGGCTAGTAGAGACTACGATACCGTAGTCATCTGCAAGCTGCTGATTCCTTGGGTCATCGGTGAAGAAGATGT